TCGACTTTTTGGGTCTAAGACATGTTGGTTTCCTCACGATGTTTTCCTTCACCGTTCGAGAAGGGATAGGAGGCAAACGGCCAAGAGTCTCATCTGATTTTAAGTGATACCGCCGCCCATGGACAGTCACATTGCCAGAAGGTTGCGAGCTTCGTGCGTTGCCTGACTTTCAAGAATTGGTAAGCTCTTTTCTTAAAAGAAAAGGCTCTTTTTCTTTTACTTCTTCTTTTGCGCTTTTTACGACGTATTTCTGTTAGGTGTATGTAAAATTATTGCATAATGCTTGCATTGAGATGAATTTATAAGTACTTACTTTGGTAGGGCAGTTTTCCTGTAAGAAATGTCCCTTCCTAGTGAGGATCCTTTGAATCCGAGAAACGAATTCTTCCCCCTCAACTGCGTCCTCATCATCGCTTTCGTCTGATACCGTGTTGTTTGTCTCCTCTTCCTCTACCTCTGCAAGCATTTATTTTTGATAAATTTTTTTTAATAAATATATACAACGGGGGGCAAACGGGCAGGCGGCTCACCTGATGTTAAGTGATACCGCCGCCCATGGACACTCTCAATGCCAGAGGGCTCGCGAGTGCGTTGCCGGCCTTTTAAGATTGGTACGCTCTTTAAAAAAAAAAGCTTGTTAAGTGCCTATCTGATAACTAATCCGCTCCTTTGCTAGTAATCTTATTGTAGTTAATTTTTTGTAACATTCATGTTTAAAATAAATAAATAAAAGCCTTTATTAAGCCGCTTATTAAGCGGCTAATAAAGCTTAAAGCTTATTTAAGCTTTATTAGCCGTTAACAAGTTTTACACAGAGTAGTTTCGTGTGCCTAAAATTAATTTACTTATTACTAAAAACACATTTTGACTATTAACTAGAGTTTAACTAATATACTAACAAATTTACTATCTATTGATAATCGGCAAACGGTAGTTCGGTTACAACTTGTCTTCCGACAAAGGCCTCCTCTAAAGCTCTCCAGTCTTTTCTCATTTTTGCAGTGCGAGTCCATGTTGAACCCGCTATTTTCTTAACGTCATCCTCCCATCTCTTAGCCTGTCTTCCTCATAAACATTCATGTTTACCATAATTTTAATATATATAAATTACGTGTCACTTTGTCTGTCCGCTATGGACTCCTAAACTACCGAACCGATATCAATCAAATTTGCACACCGTGTGTAGTTTGATCCAACTTAACTTACATCTCAATTTATACCCGCAATATTATTTTATTGCAAAATATTTGTTTATTATTTGATAGTCACAATTCTAACAGATGGCGCTGTGTTGAAAGTACCAACGTTTCACATAAGCTACAATTGAATGGCATAACCACCAAAAACGCATGGACTGGTGTTCTACTGCCGTTACCCTTGAATAGTTTACTACTATGTAATATAACAAAAATCTTAGCCACAGCAACGCTTGGCCAAGTCTGCTAGTTGTCATATATTAAGGAAAAGATAGTTTGTAACATATACTAGATATAGCATTATGTATGATGTGGTGAACAAAAAAACAATAAATTAAAAAGAGTGGCGGAGAGTTATTCACCAGTTATTCCGCTCTACTCTACTTTCTTTTATAATCGAAAATGTTCTAACAAAAAAATTAAATGAAACATCAAGTTATCACATAATAGATAATTAATAATGTACAAAATAAATTATCGCACAACGGACCTATTGAGAGTCTAAGTGCGGAAACTGATTCCACAAACCAATCTACAGAATATAATCTAAGAAATATAATTGTCTTTACATATGTATAAAGTTTTTTAATATATACCTAAGTAAATAAATCAATATGAATAAATCTACTTCAATTTACCTGCATGAGCTACAACCTTCACTTCGCTAGCATCATATATCTGGGATTCAACATCGGGCAAAATTTGTATAGCTTTCTTGTAATGTTTTATTGCCTCATATAGGTTCCCTCCCTTCTCCATTTCAACACCCAGACGGAACAAACTTTTAGCCTGAAAAAACGTACGGACATACATTAAAATATCGCCTGAGCAGCACTGGCCTAGTGACTCTCATTCCTGAATTCGTAGGTTCGAAACCGGCTCAGCTTCAGCTTAGACCCAGAAAGTGGACGGCGTGGGTCAAAAACAGGGGCTGATCACCTACTTGCCTATTAGATTGACAAATGATCATGAAACAAATACAGAAATCTGAGGCCCAGACCAAAAAAAAAGTAGCGCCACTGATTTATAATTTTTTATACATCTAAAAATAAATAATAAAATCAGATTTATAGTCAAGCGGTAAGTGTTACTCTTACTACTATAATCTTACTTACTATATTTAACATATTAAAGTCGTGTAGTAGTACTTAATAAAATATTTTAATGCTTATGTTACATGGCAGATTGTGTTGTTCTTACGTTCCATTATCCATCATTTGTCCCCTTTAATAAAAACTTTATTATCAAGATTATTAAAGATACCTCTCTGTTCAGGTTTACGAAAGATTATTCTAAATAAAGAATAACAATATAAACCTTGTCTTCTTCAGTCTGCAGACTGCTGTCTGTTGAGTCTGGCACTGGTTTTGTAACATCTCTATGATGTGATGGGCTGACCTCCAACTCACGCTGCCATTCTTGTCGGAATAGTGACAACTCATCTTCATAGTCTTTCTAGGCACCAAAATTATACAGTATTTGAGACATAATTGGCAATAAGCTCTTTTTCTTTTTCACTTTTGTTTTTGATATTTGCAAACCAGTAAAAAAAAACTATTACATACTATAAGACGCCTGCCAGGATTCTTATAAGAATAATAATAATACATTTATTAGCCTCTTTACAATTTGCATTTAACGGCAATGCAAGTTTGCCGGTATTGCCTTTGTTATTATATTTTGTGAGAGGCTGGTCCCTATAGTAGTACTATAGAAGTCCTGCGTAAAGAAGGTCACCAACCTACAACTAAACTAAAATAACAAACAAAATAAAACTGAAGTAGTGGTTGTTGGTGTATGAATTTTTGAATAATGTCTTCCTAAAATGGGTAAGGCTGTTTAGAAATTTAGAAACAGCTATTTTATAATTATTCTCATTTTCACTGTATATAATTAAGGAAGAATTGTTTGTTTGAAATAGATTTGGTTAACAAAATATATGCTTACACTGTTTGTTACTTAGTGTGATGGGGTTGAACTAAAAAAAAAGAAAAAACTTAAACTTAGGACATAAGCAAGTGACCGTTATATTCTTACTTCTGTTAATGGAAAAAGTTAGTCTGTGTGAGACTGATGCCTGCTAAAGGTAAGAGTACCTGTGTTACAGGTCATCAGGCCTCCACCACTACAGACTAAGTTGCGAATGTAGCTTTAAGATAAACGTTTGTCTTATTGTGAGGACCTTGCACATTTCAAAACTGCAACTGTTAAAAAGCACCTGGAGACAGGCGAATACTTTAAGAATAGCTTGTTATGCTCTTTCTACTTCAATATGGTGACTTTTGGCATAATCTCCACATTTATCAATACTATAACTAACAATGGAGAGTTTAAAAGCAAAATAAACAATTATCAGGACATGTTAATCATTTCTTCGCCTTAGATTCGTAAGATATAAATAAATTTATCTCGTGATCAATATCTATGTGAGTTTTAAAAGTTAAGCAATAATCAACTTGAACGGCCAAATTTTTGTCAGTTTTCTCAAGTAAGGTACAGTTGTGACCAGGTAAGTTAAAGGACAGGTCTTATTATCAGGTTTGCAAGTGGTAGAAGGTTTATGTACAAAACTGAAAAATTTCAGTTTGATATAGTCATCAATGGCTTAATTTGTATTCTATATTAATATTTTATTCGCTTTAGCAATAAGCTAGGTACATAATATGTACAAAATTTTAAGGCTTTTCCATGCAATTTTTCCAATGTTTCTCTCCATAAAAATCTTCCTAAGAATTCAAGGAATAAATAAAAAAACTACTCAAATAAGTCCAGCCGTCTTCCAGTTATGAGCTTAGCAACATATTTTACTATTAATTTCTATTCATATAGATTACCTGACTTTTATCAACACTCAATGAGTTTAAAGTTTCAGTAAGTTCAAGGACTTCTGGGTGAGAAGAAGAGTCATCCTGTTCCTCTCCCTCACAGTCACCTGTTCCTGTTCCAGATCCAGAACCTGTTGCAGAAGCCTATAATAAGGAATACATTATTGCTGAGGCAATGTTATCATCGATGATAATTACCATATAAATGAAGCTAAAATACAAAAATCAATCATATTGACATGGAGATCCTTACCATGTCAGCTTAAATAGTATTGGCAATCACTTAAGCACGATGGTGAGGTCTAATAAGGGTTTTGCCGTTTGCGCTTAAATATTACTTGTAATGATTTTTATCTGTATTTCGTTCTCAAAGTTTTTCTTGTTAGGTTTTTAAAGCAGAAGCAAAATATTGTTGTAAAACGTAAATTTTACTATTATTATCTTCTACAAAACTATAATCAACCAGCTGGCAGCTGTCTTTTATTTACATGTTTGTCAATGTCTAACTTCATACATTTGGTGTTAGTTCACAATAATTGCAATTAATAAACCCACAAAGTCAAAACTGACACTATGCTAAAGGCCTAAGACTGAAGACATCTGTGGCTAAATGCCAAGTGCCAACACCTTTAATCTTTACTAATTCTCCTTTTTTGGAAATATAATTACCTATTTCTAAAATCTTATTTAAAACCTCAGTATGAGATTAGAATAGTGATCGTTGTTAAATCACTCTACATTATAATATAACGTACATTCCATAGAAATAAAACAATATTTTATGTTACTTTAGCTTTCAAAATGGTAGGTTGAGTCACAATTATTTTATAACAAGTTTTTATTCTCTATAATTTTGTTTTAAATTAGGTAGGACATAGCCTAGTTTTATATATTGTAAGTAAATGAAATATATTTCGTCCGGGCATTTTTCGAAATAAATTTAATCCGGTTACAATGTTTCTATGTTTTATGTTTTCAGATGCAGTTCATGCTTTTATTTAGTCGACAAGGCAAATTACGTCTTCAAAAATGGTATGTAGCTCATCCTGATAAATTAAAAAAGAAGATCACCAGAGAATTAATCACCACAGTATTGGCCCGGAAACCAAAGATGTGCTCATTTCTGGAGTGGAAGGATGTCAAGGTTGTATACAAAAGGTATGTTCAAACATTGTATTTAAACTGTCTTAGTGTTATAAATACATATGTTAATTATTTCTATTAATCATTTTTAGACTTGAATAGATCAAATTTCTTGACTTCTTAAAATCACCATGCTAATCAACTGAACTACATAAACAGTTTCTAACATAAAAACCTGTAATGTTATAGGTATGCATCATTGTATTTCTGCTGTGCTATGGAGCAAGAAGACAATGAACTACTCACCTTAGAACTTATTCATAGATATGTTGAACTTCTTGACAAGTACTTTGGAAGTGTAAGTTATACATTGTGTTATATTATTATATATTTTAGTAAAGTGTAGGTTAGTAAGTTGTGATAGTATTTTGGTAAACATCACCATGGCTAAGTGTAAAACCACATCATGTGAATTTCACTTTCAATTAATGACGGAATGCCTGGCGCGAAGTTCTCAAGACTGAAAACAAAAAGACATATAAAAATCCTTTAGCCTTACTTTTTATTTTCCAAATATCTGCATGAATGGTGCAGATAAATAATAATGTTAATAATTTTCAATTCTTATTTGGTTTTTTAATGTTATAGGTGTGTGAGCTGGATATAATTTTCAACTTTGAGAAGGCCTATTTCATATTGGATGAATTGGTGCTTGGTGGAGAGCTTCAGGAGACAAGCAAGAAGAATGTGCTGAAGGCTATTGCTGCTCAGGACTTATTGCAAGAGGTCAGTAGTCAGGATAATGAACTTGTTTGAACAATTGTTTGTATCATGATCTGAACATATGGTATTTTTAACTATCAATTAGTGCTAATTTATCAGTCCTGTTTTAAAAATACCATGTATGTGGCTGACATAATGTATGTTGTTGATTGAAGATTGAGATGTTTTTGGATATAAATATTGTTTCTTAAAATCTTTTGGGTTACTTATATGATGATACAAAATACTGTGGAGTATATCCAGGTATAATGTATTATTTTTTAATTGGTATCAACTATCCAAGAGTTAGTATAGTGCAATAGGATAGGATCATTTGATTGTTAGTGGTTTTATTATGGTTATTATTCAGATTTATCAGTATCTATTTGTGTAATTATACAAAGTCATATTTGAGAATTTTAATTGACACAGATAATTTCTCTATAAATTGAACAGTTTAGCAAAAGTCAATAACAGTCAAATTATAGAGTAATCTTACTGTTTTGACATAAAACTGTAAATAGTGTGAAACAGAGCAATGTGTAGAATTGAAACATCCATATCTAGTAAATACATATCGGTTTAAAATTAGAAGCTGTAGGCAAAAATTGGAAATGTGGACCATGTTGATAGTGAAGTGGCCTCGGTAGTGCCTTTTAGATGTTTAATTATAGTAGGAGCACTGCCTTTATATATTTAATATTTCACTTCAATTTCAATAATTTGCCTAAATTTCTAGAGGTCCATATTAGAAATGTAAATTTGACTAATTATGCAAATTAGGCTAAATGATTCAAAATCCTATGATTGTAGATCTCGAAGTTATCGCATTTAAAAAAAATAACTCCTATTCTGTACTCTACTACTACACAAAACACTATAGGCTATATATAAACTACAGACTCTTTAATATAAATTAAATGTCTATGAATACCTGTCTTGCACTGCACAGCTAATAAATTCTTCTCTATGATGCATGCTGGTGGTTCGCAGGACTTAATCGACGGACTCTGGCACTAACGTCTAAAGGTTATAAACGCTTTTTTATATAGAACAAAATATCATCCCACAGTAGATACCATAGAGATTGAAAAAAAAAGCGTTTATATTAATTGCTTTTTGCTTACCTTTCGCATGAGCTTTATACTAATTTATTGCAAATTGTTTGATAACATTAATTTAAATTCAACTATGCATAACTAAAAAAAAAATTCTGGTTTTTGAATGACCAACACTAGAGAAGAGAACTTCCTCAATACATTATACATCCACAAAATAGTATTACAAATATCTAGAGGCACCGTTACATATAGAATTTAATACACACTAGATATAGTATATCTTTATTCGTTATCTCATAAACAGTCTCAGAATAAATCATTCATAGATGGTTAAGATGTAGTGATCTTAATAGTAATTTTAAATCTTTAATACATTCAGGTCTTATCGAGCTTATATTAAGTAGACCAACTATATTGTATTCTTTGAGGCTTTCTATACTAAGTATATTTGTTAAGGTTCTGTCGAGTTGTTTGTGTATTTGCTTATCTTGTGTAGCTTAGTTAAATCATATTATTGTATTTGTGACATTGTTTTGCCTTTATTGTTAGTAAAATGGTATATCAAGGTTATTTTTAATTTAATCTGCATATAGTATTGTTTTGATTACAATAAAATAAGTGTTACTTTAAAATAAAGATATTTATTTGGAAAAACATGACTCTAATATTTATAATTACTATGAATATGAAGATCTACTTTGGAGCTTCTTACCAGAAGACGAAGTTATTTAGTTAGTTCGTGTGCTGTAACAGTATAGTTATTGCACAATGCATAGAGATATATATATATATGTAATTTTAAATCTTGCAAATCTTATTTTACGTAAGAAAATAACAGTAATTATAGTCACTCATTACGTATATCTCATAGAATCTTGTTAGTGGCTTGTGTCTTCAGTAGAATAGTGTATTACGCGGGAACGCTGTTTTTATACTTGAAATTAATTACCTTCTGAAATGGAAAATTGAAATACCATCTAAGTATAAAAAGTGAAACAATGTCGTTACTCAATGGTGGATGTTGCATTTATGTAATGGGTTGTTTTAAATATATCGTTGAGAACTATAACTCTGTTTTCTTGCATGAACCCGCTCCTAACTAATGTGGCATGAGCTTTAAAAATAAATACCTTAACTTTAATATACAGAGCTCATGGTATTACTCGCTAAATTTGCATTAACATCGCTTATGGTGAAGGAAAGCATGCACATTGGGTAATGAAATGGTGTATAATAAACCTTACATTTGTTATGCAAAGTTTTAAGAGTACCCTCTTAGTTCCCCTAAAAGGGTTTAATCGTAACTATTGAATGAAACTAATACATTGCACTCGAAATATCTAAAAGTTGTTATTAATCAAATTGCATTAATAGCAAAATCACGTTTCACCATCTTAGTAAAGCGTAAATAGTAAGGTACCAAATGGGCTGACCATTTTACCAAAACCAAGGGTTAAATGTACTAGGACGAGACAGTGGACGAAGCTCTTCGAGACGTGGGCCTCCTCTGAGGCGTCACCGGGCGCCAGTGGTGATTTGTGGGACACTAATGAACTTTAAGTTGAGTGGTTGTGTTTTAGGTAAAATGTATAGGTGTAAGTACGAGAATGATTGGAGGCTATTACTGACGATTACCATACATTGTATGTCTTTCGTTCCTACTGTTAATATGGGTTTATATAATGCTTGCTACGCTATTTAGTTATTGTTAATTTTGGTACCTACCGAATTATGTACTAGATTAAAAATAAGCAATGACATAATTTTTATAGATTTAATTAAGCCAAAGTATTCTATTTTATTGTTTTGTTTGATTTTTCTAAGATTTTATTACGTTAGAGTATTACGAATTTATTTTTTCTTAGTGACTTTCTAGATTATTTTATATTATGCATTCTGCTTTAATTATAGGTATTAAATCTTTGCCATTATAATTTTTGTAACTGACCGAATAAAATTATTAAAAGTTACAATGCGTTTTAACTATAAACCTAGGTACAAAGAAAAAAATATGATTTTGCTATACACTTTTTCGAAGTTATTACGTTGTAGTTTTTATCAATACTAAGGTTATAATTGATTTATTTCTAAAACACTTAAAGCAAAATTAATTCTTCATAATATGTACTATACAGCTACAACAAACAACAACAAATGGTACATTTTTGTACTTTAAAGTAAGGTACGCCGTGTTCATAGTGCCGAAAAGCGATGGCTCGGTTTAACACGGCCACGAGCGACAATGGCTCAGTGATAACCCTTGTTGCAGGAGGAGACCCCGCAGGGATTCTTCGAAGACCACGGCCTTGGATAACCGATCACAGACGAGAAACCACAGCAGTATAGATTATATTAAGGATAGGTTTAATTTTGTCTATTGTTTTCACAGGATTGCCATGACCTATTACCAACGTTAAGAAATAAAAAATCTTGCTTATCTGGTCATGGTATGTTCTACTTTCTATTTGAAACGATACTACTACTTTTATAGGCAGCATTTTTTAATATTCAAACAGCATTTTATATATGCACAAAAATATTTTTAATATGATCTATAGCTCAAATATACTATGTACTTAATTTGTCTTTATTATGAATAGAGTAAGACGTGTTTACGTTTCGTCTTTTCATTTATCATTAATTACCGCTTGATAAGTGCCAAAAAGTGGTTAATAATTGTTACAATAATGTGCGCGTTTATAATGAAAAATATCAAATTTTATGTCGCCGTATAAAATAAGTATAGAACTATTGTATTATGCATAAGTATTTAATAAACATTTATCCAAAACCATTTTTATTAAAACAACATTTTATCAAGAGCTTATATTTGATAATCACAATATAAAATTCATATAGGCATGCTCAGACATCAGTCTCATAATTTCATTATATAGGAGTAAATACTAAATATATTACCAAAACAATGTAGATAGAAATATAATATCTTCACTGTGGTTATTCTTAACATTGTAAATAATAAAAAAAATTTTTCACTGGTCACCCTCAGACTTTGCTTCGGGTGATGCTTTGACAATATCAATGGTTGGAGGGGAAGTGGGTGTTTCATTTTTAGTTGGGGTATTTTCGGGGGTAGGTTCAGCTGACTTTTGTTCTTTTCTTTCTTCTATAGCTTGGTCTTTCTGTTGTTCATCATTTGTGACCTTTGCGAGATGAAGCGCGGCTAATAGTGCCGTGATGTAGCGGCGCACGTCTAGTTCAATGCCTGTTAGGAAAATTAAAAAAATATTGAAAATTAAAACAATTTTTCGAATATATAGCTGCCCCCCCCGCAAACTTCGTTTCTCCTTTATGTGATTTTACTTAGTCTACCTTTTTAGTACATACCAACATGGCACATTTTGCTATGCTTTCCCAGAGAATGTTAAGTTTTCCGGAATGAAAACTTTTTAGGTTTTACTGTGAATTTTTCTCTATATAAACCTCGGAGTTCAAGTCAAGTTTTAAAAAACAGATAAAAAAATAGGGGTTAGTCGTGGAGTGGTGAAAATTAAGGATTGTATGTATTTTTTAATGCCATATAATAAAATAATAACATTTTTTTTGGTAATCTAACTCCTTATCTCTTAGATAGTAGCCGATTCTCAGGCTTGCTGAATATGCATAAAAATTTAATAAGAATCGGTCGAGCCGTTTCGGAGGAGTATGGGAACGAACATTGTGAACACGAGAATTTGATATTAGATAATCTGATGCCATCTAACCGAATAACTCAAAAGGACAAAGGGTGATCAACTAGATAGACTAAGACATCTTACCTGAGCTCCTTAGCTCAGTGACTTTGACGGCAAGGTTGGCCCAAACACGTCTCGCAGCCACGGCGCTGAGACGACCCACAGTCTGTACGGTGTGCATTGTGGGATCTGTATCTGCTGGTACTATCTCTGTGCTCACTAGAAATAAATAGTTTAATTTAAAAATAGCGATTTATTGATCGTAGTAATAAATCGCAGTATGTTTATATAATATGTCAATTAGTTATTTCAGCTAAAATTTCCACCCACAACTTCATTTGCTGTCCAAGATAAAATATATGCTATTAATACATCTAAAACTAGTTGTAAGAGATAATTTTTTTCTATCGATACAGTTTGTAATATGGAAAAGATAATAGCCGTCATACCTGGAGCTTCACCCTGAACGGGCGGCAGGTAGTGGTCAAGAAGTCTCATAGCATACACGGCTCCACAGTCAACCCCCTGCATAGCCTTCTGGCCATAGGCCGTGGACAGCAAGGAGTTTGCTTTGACCCAGCTGAGTTCCTTGAGTGACTTCACTTTCTGTTCTGCAGCTACGCGGGCGCCATAAACCTGATTTAGATTTACCTTTAAATAAAGTTATGGTAGTGTTAGTGGGACTTACAACTATGTTAGTAAAGTATGAAAATGTTGGGAGGAACACAAGGCACGAATTGCTGTGTCAGTGTCTCGGGGTGGACTGCGGTGCGCAGTGGACTCCACAGAGTGGAGAGCTGAAGCACTGAGGCGCGCCGGCCCGTAATAACAATTACTTAGGTTAAACATTAAATTAATGTTATTTTATCATTTTTTTCTGAAATTAATTACTTGGCTTGCGATAAAGTATATTGTGTAAATTTCAAAATCATGTTCTATATACATTTTCGTCATAAAATGTTAAAAAAAATGGATTTCTTTTGTATCGAGCGAAGTTATTTAAATCGTGTATTGATCTTTCAAAATGGATACATAAACTACTCTACTCCACCATATATTTTTTCCATTCGCCATACTTCAAAAAACGATGACGAAAAATGGAAAGAACAATGTACTTTTTTGAATTTTGGCAGCCGGATAGGTCCTTAATACCAGTATTTCTAAAACATATATAAATTACTACAAGACATAAAATAAATCAATCAGTGGCGCTACAACCTTTTTAGGTCTGGGCCTCTTTCTGATTCTTATTTCATGACCATTTGTCAATATAATAGGCAAGTAGGTGATCACTGACACACGCCGTCGACTTTTTGGGTCTAAAGCGAGCCGGTTTCCTCGCGATTGCTTGTTAAATGCGCACATAGAAATAGTCCATTGGTGCACGGGGATCGAACCTACGACATCAGGGATGAGACACTGCTACAACATTGAATCTGATACAATTATATTCTATCTAGGGCAATATCGCATGAATGCATTAATGACACAACATACTAGTCACGAACTAATAAAATTTGCTAGTATGAATATTACAATGTAAAATAATTACAACAGTCTTACTTATTCATTTGACTTAAAATTGTTTGCAGTTGCTACAAACATTACCGGATAGATAAACAATAGCGTGATATAATTTGAGAGGTTATTGATAATTAAATTTCAAAAGTAAGGTTAGAATATTCGTGGCGACTTAATTGCCAATACTATGGCGCTACAACGGAAAAATTGTAGTTGTTTAAAATATCTTTCACGGTCTATACAGCCTTAAATCAGTTTCTAATCTGGCATTAATTTTCATGGCTGTACGATTATTATATCATTAGAGATAATTGAATGGACTATGAGTACGTTATATACGGATGATGTAATATTGAGTTAACGTTGCATTTTTAATCCATTTCAACATTTTGTATTCTATTTTTGTTAATATTGCATTGTTATCGCGAAATATGTATTAAACCTATTCTGCTAAGTAGACCATGACATTAAAAATACGTCCTTTCCTTCCTCGTGCATGACGAAGCCGTATCACGTATTATTAAGATCACTTGCTAAAAACTAAAAATAGAGTAGCTTGCTGAATTATTCAATATTATATTATAAATATACTAGCTGACCCGGCAAACGTCGTTTTGCCATGTATATTATTTCTAGGAAAATTTTTTTTAGTTCATTAAAAATCTACTATAAAAAATAGGGGTTGATCGTAGAGGGGTGAAAATTAAGGGTTGTATGTATTTTTGTATGCTGCATCATAAAATAAAAATTGTATAAAATATAAATAAAAATTTGGGGTGGACACCCTTATCAGTTAGGGGTTTGAAAGATAGTAGCCGATTCTCAGACTTACTGAATATGCATAACAAATTCATAAGAATCGGTCGGGCCGTTTCGGAGGAGTATGGGAACGAACATTGGGAACGAGAATTTTATATAACGAAGTCACCAACAGCTGTCTTAGGGACCGTTAAGGAAGTGTTTATCAAATGACCTTTGTATAACCCAAAACATTACATGCAAACGGATCCTCAATATCGACGGATGTAGCCCAGATAATATGAAGGTTCCGGGTCAATGTGCGCCATATCGATATCTAATCTTATAAAAATTATGATAATAACAAACAACGTACCTAGTATGAACGTTCAAAATATAATTATTGATAAATTATTGTAAGGGTTTTAAGTTTTAACGCGTCGGTCGTGCCTACATATTATTTATCTCTATATAAATATCTGTTGGAGGGTACATTGAATACACCTTCTAAACTCTTATAAACATAATATATTTGTATATTTATTATTATTATTTTTTAATATCTTAATAGGGTGTCTATGAATATGGTCACTAAACTTCACTTGTTAATATCAAACCTTGTTTTAGGTTTGATATTAACAAGTGAAGTTTAGTGTAGTAGTAGTTTAGCTTTGACGGAAGGGGGACTAGTGCATAGAATGAAAATGAAGTACGTGACCAAAAACGAGACGGTTTTTGGTTTAAACGTAATTAAATAATAATATCAAATTACATTGGCAAAACAATATGCAAATCTTATCGTAAGTCGTAACCGCAACCTAATAATACTGACGATCGATCATTGATTAAAATCTAGAAATGGTTGCAATTATAGGTATAGTAGGATTTCGCGTTTTCGGTCAAAAACAATTACACTATGAAAATAACTTATGAGTGTAAACTTTAAAAAGTCCGAACAACAAAACGCCTAAAAAGTATCAACTCCTATTACTGTATTGTGAACGAGTTGAGATAATTTCTATTTCCATTACGAAACTCACGCAAACTATTCCACTATTCATTTCACATGTCATTTAGTACCATTTTAAGTAGCAACATGTGAAAAACCTGTCCGGCAAGTCTATAAATAAAAGGGTAGTAAACATTTTGTAAGTTATACTACATAAACTAATGAATACAGTCCTAAATATAAACATGTATAATTATATATTGCACAATTATTATGAGTAAGCAGTTGGTTGACCTTTGGACTTTAAATGATGTGTGTTTTAGTATCACAGCTTTTTTCATAAAAATTAACAGTAACTATAAACACTTTCGTTTTTATCTTATAATTTGTTAGTTATGTCTAATAACAAGGCAAACTTATAGAACTGTCTTAAAGTACACAAAATCTCTAAAAATTAGTCCAAGCTATGAATGAATCTCTATTTTGGTGGTAAGTGATACCGCCGCCCATGGACACTCTCAATGCAAGAGGGCTTGCGAGTGTGTTGCCGGCCTTTTAAGAATTGGTACGCTATTTTCTTGAAGGACCCTAAGTATAATTAAATAGAATGCTATAATTAAATATAAGGAAAGACAATATAAAAAAGAAGAAGATTTTTATTTAGAAGATATTATTATTTTAAATTTTAACACTACAGTTATAATTATACATAAAATAAAAATCCTGTAATAAAATAGTTCTATAGACTTGGAAGTAGATGTTTAATTATAGATATAACTGGGAAAAAGCTTACCCTATTTAACTGTGGGGAAATTTTTGAAAGCACAGCCTGTTTGGTGGTCTCCACAATAACTTTAGGTTGCTCAGTTACTATCGGGATTCTTCTCTCCAATTCACCAAGTGCCGCAGCAACCTTTGCATCCCCTATTGCAAGGGGTGCAGCAACAAATGGTGCAGCAGTATGTGCTGCTAGTGTGACACTGGCTTCTGCTGTTGACAGTGCCCATTCAAGGAGAGAGTGTGCTCCTAAAAGAAAGATTTTTATTTTTTATAAAGTATTAGCATTTTTATGTAATTCAGAAGAAATATCATTAAAACTAAGAGGTAAACTATGATTGTAATCAATATCAAGAAATTTATAAGATTGCAGGTCATTTGAGACAGAGAAAAACAAAATCATACCTTTTACTTTGCTGTATAGAGCCCCAACTTGTCCGACTGCAGCTTCTACTGATGGTAAAGCCATTGCTTTTTGAACTGATTGCAATTGGCTAAAAGAGGGAGTACCAACTTCTGCTGCCATCTAACAAAATGTATAGTTTAAAATTTAATTTATTTCTCATAAAAATACTATCTTTACAGTAATGAGCCACTACGATAACGACGAAATTTGTATTAGAAGGTAGTAATGTAAATCGAGAAATTTAAAGTATCAAAAACCATTTTAAATAATAATTATGTTGACAAAAAAACTAATTTTACTAAGTATAAAAGTAACACGTATTTATAACAAGTTTATTTGAACTGAAATCTTATTGGAGTCCATTTGTAAATCTTCAACCAAGTACTAGAAGTTTCCATAGCACTACCTGCCTTTAATTATTTTTAACTTGAGTTGATGAGTTTGAAATAAAGTGTTACAGAATAAAAAAAAATAGAAATTAAGGAAGGAGCAAAAACGCAATAGCTAAATCAAAGTAATTAAGACAGTTATAATTGTGAGACAAGTTTAAAAAACATGTTTGATTATTAGAGGGTAGTTAAATGAAATAAGTAGCCACGTTGTAAAGTAAGTTTACGCACGATAACATATAGATTTTTTGACATTTAAATTGAAACGAAGAATTTAAAATGTACCAAAAACAATTATTTATTATGTGGTTTCAAATAATGGTTTCCGGTTAGATTCTTACCTTTAATAATTAAGACGTACACTTTTAAAAATATGAGTGACAAAAGTGATCTAAAGAAACTAATTGATATTTTAAAATTAACACTTATCTTGAAAATAAAATGAAAGAAATCAAGGTACAACTTAAACTTTTAGGTGGATACTAGCGTCTAGTCAAGTCGAGGACTAAAATTGAACTGGATGAATGGTTTCTGAAGACTGAAATCTGAATTTAAAGTTAAGAAGTGAGCGAATGATGAAGTATGAACGATAGGTATGAACTTTGAACTGAGCAATGAGCATAAACGATGAAGCGAAACAGAGTGACTAATCATACTGATATGGCGCTGATATGGATAAAAAGTAAAATTGGTTATACATATGAATAAATAAATAATAAATCACAAGATCATAATCGCATTTATGTCTTCATATTGAAGAAGTTTTAAAAACTGAATTCAAAACCCCCCAAAATGAAATTGACGTGTATTTTTTGGCAGATGGCAACTGCAGCAGAGCAACTTGACGTAAATCAGATGTTTTAATCTGACTTTTCAGAAAAACATTATTTTTTCTCATAATTGACAGCACAAAACAAAAATAAATAAAGATTATTCCAAAACTTAATAAACAAACAATGTAAAAATACTATAGAATAGTGAATACTTAATCATTTAATTATAAGTTACCATAATGGCGACACTTATGAAAGAAAAACGCAAAGAGGTATGTTTAAAATCTTTTACACATAATATACATCATAAATTAGCACAGAACTTTTTCTTTGTATGAAACTAATGCGTAGATAAATAGACATGATTAAAGTCTACGATTATTTCATATATACTGAAAGTGTGAAAACGTAATTACAATTTCCTTTTGACCTAAGATCACTAAATAAATCTCATCTGGCCCTGGCATTTAGTACATAAATAAACGTAAAGTAATTCTTAGGTTCATATCTTTCGCCGAGTAAACAATAGATACAAATGAAATGCATATGCTTTATTATTAAATTAATACAGCTATTATGACTACTAATAATATTTTTCTTTTTTAGAAAAAGAAATCCAAAGTTAAAACTGCTACTTATGACAAAGAAAGTAATTTAAATAGTCTACATGAACCTTTTGAGGAAGAACCAGAAAATGTTGGTAATATGGCAACAATTGTCCCAGAAGTATCAGTCCAAGATAATAAAATTTTTACTTTAGACACTTCCAAATCTTATAATAATATTGAATGTACATCTGAGGGTGCAAGTAATACTCTGGAACATAATGTGACTAATACTGAATTTATTCAAAGTGAAATAAGTACTTGTGCAGAATATAACTGTATTAGTGACACAAAGAAATATAAAGAAGCATCAGTTACTAGTTTAAATGTAATAAAAATAAACAAAACCGAAGATTTAAGTTTTAAAGATTTAAATAAAAGTCTACAAAAAATTAAAATACCAGATCTTCAAAATTCATGTGAATTAACAGATCAGAAAGAAGATATAAAACCATCTGCACCAGTTTTTAATTTACCTACAGAGGCAAATGTAGAAAAACATGAAATGCATCATGAGCCTGCAATTATTAAAAAGAAAAAAGCTAAAAGTATTCCTTTAGCAGAGGCCATTAGAATATTTGGAGGACGGGAAATAGCTGAAGTAAAAGGTTTAAGTGAAAGAGAAGAGGTTGCTGTTGAAACGGGACCTACAAGTGGACCTGACCATCCTCTCGTTGATCTATTATCTACATTCAGGTATTGTCTTATAAAAATACTTAAAATACATTATGTTTTTGTCATTAAAATACTGCTACTTTAAACTGTTCTTACATTGTATTAATTTTTCTTACAGATCATCCCTATCAGCATTAGAGAAGGAAAGAGTCAATATCAATTGTGGGTATATTGATGAAGAAAAAAGAAGGAGTGTTTTATGGAAAATAGAGAAAAAAAGTATTACAATAACAGAACAGTGTCCTTGTGGTGCAAATGTTGAGCTACATGTATTGTATGATTATGCTGAGTTGCAGAAAGATAGGCTACCAGTTGCAAAGATGAGATTAGAAGGACTGTTGCGGGATGTTCAGGAAACCTATTGCCATCATCAGCATGCTGCTTTGTTGGCTTATTCACAGGTGTGTGTTTTTGACTAGTAGAAAAAAATATCCAATGGTGCTAAAACCCAATATTGGCTGTAAATTGCATCTGTTTCTTTGATTATTTTTTTTGTTGGCAAATAGCCTTCTGTGCCTGATGCATGTCTTCTAAATGCAGGTTTAAGACTACCCACTGAGCTAATACTGTTAGTAATAGTAACACTTATGTCTCTGAACATGCACATCAAAATATACTTAGTACTATCCACAATTGAAAAAAAATCACTTCATATGCAATTGTTTTAGTTAGAGATGTTCTCCTTTTAACATAATAATATTGGTTATGGGCATCCCCTTGTTTTTACAGGAGGTTCTGGGTTCGCTATATCATACTTTATAGCCTCATTAATTCTACTATTGAAATATTTATAATTATTTAAAAAAATAGTTTAAAATTGCATGGTGGACACAACTTATAAGATAGATGAAATTTAATTGTCTACAATTCATGACAGGTAAATGTTACATCACCACCAATAAATATTGACATTTCAAGTTGGTATCATCATTAAGTGATTTAATGGTTGCTGTATCACATATAATATTCTATAATAATAATAATAATAATAAGCCTCTTATCCTTAACTGTTTCTTTGACTTTGTGGTTGACTCTTATCTTTAAGTTATAAAATATCTCTGAGTTCAGTGTGCCTCTTGGCAAAGGCCTCCTCTAACAATTTCCATTGTACCCTGTCTCTTGCAACCCTTCTCCATTTTGAGCCTGCTGTTAATTTTAATTCGTCTTCCCATCTCTTGCTTTGTCTTCCTCTGTTCCTTTTTCCATCTCTAGGGTACCAGTCAGTTATGATGTTGCTCCACTTTTCTTGTTTATCACGTATCATGTGCCCAGTCCATCTCCACTTCAAACTATCTATTCTAGTGAGTATGTCTGTGACTTTTGTCTTACTTCTTATGACAGTGTTTCGTATCTTATCTTGTTTCTTAATACCTATCATACTTCGTTCCATAGCTCTTTGGCAGTGTTCCAGCATGTTTCTGTGATGTTTTGTGAGAGCCCAAGTTTCACACCCATATGTAATACATGGGAGAATGCAGGTATTGAAGACCTTCCTTTTGATACCAGTACTCAGAGCTGTGGATTTCATGATCTCTTTCAGTGACCAATATCTCTTCCATCCGTTAGCTATTCGTCTTTTTATTTCTTTTGTAGTTGTGTCTGTATGTGAGATGATTTGTCCTAAATAGATATATTCATCTACATATTCAACGGGTTGGTTGTTAATTTTTATTTCATATTTGTTTGAATTCGTTAATAGCTTCGTTTTGTTTATATTCATAGATAAGCCCACTTTTTTGCTCTCTGTATTTAGTTCTTGTATCATTTTTTCTAGGCTCCCTGGTTGTTCTTCAAATAAAACAATATCGTCAGCGAATCTAAGATGGTTTAGTTTTTTACCGTCTATATTTAATCCATGTTGGTCCCATATTAGCTTCCGAAATATGTTTTCCAGCACCGCGGAGAACAGCTTTGGAGACATCGGGTCGCCCTGTCTGACGCCTCTTTTTACTTGGAATGTTTCACCCAAGGTTTCCATTTGTACTCTTGCCTTACTGTTAGAGAAAATGTTTTTAATGGTGTTTATGTACACTGTCGGGATTCCTTGGTTCTGTAAGCTTTCCCATATGGCTGTGTGGCTAATACTTTCAAATGCCTTAGAATAATCGATAAAAGCCATATATAGCGGTTTATTGTGCTCATTATATTTTTCCATAATTTGCTTTACTGTGTGGATGTGATCTAATGTTGAGAAGTTTTTTCTAAAGCCAGCTTGTTCCTTCGGTTGGTTTTCATCAAGTGTGTTGCTTATTCGGTTCAAAATTATTTTGGAAAAGAGTTTATATATGGTAGACATCAGACTTATCTGTCTGTAGTTCCCTATGTTATTTCTTTCTCCTTTCTTATGTATGGGAATGATGTGGGATGTCTCCCATTGTTCTGGAACCTGTCCCGACCTCAGGATGCCGTTGAAGATTTTAGTTAGAATGGGGACCAGTTCTTCTATGGTTCCTCTCAGTAGTTCGTTTGTGATTTTATCAGGACCTGGTGCTTTGTCTAACTTTTGGCTTAGTATGGCTTTCCTAGTTTCTCTGGGTAATATGTCAGGTTCTGGGTTCACTAAGAGCAGATTATAATTTAGGGTTTCTTGACTTACATATAATATTATGAAGTGTCAAATATTCTTAAAAAAAAAACCTTTTTAAAAACAATTAGTTAGGTTACAAAATTATTTTCAGATAGACGAATTAATATCAGACACAGTTCAATGCAATAAGGGTGAAATTCGTGAAGCGTTGTCATTGATACTACAAGCATTACGTCTCAGCGATGGGGCTCCAGTGGCATTTCCTCAAGCACTTGAGCGATGGACTGCAGTATTGGCTGATGCATTGATAGATGAGAGGGATTTGAGGCAGCTACTGTTCATTATTCATCATTTGTTTAGGTATTTATTTATTTAATCTTCGTTACATTAAAAGAAAAACAAATAACATAAATTATTCTGATATGAATATAGAATGCAAGGCCTTATCTCTAACAAGGTATCTCTTCCAGGCAACCTTAGTAAGAAAAACATAAAAAAATATTTAGGGTAAATTGCATAACCAAATAACAAAAATAAAATTACAAGTAACACTAAAAAATTATAGAACATATTATATTATATATAAGGTATTAATGTTCCAAGGTCTCATTAAAACTTAATTTTGACAATATCCTAATTCCGTTGCTGTGTTGCAAATGGCTATATTTGCAATTTCTTGTTTGAATTACACATCCTAGATTGTGTCTGTTTTAATTATATTTTTTCTGCCAAAAGTGTTTAACCCGAAAATTAAGTACATAATGTATATGAACTTAATTTGGGTTAAATTTGTCATTGCCATTGCCGGTCACTGTAAAATAGAAACGGTCTAGTAATAGTTTTTCTTAATATTCACAGACAGAGCCGCTCAGTGCAATGGGCGGGGCGAATCCTACGTGCGCGTGCGAATGATCTAAGTTCTGCAGCGAGGGTTATTGCTATTTTGGATTTATTGCTTACTGGGAACGCCTTGGAAAATGCATATGAGTGCGTTGAGGGTGAGATTCTTTTTATTGATTGATTTCTAGTGGCATGAAATATATTTCTTGTTATGTTTAGATTAAACGTGTTATTGCCATAACTGTCAAAGCTAGATAGTATTTTACACCAGAGTTTATTTGCTTTTAAAGTAATGGAGGAGACATGGAGGAGCACTAAGTCTCGACTTTCATCCTCTAGCGCTGATATATTTGCATCACATATGATACATTTATTACAATTTCAGACGAGTCTTGGGAGGAGGTGGACGTAAAGGGCGATAGTGGAGCAGTGGGGGAAGGTCGTCTGCGAGAAAGAGATCTAATGATCGTGCTAAACTCTTTACCCCTCAGAGAGATTGTCGCTAGGCTCGCTCTGTTCTCTAGAGCGGTAAGTTTTTTGAAATGTTATTAAAAATATCATAATTCAATCTATATTTTAAGTAAGAATAACAATTTATAATTATTTTTAGTATTAAAACGTAGTTCTAGATTTTAAAAGTGTTTACAATAAGGCTTTGATCAAATCAACGGAAGGTTTGGAAGCTGTGTAACCTTTTCCTTGGTCAAAGATTTGGCCCTGATCGTTTGATTCCTCAATGTTTTAAACTCCACTGAAGAAAAATCCATTCCTAGACCCGAACTCATGATGTTAAAATAAACTAAAGATGTGATTGCAGTTAAAATTCTAATTCCTCGGCCTTTAAGTTAAAAATTTCTCACTCATTTTTATCAGGATATAACAGATACCAGTGAATACGAATGGGGTGATTTATCCGGTGGCCATGGGGTGTTAAAGGCCAGTTGTGGCGCGAGAGTATTGCTTGACGTAATATCGCGTGGTGCCCGTACGCATCACGGTTACGTGCGTCTACGTGATAGGTTGCGTACGTTAGCGGCGAGTTTGTTGCACGCACTGGCTGCACTCCATATGCATTCTAGGTGAGTAATTTCAAATCTACAACTGGTCATTGATCTGTGTGACGTCACTTTAAATTTCGTCATACACAAGTAAAATAGTGTCTATATGTAATGTATATAGTGTACAGTAACCCCCATATAACGCGGTATGTCCCCCCTATAACGCGGAATTTACTCAAGTAATTATTCTGTAGTGTGAAATTTATAAAGATTGGTCAAGTTCATAATTAGGTTTGCGTACCTTTGCACCTGTTTCAGTTATGTTATTAAATTTAAAAAAAAACGTTTTTAGTAAATACTCCTACTACGCGATTTCCGAGAACGCGTTCCGGGTCTACGGCGTTATAGTTACTGTATATAAATAATATTTTAAATAAAGTAAGCCATTAAACTATTGAAATGTAGTAAGCCATTAAACTATTGAAATGTTTAAAAAATCGGTTTAATCACTGACTAAAACTCTTCCCTTTACCAAGAATATGGATTGTTTATACAATTGCAATGAAATTTGCAGTTCAAAAGTATTTGTATACATACACAGCCTATCGTCACCACTGTTATTACATTTGATTCAATTTTATTTTGAAATCTCATGAATGTTATTTGCAATTCACTAACATTATGAGTAATTTTCCAGTCTTTATATTAAAGTCATGATAATTTCCAGAAGTTATGCAGCCTATCTTGGCTGTTATTTACTAAGGAAGCGTTAAAGTATTACGTAACGAATTTGTGGGGGGGAGGGGATTGAATTACGCGTTATTGTTATTAATATTATTTTCGACTTTCCAGTACTTTACACCACATAATGGTAACTTTAGGTATAAAGAGTCACTGGGTGGTCACGAAACGTTTTACTATAGGGTACAGAAAAACGTTACGGCGCGTTACATGGGGGGATCCAATAATTTCCGAAAATTGCGTGCCGTAATACTTGAACGATCCCTAAGCTCTTAACACCGTACAATCAGTTAATGGAACGATTATTATTGAAACATAATTTCTCTATGGTTTTCACTGAGCACTTTGGTACACCACCCCTATGTGAAACCAGCTAAAGTATTTCCGAACCAATTCGACTTGGGTCCTTCAAGAAAAGAGCGACCGATTCTTAAAAGGCCGGCAACGCACTGGCGAGCAGTCTGGCATTGTGACTACTCATGTATCACTTAACATCAGGTGGGCGTGCCTTCAGGTTTATAAAAAAAATTCACTAAAATCACTCTCTTTATTTTCAATTTTCATCACGTAAACTATATTAATTAATTTTTGTATTGTTAATTAAAATAAATGAATTTTGATTTCTAATTATAAATAAATTACCCAGGAATAAGTACACCAAAGAGTTAGAAGATAGAATAGAGTCCGAGTTGGAGGCTTGTTTCTCTATGGGACTGTCAATAATGGGAGAGGATTTGGATAAACTACCTGCTACTCTGCTCACAGACGACTCAGCTCGGGAATATTGTATGGCATTTGAAAACTTACATGGTAAGTTTATACAGATAATAGTAATTTTTTTCCATGGGTCGTAACGGTGCTTCAGCTTGATGGTAATTCTGGTAGCTTCGCTCTTGTTTTTTGACCTAATTTGACCGGACTATTTGTCAATTGTATTATATTTCTATGCATTGCATGTTAATAAATAAGTTCATAAATAAAAAAAATAACTTAGCGAAATAGTTGATGTTATGATTTATTTGATCGAGTTCCTGATATTGGAATAAAATTGTTAAACTGATTTCTATCCAATTTATATAAAGATACTAGTGGACCCCACAGACGTTGTCCTGCATGATATTTAAAGCGATTAGGATATTAAGGAAAGTATGAAAGTACCGACTGCAGTGCCATCTGCCGGGCTGATTTGTGAATCTAAACCATTCCCAGATCCCCTTGAACACACACAAAAAATTTCATCAAAATCGGTCCAGTCGTTTAGGAGGAGTTCAGTCACATACACACGCACACAAGAAATATATATATTAAGATAGCCCATTCTAAAACTGCGTTCTAAAAAATATTTAACGCTAATGATATATGCGTCTTACAAATATATATGACACATTCTACGCCCACTATGAGTCAATTTTCATCTAGCTTATTTGAGCCTCGGAGCCTTTACTAAAATCCTAATGAAAAAAGGTAGTTAAATAAACCAGTATCGCTAGAACGTTTTAGATGTGGGTCTAAGATTTCTGTATCTGTTACGTAATTATTATTATTATTTTTTTAAGTAGGGGATCAGCCTCCTGTGCCTGACGCACGACTCTTTAAGTCTAAAGTATGCCGGTTTCTTCACGATGTTTTCCTTCAGCGTTCAAGCGAATGTTAAATGCGCACATAGACAGAAAGCCCATTGGTGTTCAGCCAGGTTTCGAACCCACGACCTTAGGGATTAGAGTCACACGCTCAAACTAACAATGATAGAGAGTTATAAGAAGTTTATTTGAATATAGTCTTTGACTTAATCTTATCGCCTTTAACCAACTGCAGGCAATGTAAGATTCTAATAGTCTATCCGCGAATATAATTTAATAATATAAAAAAAAGTTTTGCTGTTAAAAATATGTATAAATATATATTATATAGAATTTATAAATATTATGTTAAATATGATCATCAAAAGCAATTCTTTTAGGTCCATCTTTGGACGTAGGCCTTCTCCATTCACCCTCAACTCGACCAGCATTGCCATTTGCGTCCATTTTGAGCCTACATACGGCCAGGCAGTCTTTTGTATTGCCGAGGTCTTCATTCAAGGAGCCTTTGGGTTCATTGGGTCTTGTCCATGCGCGCTATATACCCACCTCCATTTTAAGATCACGATCTTAGTGACTACATCGTTATCACCTGTCTTTTCTGGAATGGCGAACGAATATGGTTGCGAAGGGAGATCGCTTTTGTGTTCATAATATTAATATAGTATATTCTGGTGCCTTTCAGACAAATCACCTCAACGTGTGGAAGCCCTAAACACAATACCAGTAGTGAGTTGTGAGTCGCGGGTGAAAGTGGTTACGCAAGTAGCGATTGATCGACTAGCGGATAACGATTTGGCATCCGCTGTACTGCAGTTTTTGTTCGAGGTAAGATTTAACATATAGCAGTGTTGGCGTAGTGGCTTCAGCGTGCGACTCTCATCCCTGAGGTCATAGGTTCGATCCCCGGCTGAGCAGTAATGGACTTTCTTTCTATGTGCGCATTTAACATTCGCTAGAACGGTGAAGGAAAACATCGTGAGGAAACCGGCTTGCCTTAGAGCTCAAGAGTCGATGGCGTGTACCAGGCAAGGGAGGCTGATCACCTACTTGCCTATTAGATTGACAAATGATCATGAAACAGATACAGAAATCTGAGGCCAAGACCTTAAAAGGTTGTAACTTGATTGTTTTTAAAGATTAAACATAAGTAGTTGGACTTGTCAACCATTTTTCCTGTTGAAGCACTTGCGAGCTTTCTGGCAGTGTCTTTGTCCATGGGCGGCGGTACCACTTAACATAAGAGCCTCCTGCCCGTTTGTTCCTGTACTTAAAAAAACGCATCTATAAGAATTTATGCTCTTTGTTATTAGCTAACCTAACGCTCAATTCGAATGTGGTCGCCATTTTGGATATAAAGTGAGATTTAGAAAGCGTGAACCATGACTCCGGTATGTCAAAATTCAATACATTTTTGACGTTTCTCAATCTTACCCTAAGAATCTCTACTGAGTCCTAAAAGGAAGTCCAAGAAAGTTTCTTCCTAAAATGAATACTGCGCTATTAATATCACAGATTATATATTTCAGACTGGAATCAAACGTAAACCGGCGAATCTGAAATGTTCATGTGACTCTGTGGCTCGGGAAAACATTTCTCGCCTTTTAGATGCTCACCCATATTTATATACGACAGCATTGCATATATTCGCTGATATTTCACAGGGTATGTAATCATAAGACATTATATTATAATAATTAAAGTTTTTAGTACAATTATTTATAGTTAAGACGAATTACAACACAGTTTGAAGTTCAAAAATCTAAGTATAATTTAATCATATAGGCAGTATTGTGCTTTAACTTGCAAACGGACGAAGCGAATTAATGGATATTTGTGAGGCGTGTGGTGAGGTCAGTGACCTCAGGTGAATAACCGAGACGTTAGAACGCTCGCGTGCCCCCGCTCCCCGCACATGCATTACGCTATTTAATATGAAACAGCTATATTTATCCTTCAGACAGCCGGTTCTGAAATCAGCGGCGCGGTTGTTGAGATTTGGCAAATAATACGCTATGTGCTGGCCCTAGGCTGCGTAAACCTAGATACTGAAAAAAGTGGAAGCTCTTAGAGGAGGCCTATGTCCAAGGACAAGCTGTATAACAGAAATCAACCGGCTTGCCGATTAATTATTAGTGTTAATAGTACTTCACACGTGTAACACTGAGACATCGAAAAAGAGCAGAAGAGATCAGATCAACGACCAAAGTAGAAGACATTATAAAGAAAATAAGGCAGTTGAAATGGCGCTGGACTGGGCACATGACGAGAGATAGCAGGTTGAAATGGACAAAAATAATTACAGAATGGCAACCACGTGATGGAAAAAGGAAAAGAGGAAGACCGACCAAGAGATGGGCAGACGATATTAAGATAATAGGAGGCACAACTTGGACAAGAAGAGCTAATAACAGAAAAGAATGGAAACAGCTGGAAGAGGCCTACGTGTCACAGGACACGCTGATTACCAAAAACGGGTCATATGATGCATTAGATTAAGTTTTATTTTATTTATGTGTTAGAATTAAGTGTTTTTTATGTAACTTAAATAATTGTATGGGTGTCAGCAATAAAGGCTAATCAAATCAAATCAATAGTACTTCACATTTTTATGTACAAGAATAAGTATTTTACAGCAATAAAGGCAGTAATATTATTATTATTATGTGCGATTACTACTAAGAAATAGAGGCGCTAATTTTATAAACATTAAATGTCCTAATACAAGCAACAATTCTCATATTTTGCTTATCTATAAGTTTTGTTTTTTGACCCCTTCATCGATGATTTCAATTTGTTTATTTTTAACATACAGAATACAAAAAAGAATAAGAATAACACATTTTTGTGCTTTGCAAAATAAACCTTATTACCAAAGGAATATAGTCGCTATTAGAATTTACTAGATTTTTTTATTATAGTGGTAACAAGCAGTTACTATATAGCCTATGGGGTAATGGAACCACCATTTATAAAAATAATTAATCGATTTAATTTTTTTATCGAAACATTTTGTTCGTTCTGCGCGTACGTGCGCGCGCACGCAGATAGCTAACTCGGAACGAACAAAAAGATTTCAGTAAAGTTAAGTTTTTAATGAAAACATGATTGTTAATTAATAAATATGTGCAATAATTAGGTATTATGTGTAAAACGGTTATATTTCATATAAAAGTTGAAATTTGAAATTTGAAGTTTCTGGTTTCAGGGGAGTCCATAGAGTCCAATCTGATGAAACATTTGTACGTCTCAAAATGGCGGCCAAATCTGACAGACTTACAGCAAGTAATCAATGATTGGACCCAAAAATGCCCTCAAATCATTCAATATTTATTACTGGATATGGATTATACGCCTCACAGGTAATCTTTAAATTTTAAAACATGATACATAATTTTTATAAAAAAAAATTGTGGCGCTACAACCTTTTTAGGTTTCTGTATCTGTTACATGATTATTTATCAATCTAATAGGCAAGTTGGTGATCAGCCTCCTGTGCCTGACACACGCCGTCGACTTTTTGGGTCCAATTTGGGTCTCAGTGTTGGCCTAGTGGCTTCAGCGGGCGACTCGCATCCCTGAGGTCGTAGGTTCGACCCCCGGCTGTGCACCAATGGACTTTCTTTCTATGTGCGCATTTAGCAGATTCAAATTTAATGACGTGGAATAAGTGATACCTGTATCTTAAGTTCCATAATAAACATTTTTTTTTTAACATTCGCTCGAACGGCGAAGGAAAACATCGCGAGGAAACCGACATGTCTTAGACCCAAAAAGTCGACGGCGTGTGTCAGGTACAGGAGGCTGATCACCTACTTGCCTATTAGATTGACAAATGATCATGAAACAGATATAGAAATCTGAGGACCAGACCTAAAAAGGTTGTAGCGCCACTGATTTATTTATTTATTATTATTTTTAAATCTCGAAAAACTACATATATACTATCATTTTTATATAAATTTTTTGGTTCGGTACTTCTTCGTTTATACAGCATTTTACAAACGAGAAATATTTTGTTTCAGTGGGGTATCTCTGGAAGCCCAACTTTACATTGGATGGTGGGCCTCACAAATCCCAGAGGCCCCGGAGTGGACTTGGGCGCTTCTGAAACTTTTGCGCCTGCACCGCTCCCACTGGGCCCTTCCGCTTGAGGCCCCAGGTCTAGATAAGGCCCCAGATACACTGTCGGATGTTATGTTTGCACTACTGGCTACTGATTGGGGTCATTGTGTACCACTTGTAAGTATTGTAAACTATTTGGACATGCTTTAAAATATCGGCTATCTATCTTATAGGCCTCCTCCAATTGGCTCCATCGCTCTCTATCTTGAACAATCTTGCAAGAGGGCGACCTCTCTGTCTTTTTCCTCATTACCCTCTTTATCATTATATGCCTCTTCTTCATGTCAACCTTTTATCGATTGCATTAATACTAATGATCTCAAACAATACAATACTTTATATAATAATTGTGACAGAGTTCTCGACCTTGAACTTACTAATAGACCATCGTGTGTGGTGAGACACTGGTGGTGTTTTTTGTGTAGGCTATATATATTTTTTTTTAAAGACAATTCACACCAATTGACCTAGTCCCATGCTAAGCTGGTGAAGCTTGTGTTATTGGTACTAAGCAACGGATATACATACATATTATAGATAGATAGGCATATAAATACATATTTAAACTCCAAAACCTAAGCACAACACCAAATGCTCATCACATCGATGTTCGTCTCAACCGGGGATCGAACCCGGGACCCATGGATTCGCAGTCAGGGGTACTAACCACTAGACCAATGAGTCGTCAAATTTATTTTATTTCCAAAATATAAAAAATTTGGATAGACCAAGAATAAAGTTTATTTGCCTGCTGCTGCAGGTATTGGCCATCTTTCTGAGAGGCTGGTGCCTACAGGCTATAGAAGTCTAAGCAACCTGTAATTAAAAAATATATATATTTACAGGCCTGTGGTCCAGGCGTGGATGCCTTACATCGCTTAGCGTTGTCTAGACCTGTGGAAGCTCTGCACTGCTTGGGGCAGCTCGTTACTGTGATGGCTACTTCACCCGAGTCCATCTCCCTTACTCCTAAGTAAGTCACGCAATTTGTTCCAATAATTTAATAAGTTTTGAGTATTTCACGTTTCTCTCTTCTCGTCCGTACTAAGCCCTTGATTTGAACTGATAGTAAATTCCTTGCAATTTTTCTGATAAGAAATATTAATGAATCACTTACAAATTATTTTTACCAATCGTGGTGGGACACGTTTTCGAATGAAATATGGAGTTTGGTGTTAATTTGCGTTTATATAAAAAAACAGTGCTACAAGCTTTTAGGTCTGGGCCTCAGATTTTGTATCTGTTTCATGATCATTTGCTTCTAATATGCAAATAGGATAGTATTGTAATATACGTCAATTACTGCACTATAAGTGTAGGGGCGGAACTCGCGAGACGCCAATGAATATTAATAGAAATGTATATATATAATATTACTAGCTGACCGGGCAAACGTCGTTTTGCCATGTATGTAAAAGAATAGGGGTTGATCGTAGAGGGGTGAAAATTGAGGATTGTATGTATTTTTTAATGTCGTATCATAAAAAAATAGAAATTAAAAATTTTGTCTAAAAAATAAAAATAAATTTTAGGGGTTGTACTTCCCCTAACATTTAGGGGGATGAAAAATAGATGTTGGCCGATTCTCATAGATACCGGATAAGCACAAAAAATTTCATGATAATCGGTCAAGCCGTTTCGGAGGAGTATGGCAACGAAAACTGTGACACGAGAATTTTATATATTAGATTGGCGAAGTGGCTATGCCAGTCCTCTCGCGAGTTTTCTTACAAAATATGTACGTATCTTAGTCAAATACGGTCACGCACCACAAGAGTCGGGGAGATTAAGAAATTTATTTTAAAAAAATAACCAAGGTGAAATTTTTGATACAATTAAAATATAAATAACGCCCCTCGTATACTTTAGTTTGTTTCCTTTGACATTATTCATACGTAATTTATGAGAAGATATTAAGTAGTATATAAAAACATTTGTGTTTCAATATCCTCCGAGAATACATAAACTACTATACGAATGAACGCATCTTCTGCCGTGTCAACAATAAGAAAAAACTCAATTTTTATAATTAATTTATAATAATACATAGCTTCAATCCGTTAAAAAAGTGTTTTCTGTAAGAAAATACTCTTTAATCCATACTTTCTTCTTAATGAAAACAATAATAACGAAAGAGGTTCTTTATAATCTGTAACAGGTATATAAATCATAGTTCAATCTCAATAGAACTACAAGTTCTGTTCTAATGTAAAATCGAAAATAAATTTTTTTGCCAAAGAAGTTCAACTTCTGACATGTGTGCTTTGTACGCACGCAATTTTTATTTACATAAGGTATGACTTTATTAAATTCACTAAATATTTTTTTATTAATTTTCCAGATTTGCAGAAATCATAACAGTGATCTTAAACTGGCGACCAAATCTCGTTCAACGTGCCTTTGGGCGTGGCGGACAAAATGGCGCCGATCTCTTACAGAATCTCGTTATTCAACAACTTCAAGATAAGTGAGTAGAAAATATTTTAAGAATTTTTACTGCTATTATAATACATTTTGAGCTGCAGCTATGCGTGGTATTATTAATTTATTTAGTCAAGTATCTTTAGCGTTATACTCTCATCCCTGATATTAATTAACCCGAAGATAAACATCGTGGGGAAATCTGTATGTCTCAAGTCCCAAAATCGGGTATATGTGTCAGACAGATGGCAGAACTACTTTTCTATGAAATAAAATTAATAAAAGAAAGCAATTTGAGGCGTCATTGGATTATTTTATTTATAAATTTATAACAAAAATTTTCGTTATGCATATCTGTGCCTGGTATAGAATAGAATCACTATTAATAATCTATAGTTATATTTTTTACATTTGTATTATTTTATGTTTGTTACGGGTGAACTCTAAAAGGCCGGCAACGCATTCGGGAGCCCTCTGGCATTGAGAGTGTCCATGGGCGGCGGTATCACTTAACATCAGGCGAAGGCTCGCCTATAAAAAAATTACATCATCAATTACGAAAATTAAAAAAAAACATTCAGCTGTAAAGCTGAGACGATCTCATAGCCAAGAAAACTCTCGAAAGATCACCGTATGTGCACATACGGAAGTCATACTTAAATAAGTTTCCACTCTGAATCTTACCTTAAGTAACCACTTCGTTAACTTCGGTAAAATTGTATAGATCACTGGAAACCCGTAGTGCAATGCTAACGGCATGGCTACACATGTTATGGACGCCAGCACAAGTGGGTTCGAGTCGTGGAATATTAGATTCTGCCGTACGTTTTACGCAGGACTGGAGGACGCTTGATAATCACGTTTCTATGATATTGCAGGTTAGTTTTAATTGTTATTCACAGAGATAGTTTTGATTTTAGAGTGAATGCTCTATTTAGGTTTCTCTGGAGCTTGTGATAAATTTCGTAATGCTGTGTATGCTTGTCCGAAAAATTTATGATTGAAATCAGTATAGTATTTAAAGGCCGGCAACTCACCCACTAAAAATGTGGTGCTGCGATTACTGTCCTTTTTGGGCGTCCCGGGCTCTTATTATATATTTATATATATATAGAGCTTTTTCGAGGTATCGTTTCTTTAAACCTTAGGAAAAAACAAATCATTTTATTTATATATTTTCTCCAAATTATAGGCTGAAAACAGCAAACAGTACATAGATGACGCATTACGTCACTCGTCAACCGCACCGCTTTTGTGCGAGAGCGTACTTCGACGTGCTCATGGTACTGAGCTGCAATCCGGATTGTATGTTCGTCTGCTGGATGTACTGGCGTTGCAGAGGGACCAAAAGCAGAGGATACATGTCGATAATGCCATCAAGGTAACACTTAAGAATCCTTACTTGCAGCTTTTTATAATTAATACACCAGTTGCTTACATACGAAAAATACGTAACCATAAATGCGTATTTTTCGTATTAGTGTCGACAACTGGGCGTTTTTTAAGGCAGTTTCTGTCGCGCACCACCACTATGTGGAAATAGCTTCCTACTGAAGTATTTCCGAACCACTTAGGGTCCTTCAAGAGCGTACCAGTGGAATAATTTGTTTTGACACTTTAAAATTTTCGTAATGTAAGTAAGCAGTAAAAACGTATTGGTTTTTAACATACTTATCATAGTCATGAGTCAAAGTTCGCGATAAATCTTTGATTAAGTCAAAGGCTAACAGTTTGAGTGGCATTTGTTTTTTTAACACAGTGTTTTGTTTATTTTTGTTTACAGTGTATATAATTTTTCTCATTCATGTGTCCCTTTTTTTGTTCTTTTTTTAATACTTATTGTCCTGATCATTGTTTACATAATTAATTGTTTTAATTTAATTGCTTTGTTCCTTTAGTTTTGTCTTAATAACTGTCTTATGTATTGTATAAGTGCACTTCTTGCTTTTTTAAGGTCGATAAGGTCGCCAGTTGCCCTCCTTTTTATTTTATATAATATGTCAATTGTATTATATTTCTGTTCATGCAATGAAATGCTAATAAATAAAATAAAGTAACTGTTTTCAGAAAGTGGGCGGCACAATGTCTTCAGAAGATCTGGTCATACATCGCACAGCTAATACTGTACTAAGTGTCCCATTCTCTCACCCGGCACATCTGACTCTATGGAGACTGTTCCTCCATCTTTTTCTCCAAAGACCACCCTCCAGTCCGTAAGTTGTCCATCGTAGATGTTATGAAATTTTGTTTTATAATTAAAGATGTGTGCGTGAGTGACAATTGATTGACGATTTTGACTTTGACAAACGAGCCGGAAATAATTTATTTATTAGTAGGTGGTGTTCCGGCATAATGGCGCAAGAATAGGTAGTTAGATTTTGATCCGCTGTCGCATGCGCACTTACATTTATACCGTACCGTATTTACTATTACAATGATTAAGAATTCACTGCTTGGAGTAGGACATACCACCGTTGATGGTAAGTTCTAGTCTTAGTCTGATAGATTTTTGGATTTTTTACTATACTGAAACGCGACAGCCGAACAAGCCCATATTATATATATACTCGTATAAAGAATTTCTATAAGGTAATTCGCCCTTCTCACTCTCTCTCAATCGGTCTCAATCGCTCTTTCCCTTTTCTTCGACAAAAACGCTGTACATGTTCGTTTTCAAATTTTTACGGATACGTCATCCGTAAAAATTTTACCCTCATGCGCCTAAAGAAGTTTCAGTTCAATAAAATTGTATATAGTAAAGTTCTATATACTTAGCCGGAACAACAGTCTATTATGTAAGCACAAATTTAAATAAGTAACTTAATGTTTTGTCACGTAAAACTATGCAGTGGCCTGTCACTTTCCGAGCGGCTTGATCCCTTGGCCCTTAGAATTTGGGGTCTCTCGGCATCTTCTACTCGTACCATGGAGAATGTTAAGAGGAGTTGTTCGGAACCTCAACAAAAGAGTGTACCGATTCTTAAAAGATCGGCATCGCACTTACGAGTTTTCTGGCATTGTCCATGTGCGACGGTAGCACTTAACATCTGATGAGCCTCCAGCCCGTTTGCCCCTGCTAGGTTAAAAAAAAAACATGGTATTGCAGTGCTCTATTCATTTTCTGGTTCATTTAAAACAGTAGGTCCTTGAAATTAAATAGCTACAAAAACTCTTATTAAATTTTTGTCTCTCTATAGTTTTTCTAGTAGTAGTCATTCCTTCCAGGCACGAAACGTCACCGCCAGTTGGTCCACTATTCTTCAGTGGTCTAGTCAAGACGCGTACATTGGCCCAGTTAAAGAAACGCCTACAAGAAACGATTACGTATCACCAACAGACAGCCGAATTGTATCATTCTCCAACAGTTGATTCTCCGGAAAAATCGAATACGACGTTCGATAAAAGTCCAACCTCAAGTAATATATTCCCGGAGTTGTCGATTAGCGATATGTTTGAAGAGTCCAGTGATGAATCGAATTCCGATGTAGAAATAGAAGATAATGTTGAAGTGAGGAGTGGAGGAGACAATATCCTGGTGACATATCATAATGGCGCTGAGAGGTGAGTTACAGTCACCATTGGCTACATGAATGCCGCAGATACCTTTGGTCCTATCTAGGTTTGGACTTTGTTGAGCAATAATTGTTTTAAGTTGGTAGGGATCTAGACACAAGTTTTCGCGTTCTCCGCTAAAAAAACACCATTTGTCGCTACTCTTCTTAGTATTGTCTTACTACTCTTCTTCTCAAATGACCATGGGCGGCCGTCTTGCCCGTTTGTCCCTTGTTCTATAAAAAAAATAATATTAATTTGATTATTATTATTTTTAACGAAACAGGACTTCAAACAACCCCACTCAAAATGTTAGTTATAATATATTTAAGGCCGGCAACACACTTGCGAGCCTTTCTGGCAAAGTATGTCCATGGTATCACTAACAGGCAAGCATCCTTCCCGTTTTCCCCTGTTCTATAAAAATAAATGTTTTTATCAAGTAATGAGAAATTCTTTTAAAACTTTTTTATTTCTTTGATTAAAGTTTTTACGTTGAACATGGTAGCTTCATACATATTAAATTTCTCGGCTTTCTTACATTTTTCTCTTATTTTTTTATAGAACGGGCCTGCCTTTTAAGAATTGGATTTTTTATTTGGGAGAGAATATCAGTTAAAGGCTGTTTCTTTGTCTTGTATCGGCAATGAGTAGAATTTTGAGTAGAAAAGTACTTATAGATTGTATCAAGTAGTTTGAATATATAACAATGATTTTTAATGTATCGTATAGAAGATAATAATATCGTTTTTGGGTAGAATGGTTCGTGAATACGTCCGCTGGTTAGAGGAAGGCGATAAGGTGCGGGCGTACCCTCACAACGCTGACATCGCCATATTTATTCCTGAACAGGTAATTCAAGAAATATGCCAAAATATAAAAAACCGTTGTAGGAAAGTAATGAATTCGCTTAAACGAATGGCTATAGGTCGGTTATCGAAAGCTGGCGGGTTCACAGTACTCACACTAATGCAATTTCACATACAGTATGTTTCAAAATATGATTTTTTTGCCACTCATTTTAGTCCACTCATACACGACGGACAGTCTATTCATGATGTATTTATGATTGTATTTCAGTTTGACATCACGTCTCGCGCTTATTCACAGACACTACACAAGCACAAAGTGTAAATGTGTTGAAGCCGCCAGCTTTAGTTAACATACCTATACCATTCGTTATAATTCAGTGTTTCACAACGAGGCTTTCTAAAAGTCTTATGAAATGTAAAATACATAATTTATTATATTAAAAAAATTGAATTGTTCACTTGAAAAACTTAAATTGTAGGTCTTAGGAATAAATCACTAAGAAATTGTTAACGAAACACAGTAAGTAATTTTTCAAAACATAATGTAAAAACGTTGAGTTCATTTGCAAATTACCCTATTAAGAATAAAATTGCCCCTTTGTACCCCCTCACGTTGGGAATCACTGTTCTAATTCATCTCAATACTTAAGCACGTGCTTTCTTATATACTTGCATAAGTCCTATTTCCCCTAGGATGGGGCAGAAGAGTACATGATGCTTGATAAGCGCTACATTTAGCATCGATACTTTCTGTTTTTTTTAACTACGTAGTCGGTCCCAAAGTTCTGTCATAAATGGAAATAATGATAAAAACAAAACTACTTATCAGTTTTTAATGAGTGATATACCAATTTATAGTACATTAATTAAGGAATAGAAATAGCATAAAATTATTCGAAATGACCTCCCTTATTTTTAATATTGGCGCTTAAGCGCAGCGGGCAGTCGTCTATCGCAGCACGCACCATATTCGTGTCGATTTCAGTGACTGCTTTATTTAAAGATGACTTCAGACTCTCCAAATTTTTATGTGGTATGCACAGACCTTCCTCTCTAAGACCTGCGAAATTTTATAGTCCAAAGGATTAAGGTCCGGACTGGAGGAAGGCCAATCCTCATGTCTAATTAAGTCGATGTTTTGACGCTCAAACCAGGCTTGAGTGGTCTTGGCTGTGTGGGAAGGCGCAGAGTCCTGCTGGAACACGAAGTGATGTCCCGCAATAGCGTGCTGGGCAGTTCTTTGACAAGCCGATGCAAAACCGTATCTTGGTACACTTTTGCACTGGTTTTGACCCCCTTTATGCAAAAATGAACTTCAGTTGGCTCGTAATAGGACACTCCCAACCAGACCATTACTGATGATGGATGATGTCCATGTTGCACCCTTGGAACTTTATTTCCAGCTTCTTTAGAACTTCTGGCGTACACTCTATCATTCTGTTTATTGTACTTCTCTTCAATATCGAAATATTTTTCATCCGTAAAGAAGATATCACGGTGTCGGATTTTCGCGTACCGCTTTAACAACACCCGCGATCTCTTAAGCCTTATTGCTTTTAGAAGAGTATTAAGTAAGTGCCCACTCTTTTTTTGTATGCTCATAGACCAAGATCTTCATTTAAAACCTTTTTTTACTATTTTCCTATTGACACCCATCTGCAAAGCCATCAACTTCTGTTTTCGGACAGAATTTCTTGCTATCTGCGCCATGATAGCTTTGATTACTGCTGGTGTTCTTGCGGAGCACGGCCAGCCAGTTATTTTATTGTCCTCAACACTGGAGACTTCATTGTACCTATCAATAGTACGGTACACAAACCTAAGCGTTATATTCAAATTTTTGAGCTCCTTGAAAATGGTACTCGGCGAGTGCCCACAGCGGTGCAACGCATTAACGCCTATTCGGTTTTCTTTCAATGTCCACTCCATCGTGAAAAATTACGGAAAGTGATTGTTTTTTGTTTTAAAATAATAGTCAAACATTCAAAAATATAATATTATATTTATTTTATAAAATCATGTTCAAAATTTAAAAATAATGTGACAGTGACAGAACTTTGGGACCAACTACGTAATAATTAATTTAGTTAACACGTAAAAGTTACCCATCGAAAGATCAGGCATTATTATTTTTAATACTTAAGTAATTATTTCTATATAATGTACACTATATTATTTTTTTAATGACCTTCATTTTAGAATATTGTTTTCAGGCATTATCAGCGGCTTGGGAACTCTCCCATCCATATAATCATCCCTCTCCCTCTGTACGTGAAGTGCCCGTCACACTAACGTACTACGAACAAGCGTTGCGTGCTGTACGTAATATAAATGAACGGACTCATCAAAGGTATGAAAATTTTCATATTAAAAAAAAATATAGCTTTATTAAATTTGCGGGTTAAAACCTTCTTTAATATTTCAAACTGTTCAATTTCACGCTTCGATTTCAAAGAGTTTTGTGTATTCCATCTATGGCAAGATATAGTATAATCGTTCTTTGTTATATATTAGGTCCTTACATATGAAATTGGCGTATTTCGTACTGGCCACTTTACTCACGATGTTCTCCTCTTTGGTAAGGAATTCCAAATTCAAATTTGTACAGCTATTTACTTATGTATTTGTGCTTCGATGACCGTCATTCATTTGTTTTTTTCTGTTTGCGTCACTCATTTTACAAAATGGAAAACTTAAAGTATCGCATTATTTACGAGTACGAGTTCCGCCGTGGCACTAGTGCTGCGGAAACGACTCGAAGGGTGAATGATGTATATGGCGGTAATGTTGCAAAAGAAAACACAGTTCGTTTTTGGTTCCAACGTTTTCGTTCTGGAAATTTCGACCTGCAGAACAAGCCCCGTGGACGGCCTGAGACCCAAGTTGATAATGAAGTATTGAAGGCTATTGTGGAAGCGGATCCATCGCAAACCACGTCCGAGTTAGCTGCGGTGTTAGTGATAAAACTGTTTTAATTCACTTGAAGCAAATTGGGAAGATCAAAAAGCTTGAAAGATGGGTACCTCACGAATTGACTGAAGCAAACCGGCAAACGCGCGTCGACTGCTGCGTTACATTACTGAACCGGCACAATAATGAAGGTATTTTAAACCGAATCATTACCTGTGATGAAAAATGGATTCTTTACGATAATCGTAAGCGCTCAGCGCAATGGTTGGATCCTGGCCAGCCAGCCAAATCCTGCCCCAAGCGAAAGTTAACCCCAAAAAAGTTACTTGTAAGCGTTTGGTGGACTAGTGCCGGTATTGTTCATTGCAGTTTTCTCAAATCTGGCCAGACTATTACGGCTGATGTCTATTGTCAGCAATTGCAAACCATGATGGAAAAGCTAGCGGCTAAACAACCTAGGCTGGTCAATCGCTCCACGCCACTGCTACTTCACGACAACACTAGACCACACACTGCACAACAGACGGCTACCAAATTAGAAGAGCTTCAATTGGAATGTCTAAGACATCCTCCGCACTCCCCGGATCTTGCTCCAATAGATTACCATGTTTTTCGAAATTTGGACAACTTCTTGCAAGGGAAAAATTTTTACTCTGATGGGGCAGTCCAAGTCGCCTTCACAGATTTTATTAATTCCCGTCCGACTGGTTTTTTTTACTAAAGGGATCAATGAACTACCTATGAGATGGCAAAAGTGCATAGAAAACAATGGTTCATACTTTGATTAATTAAATATATTATATTTAAAAATATTCGACTTTTTGTTCCTCCCATACAAAACGCCAATTTCATATGTAAGGACCTAATATAATTTAGGATTACGAAATAAATAAATATTTAGCGTTAAACATCATTGGAGACTCAATAGTATACTATTGACAACATGCAACAAATGCTGAGAGTTTTTGATGACAATTTTGTCACTCGTGCACGCACTGCTATGAGTTACAGAATCGCAAGGCTGTTATGAGTGAGGAAACAGTCACGGTGACAAAAGTCACCCGTGCGCGCTAGCCCTTACGAAAGGAAAGATATGAAAAACATTTAACTAAGTTTACCTAATTCGACTGTGTTGTGTAATAGTGTGAAAGTTAGGTTGTGTACGTGAGGTTGTGCTAGTTAGGTAGGGTAAGCTCATGAGGCAGGTGATTTAGCGCTATGGATATTCTTAATACTCCTTTTAAGTATATTCCGCGATAGCTTATGCCTAAAGAAATATAATATTAAGTCCCTATCTATTATCTTAATATCTATTTATTTTAGTCCTTTGGCCTATCGAATTCACATTGGACCGCTACCTTTTTTTATTGTCCTCCCATCTTCTTATCTGATAGCCTCTCTTTCGTTTCACACTTCGTGTACCACTCTGTTACGATTTGTTTCCATTTCAGAAAGAATAAACGCGTCATTAAATCTCTAGTGGAAAATGTTAACTTTAGCGACACACGAGTCGTATTGAAGTTTATTGAAAAACATTTGGTGGAAGTAGAACAGTTTTCTCGGTAAGTTTTTTGTAAATATTGTGACTATTACACGAAAGACATTTAAGTAAACATTTTGGGGTTATAATTTATTGGTTTTTACTAAACTAATATTTTTTATTTTAAAGACTTAAGCAAAACCCAAATCTTATTAGTTTTTACAGTGATAGTCATAGATTTTATTTTACATATTATATTTTTTTTAGCCTTTTTGACCTGCTGATATTCTAATACATTAGCTTTTCTCAATAATAATTAATTAGACTATCCATCACAATGTTTTTTATCTCGAGATATCTTGTTTAAACTGAGGGGAGGGAAGCTTTCCAAACGAAACGATTTTTCCTATTGCAACACGTTATTGATGCTCCACTTCGATCGTAGTGTATGAAGCCTTATTCGCTAATAATATAGTTTTCAATTAGCGAAATAATTTTTAAAATCGGTTTAGTACTTTTAGAGTTTCACTATTACAAACAGAAAACAAGTCTGAAATAGAAACGCTACTTCATCACACTTTAAAGTATATCGTTTAACAAAACATAATGTAATTTATAGTGAATGGTCAAGCGAGGTTAGTCGTATATCGCAACTGGATGGGCGGTTGTGGGAGTTAGTCGGCAAGCTGCGCATGCGCAGACCGTTGCCGCCTGTTAAGAAAAGCTGTTCACAAAATTGTACACCGATTACAATACGAATTGCGGTAAGTGAGAATTATGGATATTTCAAGTAGTTTTTAAAACCATTGGCGCCTTTTTAGGTCTGGGCCTTAGATTTTTGTTTTTGTATCATGAATTGACAATCTAATAGGCAAGTAGGTGATCAGCCTCCTGTACCTGACACACGCCGTCGACTCATTGGATCAAAGGCAAGCCAGTTTCCACACGATGTTTTCCTTCACCGTTCCAGCGAATATTAAATGCGCACATAGACAGATAGTCCATTGGTGCAGAGTAGGGATGAGAGTCGCTCGCTTAACCCACTTGGCCAACACTGCTCATACAGTCCAGTTATAAAATAAATTTCTCGTATCTTCAATATATTATTACATAAAAAAAGTTAATCCAATAATAATTAAATTTATTGTTCTTTGAAGTCGCTAGTGCCATGATTCTGAATTTCTGTGTTCTTGACATGAGAAATATTAGCCTGTATGTAGTGTGGACTCAGTATCCGCACTTAGACGCCCATTTGGTCCGTGGTACGTAAAGTCCTGGCTAACCCTAGCACCTTCCAGAAACCGTTCATACCCAGGCTGTGCCCCAATTGAATTTGTCTCATAAGGTGAAACATCGTGAGGAAATTGGCGGGTCTTTAACACAAAAACTACATGTGCCAGGTGCAAGGCTGATGGCCTAAAAAAATGTTTTAGAAAAAACGTGTGGCACTCGGGGACTGCCGCGGTTAAGCTATTGATTGCATAGCATTTTTTATCAACGAATGCAATTATAATTATTTATTTATGCAGTATTTTTTTTCTTTGATATTAATTCAAGTTTTTTCTTTGATATTATTTCAATCTACCACTCTACCAGAATCGACTAACACACCTATATAGTCTGTCTTACTCTAACTAGTCAGAGAGATGTGAATACGCAGTATGCGTTCTGTCCCAATCTAACGCACCTGCGCTACGTCACCGATCACGCCATGATGTGAGACGCAGTATGCGTTCTGTCCCGCTATAACGCGTATTGGCCGCACCTATATTACGTCATCGTGTGTTAGGTTTTTATTGTCGTTACGGAATTTCTTGATTCGGTCGCCGCGCTCAAAGCCCGCGATAAAATCTATGCAATAGCTTAAAAAGATACTATGAAGAAACACTTTTTTTCTGTATTATGAATTGAAGGATTTCTTTGTTCGTTGTTAAAGGAAGACGAATGGTGTATATCAACAGCGGCTGAACGAGAAATACAAGAGAATAGGTAAGACTTATGTTACAAAACAAAAAACCAGTAGCGCTACAACCTTTTTTAGGTCTGGTCTACAGATTTTTGTATCTGTTTCATGATCATTTGTCAATGTAATAGGCAAGTAGGTGAAGCCTCCTGTGCTTGACACACGCCATTGACTTTTTGGACCGGTTTCCTCACGATGTTTTTCTTCACCGTTCGAGCGAATGTTAAATGCATACATAGACGGAAATTCCATTGGTACACAGCCTGGCATCGAACCTACGACCTAAGCCACTAGGCCAACACTGCTCAAGAATTATGTTACGTATACAAAAAATGCTTTTTTACCTATTGTTTTAAACCTATACGATAAGATTAATTCGTAATCATTATTTAAGAAATAAATAAGAAATTCATTGTATACTTCTCGAAATGCCACTCTCCAGTATTTTTATCGTGGTGCCTTAACAATACTGTAAAACAAAAAACTTGGCGATTAAAAAGAGTGGCGGAGAGTTTATTGCCAGTTCTTCTCTTCCGTTCTACGCCCTTGATTTGAGAACTGGTAGTAAATGTGAAATTAGAAGCATTTAATGTATATTTCCTTTTTGACGTTCATAAGTGTACGTTGTGTTACCTATATGAATAAATGATTTTGACTTTTTGACTAATACTGTGAAAGAGTAAAACTCCTCCCTCAGAGGATATAGCAGTTACGTTTAACTCTAGGAGGTATTCTAGATAGGCCTCTTTTCCAAAGGCCGGACCTCATTAACGACAGGTTAGTAGACATGTGTAATTTGTTTAAATTATCGAAGAAATATTTTAATAATATTAACAGACGTTCATCTCGTGCTAACGTGCGTCGTTTGTGCCGTGCACGACCGCATTTCGCACGTACAGCTGCCGCACTCATATCTGCTGCTACGTAAGTGCACCGTACAGATTTCATTATGTTATATTTACCTATATTTTTTCCAATACCGACAAATTAGACTAAGACATTATGAAATGATGTCTATTATCTATTGTTATATAGCTTCAATTGTTTATGTTGACAATTATGGATATTTAAATTTAGAATTCATAATTAATATATTAATTTTTATATCAAAAGATCAGACACATCTTCGCTATACATACACTAGTGCATTTATACGCACTTTTTTGAAAGTAATAAACGAAAAGACTTTCATTATAATTATTGTATCAATAAACATATCTAAGGTAAAATTGTATTGCTATAGGCACGCCCGTAATGCCGATACAGCGGTTAGTGTGTGCGAAAGAGTGTGGCGATACACCCCTCTCACTCACACGTGCACGCACGCGCAACAATTGTTGGCCAATGTCGTCGCCCTACTTGCTGAGGTAAGAAAAGAACATATTTCAAATTCAAAATAGTTTTTTAAATAGTGAAACGTTTAGTTTTAATATTATATATTAATATGAAATTCATACAAATTAGGGATTATATGAGATATAGTACTAGATATTTTAATTTTGATCACAAAGATGTATCCCATGACCCTCAGAAATGTAACTCGTGAAAAAATATCGAAAACCCATTCTCGAGAGGACTTTCCTCAAACAATTGCCAGTTTAGTACATTAATATAGATTACAATAAATGACAAAATTTAAATAATAATAACATATTTATGAGCGACTTAGAAATTGTTACACTAGTAGAAAGAGGATAGTTAGCCTACTATCTTTTAGTATCGTTCTCTACTTAAAGTCTTGCGGAGGGTGGTAAGAAACTCAAGTGTAATCGCTTTCGTGCGATCTTTTCCAGGCAACAGGCAAGAAGTGCAAAACTAGATAAGACAGTTTTTTAGTCAAAACTAATGGAACCAAGCAAAGCAATTGAAACATTAACACTGAAAGGGATAATAAAAAAGGACACATGAAAAATAAAAAGTGCACATGAATCACGATAATTTTAGATCATTTAGTACGAAAGTTAGGGATACGATGTGGACAGGTAATGCTTGTACAGTAGAGATTTAAAGGAAGGTAGGGAAGGAGCTAAGCGGATAGGAACGGATGTGTGTGAATATATATAATAAATAAATAGTTTATGAGTTTTGGAGAGGAGATACATCATTTAGTTGAATAATGTTGACAAGTATTTGAAGTCAGTTTAAATTACCTTAATTTTATTTCGTTTACAGAAATGGATCAGTCACGACTCACGTCGTATAGTGGAATTACTGTCTCGTTGGAGCCGAGGTGATTCTACCCAGCAGTTACTCTGCAGTGCCCTTATATCGCCCACAAAATTGCCCATGAGCGAGTGGTCACACGTGTATGTAGCGACATGTAAGGCCAACTTGCCGTCTCACACTACGTTTAGTTATTTATCTAAGGTAAGAGTTTTCTACCTTTCATAGTTAATGTAAATAATTATAGGTACAGTTATATAGGTGTTGGCCTAGTGGCTTCAGCGTTGACTCTTATCCCTGAGGTCATAGATTCGATTCCTACCAATGTACTATCTGTCATGCGCATTTAATACTCGCTCGTATGGTGAAAGAAAACATCGTGGGGAAACCGGAATACTTTAGACCCAAAAAGGCGTCAGGCACATGAAATCACAGGCTGATCACGTATGTTCGATTTTTCAGCTATGTTTTTTTGCTTTATACAATATTCTCAACCTACATAGTAATAATAATTAAAAAAAGATAAATAGAAAATTAAAACAAATTTTTAGAAACAAAAATTTAAAGAGTTTGGTCACTGTGGCAGCGTAGCTTTAACGCTGGCAGCATTTCCTCACGGTATAAATATATACTTATTCGTTGAGCGAGGAAAGCACCAGCTCCGGGGTCACCACCACCTGGTAGTATCAGGCGCCAACTTAAATCTTTAATTAGCGCCTGTGCACTTGAACCCCACGGCCCAAGGGTATTTTGCTTTGTGTTCACACTTATCTGTAGGGATATTAACAATTCAAAGCATGGTAAACTCTGCTTGCGGCTATTTTTTTTACTGGAAATATATTATATATATTATCTTTAATAGAAACAGATGACTGTAAATAATTAACAAAAATATACCTGTTTTCACCTGGCAACCCTAACGTTGCGGCCGTCGACCATTTTCTTTCTTTTTATCATTCCCTTCGAATAACGTAACCTTTTAAAAAAAATCAATAGTTGCAATATATATCAGCAAATTAATTATATGAAATCGCTATTCCGTTGCATTTTTCAACATTAAAATTACTGTCATAAAAAAAACATATAGCTGCAGAATCGAGCAGGGATCTTATTAGGGAAAAAACCAAAACAAACGAAACATACAGAAATCTGAGACCCAAACCTTAAAAGGTTGTAGCGCTACTTGAAATCTTATTATTAAACCATTCGGAAGGATTTTTTATCGCTCGCGGCACTCCAGACTCATTAGGTCCCTTATTTTATAATTCTCTATATCAAAATTCAGTCTGTTTCATAAGTGCCTTTTTGTAAAGTTTTTCTATGACTGATATTATTTAATTATATTTAAGAATTATCGTTTCTGGATGTCATCAGTTCTTTGTTAGAGAGTACCAATGTTTACTATTTGATATTGGTTTTAGTGTACCCACACTATTCATAAATTATTCCTTGATAGTTCGACATATCCCGATGGGCCATCGCAGTAGAAACAGCACAGCGTAGAGAAGTGCTTCTAATAATCACTGACACTGCGCAGAAATGGGGCCCTAAACCTGACACGGAGCATCATGTGCTTATCGAGGTATTTATTTTAGGTATTAGGCTAACATCGATTTGGTCGATGTATGGGAGAGAGGAGATTTCTTGCATTCGAAAACTGTATAAAGAAGTAATTGTACGCGCAGGTGTCTATCGTTCCAAAATGAGCGTTTGTTAAGGCAGTTTTACGGGCACCAATTCTCCGTGGAACCAGCTGCCCATTGAAGTATTTCCGAACCAATTCGACTTAGGGCCCTTCAAGGAAAGAGCGTACCAATTCTTAAAAGAGCAGGAACTTGCGAGTCGTCTGGCAATACGAGTGTCATGGGCATAACCACTTAACATCAGGTGAGCTAACTAAAAAAGCCGGCAACGCACTTACGAGCCCTCTTGCAATTTGAGTGGGATATCACTTAACGTCAGCATCCTGCCCGTTTGTCTGTTATGTATAAAATACATTTTTATTTGCTTTATTTAACTATTATACGGACTGTTTGAAATAATTTAGTATTTTATTCTAAAATCAAGAACACAAACAGTACTGATATTTTTAGCAGATTATATTTATGTTAACTGAATAGTGAAGCAGTATACTTCTTCCGTTCCTACCGCTTTTTCCATCTTGAATCGTCCACTCTTTTTTGGCTTCCTCTATACTTTTATGTACGATCCTTTTTTCATTTGGTAACTTAAGCATATCACCAACATACTTCCAGCTGAATAGGCATCTCCTGGACAGACCTGTCCTCCAATAGGCCACATCTCATTTAACATTGGGTGGGGTTGTGGCCGTCTGTCCAGATCAGTATTAAAAAAATACATGAAAATAATCCAGTCACAAAGGATATATGCATTTTTCTATATTCTTCTTCTGAGTGATTTTTCAATGCTGTCAAAATTTGTTTCTTTACATAATGTCTAACATATCAACGATACTTTAGACTAGAGTCTAGTCTAGTCACTAGACACTATCGAAATAATATTTGTTACAGCTTTTAGGCGTCCACTCACACGCTATTGTTTCATCTGCGGAACTAAACGTTCACGTGTGCGAAGCTTTCCGACGCGCAGCTTCAGGAAAATTACCGCCGGGATTTTGCGCACATTTGACAAGAGCCGTGGAGTCGCATGCGCATCTGCTGACATTTGATCAGGTATTTATTTGAAATCACGTGACCGTGTGTAAAAGATATGCATACAATTTCCTATAGATTTGTTCATTATTAAATAATTTAAAATTTATTAGGTGTCTTAAAATTGATACCAATAACCAAAATAGTTTAATAATAACTAAGTTAATATCATTTGAGTAGTGTTGGCGACTTCAGCGTGCGACTCTCATCCCTGAGGTCGTAGGTTCGATCCCCGGCTGTGCACCAATGAACTTTCTTTCTATTTGCGCATTTAACATTCGCTCGAGGCTTGTCTTAGACCCAAAAAGTCGACGACGTGTGTTACTTGCCTATTAGATTGACAAAAGATTATGAAACAGATACAGAAATCTGAGGCCCAGACCTAAAAAGGTGGCACCGGGACTGGTTATTATTAATATTACTATATTTCTTAGCTTTAGGCTCAAATTTCACAGATTCTGTAATTGCATGATTATAGATCGGCCATTTCCTACGCGACTTAGGCAGTATTTGGTGGGAGGCGCGTAAAAGTTCCTCGAACAGGCAAATGTATCCCCAATACGCAACGCACGTAGCGGCCGTGTTGACCTCACTACAACGGGCATTCGTCGAGGCTGCTCGGAACTTGAGTTATGCTCCTGAAAGAGGTAAAATATGGTGATTTGGCTTAATTTTTATGGGACAAGGGCAAAACGAGCATGTGACCCTGCAACACCAGGATGCTTGATAGGAAGGAAGCTCTTGTGTTGAAGATATTAACAATGGAGACTAGCTGACCCGGCAAACGTTGTTTTTCCATGTATAATATTTCTAGGATTTTTTTTTAGTTCAATAGAAATAACTATCTACTATAATAAAAAATAGGGGTTGATCGTAGAGAGGTGAAAATTAAGAGTTGTATGCTATATTAATACTATATATATATTACAAAATATACACACACACACATAAAATACATACATATATATATATGTATTACATATTTCCAAGGACCTCTTATTGAGTATAGGCTTCCTCCAATTGACTCCATCTCTCTCTGTTTTGAGCATTTTTCTCCCAATCCTCTCCACCAACTTTCTTAAGCTCGTCGGCCCACCGTGCAAGAGGGCGACCACGCTATCTTTTTCCTGGTGGCCCTTTCCACTTTGTTACTCTCTTTGTCCATCTGCCATTGTTCATTCGAGCGGTATGGCCCGCCCATTTTCACTTAAGTTTTTTGCATCAATAACCTTTGTTTTGTCTCTTATTTGTGTACTTCTGATCTTGTCCTTCACTTTTAAATTGAGTATACTGCGTTCCATTCCTCGTTGACAAGTTGTTATTTTTCTATTTGTGTTCGAGTCACATATCCATGATTGGCAACCGTAAGAAAGACATGGCAATATACACGTGTCTAAGACATTCTTTTTTAAGTATGTATATATGCTATATGATATATGATGTTGCTATATATTGCTATATGATGTGTATGCTATATTATAAAAAAATAAAAACAAAAAATTTTGCCAATGTAATTTCGTATTCTGTCGACGGCCGATGTTGAAACTCAGCTGCTGGTATTAGTCCGAACAACTCTGAACACTTTCCATGGTTAATGCGGTAGATTATGATCTCAGCCGTCGGTAGTTGAATTTAAGATTTTAACGCACACACGAATAGAAAGAACATACATACAATAAAAGTTATTGTCTATACATGTTTGTGTATATGCCATTTCAGTGACGCTATATTCCTGGTCATCAATGGTAGAATCATGGTCAGCGTGGATTTCACCACAGTCCCTCGAGCCACTTCTTCCTTCCACGTGCGAGGATGAAAAGTACACGCAAATGCTTCAAAATTTTCTCACTTGTGTACTGAAAGTTTTGGAAGATAGTCCCGGTGAGTTTGTTTTTGTTGGTTATTTATATATTTAATACGACTTTTAGGTGATTATTTTATTTATAGCTTTGAAATGCGTGTAATGAAATGAACCTTTAGATGTTCGAAATACATAATTTTAATTTAAAAATTTGATTCCAAATATTTTTACTCGGCCGATCCTCACATTTTTTGACCAGTCATTGTTGAGATTTACTCGGGTTACGTTAGATGCATTTCTTATACTTTTTGTTAATTATATTTGTCAATAGTTACGCCCTCAATTTAGAATTTTATAGTGAGTGTTTTTTGCGTGATTGTGAACTATTGTAAGGCAAGGTATCAGCATCAGTCTAACCTCTCTTTGTTCCCAAACTTATAGAATTTCTCCAAATCCTTACGGCTGACAATATTGTGTGCGTTAGTAAGGAGACATTGTAACGAAGCATGTACTCAGGACTTATTATTCTAGTATAAGATTGTGTATCGACGGCCACCGAACCGTTGTTTGTGGTACATTATTTTTTTGGTAGATGTTTTAAGACATAATCTGGTATTGCGTTAAACGCATAACGTTGTCATTTCGTTATTGGTCCGTTTTGAGTTTTATATCTCATTCATTTTAGGTATGTGCGTGCTCTTTTTTGTCAAAGGTCTCCTCTAAATCCCACTGTTCCTCTCAGCACTGTGCCACTCTCTTCCATGTTCCACTTGCTGTTCGTTTAATTTGGCCTATCCACTTTAAGGTGTCTTTCTCTTTTTCGTTTATTGTACCAGTTTAGTACTTTCTCGCTCCAATTTGATGTTCCTCCTGCCATGTGCCCCACCCACTTCCACTTTAGTTTATTTATTTTTATAGTAACTTCTGCTACCTTAGTTGTTCTTCTTAGATACAAGTATTGAAGATCTTTCTTTTAATTACTATGCTTGTTTTATATTTTTCATGACTTCAGCGCCCAAAAGCTCTTTCATGCTTTTGCCGCATTTACATTAAGAGACCGCCCATTTACATTATTTGCAAGTTTTGTCATTATTTTTAAGCGTTTAGCCAAACATTCAGAAAACTTATGCCCTGAAATTTCGCTCTCAACTGCGAAAATACCGATTTAAAAGGTTCATAGAAATGTATAAAGATAGTCCTTTAAAACTTGTATATAACAAAAACTTGGGATTTTTCAGATAGCACAGAATCTCTTCTATACGAAATATGGAGTTGGTGTGTGGAGACATACTGTGCCAACAGTAGGGATACCACACAAGAGTGCCGCGTCCAACTGTCCGCATTGTTGTCCATTGTCCTACAACTTGACTGGCGTCATCAGTGGTTTAAGTCTGCTTGTCTTCCGAGAGTTATTCAGGTGAGACTTAAAACCGATTGGATTCAAAACCAATGAACATAACCAATCTATGTTTTATTATATTAAAGCAAATCTCGTCGAACGCGAAGGTCATAGGAAAAATTTATGTTACCGTAAAATGTATGTCTAAATACTGTTAAAATACAATAATTTCGGTTAATTTGGTAATGAGCTTTAAATTTCTTTTTTTCTTTTGTCCTTACTAGGGTTGCATAAAAGAGATCGCTTCTAAATTTCTTGACTCCTTAATAATTTATGTTATCTAATTGATTAATGCAACAAAGTGGTTATAAAAGAAATATAAATTATATCCACAAAAGGTATTCTTGCTATGAACGCATTCCCTTCATATATCTGCATACGCCCTTGCAAACCGATAAAAATAAAACTTAATTTACTATTTTTTTTATCATTTATATCATATTTTTTTAGTTTCCTTTTTTTTCATTCACATATATATATATATATAAATTGTTTTGTTTTAAAATCTTAACTTAACATTTTGTTAATATAAATCTGTTAAGTCGGTTTACGGACGATAGTTTAACGTGACAACGTTCTAACAAAACATTGATGAAATGATTGCATACTTTTATGAATAAAATTGAATCATTTTATTGAATTATCATTATTTTGTATGGATATGTTAACGTAAAATTGTAAATACCGTTAGATTGTAATCTATCTCGCGAGCTTATAAACTGTCGAAAGATTGTGAACTCAACGTACTGCTTACAATTTAACGTATTATTATTCGGTAGATTATAATCTATCGAAGTGAAATCGTCAAATTGTGAAACGGTACGCACCTCGCGCGCTGATTGGTCGGCTTTATAGTAGACCGTTATATTATGTCCATAGAGTTAGGAATGAAACAAGGGTATCGGTCAAATAAAATGAATGCACTTCAAAAATTAGTATTTATTATATCAATAATTCTGACATCACATGATGAAAAAAAAAATATATCAAAATAAAAAAATCAGCAACGTAACAATATTTTCTCTTCAAACACAAATTAAAATTGAAAAATTTATGAAATTTTCTTTTAGAAAAAAACGATCACAAAATAAAATCAAAATTAAAAAAAAAACAAATCGAAAACATATGAACGTTTTTGAAAACAACAAAATTGTCTATTATATAAAAAATAAGAAAGTAAATTGCATCAATAAAATGTTCAATTATTGTTGCACGTCAACGAGTTGTGGCACCTGGAGTTACAAAGAACATTAGCTTTCTTTTTATTTCTTTGCAATTAAATTTTTTACTATTTTCATTATGCCCGCTGTAATAGTTTTGTAACTCTATGGTAAATTCTTCCTTATTAACAATACCTAATATTACTGAGTTTTGTTGATCGACAGGCTCAATATCCGACCTTTTAAATACGAGATCACAAAGGTTCACGCGAATAAAAAATATTAAAACACGGAAAATGTATGTAATTTAGACTATGTTTGGAGACCAACACTAACTTAATTATCATTCAAACTGCACTTCTTTGGTCAATCACTGATTAATTTTACTTCCACAACATTTTCATAGAACTTTTCACGTTCACTTTCAACATCCTAAAGCTGTGAGTTACTTTCAAGACGACATCAATTTACATCCACCAAAACACCGTTTGTTTACATTCGACAACAAACGAATTAACAAACAAATATGGTCGCCACCATGGCATATTCCGTTCAACCAATCAGCGCGCGAGGTGCGTACCGTTTCACAATTTGACGCTTTCACTTCGATAGATTATAATCTACCGAATAATAATACGTTAAATTGTAAGCAATACGTTGAGTTCACAATTTTTCGACAGTTTACAATCACGCGAGATAGATTACAATCTAACGGTTTTTACAATTTTACGTTGACAGATACAAAGAAGGAGTGAATCCTCAGACGCATAGGCCAATCGAGTGGAAGAGAGATAGATGCGGAAAGCGTACGATGAGCGTAACGGGACAATGAGTCATGCTTTTTCGTGCGTGCAGCCGTTCATCGTTTTACTAGACGTTGTCACGTCAAAATCATTAATTGTTTTGTATTGTTCCACGTATCTATGAACCACAGTCTTTCTGTTCACCCACTACACAGAGATGTAACGTGGGGACCAGCATCTGTTTAATTAACTACCATACTGTAATGTTTTTTTGAAATAAATAAATATTTACACAATGTGTACGTTGTGACCAGTGTTATCCTATATGACATAGTAACTATGGCAACAAACACTGTACAACCACGCTACATAATTAGACCCATAATTAATTATGGAATTTATATTTCAGATTAGCGAATCAGGTGATAGAGAGATCACGACCTGGTCCAGTGTTACGTTGAGTCATACGCGAGCGGAGACGTGGCTGCGTTCAGTGCCTGACGTACACGTCGCTCCTACGTTGGGTGCGCTCTTCGATTTGTTCGTGTCAAAGAACATGCAGTATTCAGAACAGGTATAGTTTCATATTACCTTTGTGACAAATAGATGACCTGGTGAACTTCGCATCACCTACATATATATTTGTAATGTAGTCAAAACTTAGTACAAATTTTTAATCTACGTTATTTAATATAATAATAATTTAATTCATTTAGATAACATCCATTTTAGTTCAAGTACAACTTGAAGACTAATTTTAGTTACGAACATCAACAAATAAAAAAAAAGTGTCTGTACTTATGTACACAGAAAAAATGACACTAACAATAGAAAAAACTAAAATGTTGACTGTAGCTAACTTAAGGGTGTCGGTATGCGCATCGTAATAATTTACTCTTATCATTTATCCCTAAAGCGCCAAAAGAAGTAAAACTTCAAAAATAAAAAAATTGTTACCATACATCAAAAAATGCTGCGAATCGATTATTGCTTTTTGATGATATTTAGAAAAAAATATATAAAATTTAGTAATATGTAAGAAAGACCTTTTGGAATTTGTCCGAAATTGTTCTTTTTGTTGAAACATCGTGAGGAAACCGGCTTGCCTTAGACCCAAAAAGTCGACGGCGTGTATCAGGCACAGGAGGCTGCTTCTACTTGCCTTTTAGATTGACAAATGATCATAAAACAGAAATCTGAATCCCAGACCTAAAAAAGGTTGTAGCGCAACTGATTTATTTTAGTAGCAGTTTGTCTTTCTTGTCTTGAAGTTGTGTTTAGTAGGTCATTAGCCTATTTCCCAATATTATGATAGCTTTACTTATTATTTTAAAGTTCATATCGGAATGTTGCGGAGTTTCCTGGTGGAGACTTCCTACAGAAGCTCTGGACCAGCTGCTGGAGAAGTTCTACTTCCAACACCATAACCCAGGAATGCCGTACTGCGACCTGCCACAGTTCCGGTACTTATTTTTTGTTACTTTACAAATTCCATTTATATTTTTAATATAATTTTGTTTTTCTTACTTGATTTCTTATGTTTGTTTTGTCCGTAAATTTTATTCACGTCTTCTGCACTCTTGTCAGTTTACGGTCACCTGTTAAGACGGTAGTGATTTTATAAATAAATAAGTATAAAAAATCTTAAGGTTAACATTTCCGTAAATATTAAATAATCTAAATTTCTATAATAAATAATATATGTGAGATGGTTAATGAAAAATTAAACGATTTATAAAATTGTATTAACGTATAAATGCAAATTTATTATATTACTTATTTTATTAATTTTTATCATTAATTGTCACTGCTTTTTTATCTTTAAATATTTTTGTGTCCGGTTTTAGTGTAATATTTCGGTGAGGTCCTGTGCGTGTTTTATTGGGGGGAAATGAGCCTACGGGACTCTTAAAAGGGGCAGCCATCGCAGTCCATGGACACCCATTTTAATGGGCCGGCCTTTGAGAGAAGAGTATGCTCTTTCTTTAAACAATTGAAGGTCGTATCTACCTGGGAAGACTCTCACTCGAAGGCGATTCCACAGTTCGTTAGTTCGCAAAGGAAATTGTCTTGTGAAATGTGTTCTCCGTTATATCCGTTAAAAAGTGTTATATACGTAAACCAAAAGCAACGAAGCGAAGCAATTGATTAACGGAATGCTGATGACCAATCACATTCAAGAGAAACGCGACATCGTTTCGTCTTTTGTTTTACCATCCCTTTGACTTTCTTAATAATTTTTATTCCATAGCATTGTCCTATCGGCCAGTCAGCTAAGCGTTCACCCAAACACGCCGAGTACGATCGTCAATAATGCCACGTCACACGTGAAGCGTTGCCGCGCCGTTTCGCAGTACGTAAGAGCCGTTGTGTCGCCGCCCTTACAGTCGCATCTAAGGACTCACGTGACAAGATTATTGCAAGTTATTACTGAACTTGGTAAGTTGCATATTATTATAGAATAACGTTTTAATCGGTTTTGTCAGGTAGGGAGACTATTTTTTTTTTTGTTGAAAAAAGTTTAGTTACTTATATATTTTAAATTGAAGACGCGTATGTACGCGATAAAGTCGTCAAAAACTACCGAACAGATTTTGTGTGGTGATTTTGCAGGTACAGTCAAACCTGGATAAGTGAGAGCTCAAAGTACCGCGATCTCATCTTCTCTTACAGAGGTTTCTCACTATCCCGAGTTTCAAGTTTACAGAGTTACAGAAGAGGTCTATCTCACATAGGTCTATAAACCTATAGAAAACAATAAGAGACTCACATTTGGTTTGAATTAAATAGGAGTCCCTCGAAATTTAAGAATGTGTCATAAATAGCAAAAGTCAAATACGTTTAACTGTTGCTTATAGAGATATAAGCAAGTGTCAATCTCACTTATAGAGGTGTACACGTGAAAAATGATTGTCACTTATACTGTTTTCACGTTTCTCACTTAAAGAGGTTTTAGGAGGGCAAAATGAAGGGACCCAGCAAATACTCTCATGAATAGAGTTTTCTCGCTTACTCAGACAGAGAAACCTGAGTAAGTGACAACTGGGTATGTAATTTATTAGGGTTTTATGTAAATTCCACGCGTTTTGTTAAATTACTTTAATTGTGATGTGGTATTCACGTGTGTCTTTGGCAATGCCTTTAATTCGAACTTTTAAAAGGTTTATTACAAGGGCTTTTATAATTTTTCTAAATACACGTGATTCGACCAATCTTTTTGTCGTTTTAACCGAAATATTGCGATCTTTCCATATTCGCAATAGTTTTGTAATGGCGTCTTTGTTAAAAATAAAAAAGCCGTTCATTATTTCATTACAGTATTTGTTTCAGTACCATACACTCAGGGTCATTTAGAAGAAATTCTCAGTCGTATAATGGTTATTATGTGTATGGAGCCTGCAGCTAAAATTGTTCTACCCGTAAGTTTCTATTCACTTTCGTATAGAAAAATATAATATATTAAAAAGTGTGAATTTTATTTGATTTTGAAGTGGAACTTCTTTAGGCACACGAGGGTAATATTTTAACGGATGAAACGCAATAATAATAATATTAGCGTCATAAAGATGTGCAGCGATTTGTTGGAGAAAAAGGAGAGAGCGATTGAGACCGATTGAAAGAGAGTGAGAAAGGGCGAACGTAGCATGAAGCAAATAGACATGGAGAAAAAAAATATAATTTTCGACACTTTTTATATTTTAATGACAATTAAATTCCTAACATATCTTCCTTTCCCCTCCCTCTAAGTCTCGGAAATCTAAAGTTTTAGATTTGTATAAATATGAACAAGATTTAAAAATTAGTCTGCCACTTCTGTCATGTGTACTATGTACACACGCACCTTTTTTTTTTTTAAGAATACACATGTGTGCTTTGTCTTTAGATGTTTTATTGGCATAACTTAGTTGAAACGGCTTTTATTGTTCATTTGATAATGTTTGTCAATACTAAAGCCGTGCGATCCAACTTCTTCTACCAATGATTATTTCCTATGTGAGAGCTTGTGAAGAAAGAGAACCGTCGTTCTCGTCGATTATAGTGTGAAAGTAATCCTTATACTTAATATTAAAAGATAAATTTTTTGTGAATAAGCAAACTGTATAACTTTAACGTTAAACAAAGGAATGCCCATGTGCATGTGTCACAACTTCTTTTATAATCTATTCCCTATTTCGACTCCATCAACAATCCCACTTCGGGCAGATGTTCAACGTCAATTCGTAAACAACCGATTGAGACAAATGAACAACTATGGCACATGCGCAATTGTAGCAAGATTCTTAAGAATATGTTTCTTAAAATGTTTAAAATTTAATTAAATAAATAATAAAAACTAACTATTATATTGAAACACAGCCACGCTGGTTCTCTTTCCACAGTTTGCAATATCACATATATAAATCGTTGGTCTTAGAACAAATGCAATGCTTATTTAAATAAAAAAATTAAATTGCATATTTGTATTTCTGAAACTAGTTTATTGTCTTTTATTGTTATTGTATAATTTCATTTCTCTTCTATTCAATGAAAAATTTCAAGAAAAGAGTACGTGCATACCAATTCTTGAAAGGCCGGCAACGCAACTGCGAGCCTTCTGGCAATGTGAGTGTCCATGGGCGGCAGTATCACTTAACTTCAGATGAGCCTCCTGTCCGTTTGCCTCCTATTACATAAAAAAAACATTGTATTTTTGTATGGCGTGTGTTCTCTGTAAGTGTTTGTATGTTAGTGTGCCTTTTTAAATTGAATAAACATTCTTTAATAAAAATTGTAATACAGGTTTTATTACAATGGCTGTCACAATGCAACAGCACGTTACGAGTAGCGAGCATGTCCTCTGTAGCTTCGATCACGGTGTTCGATTATTTCCTTCCTCTAGCTGATTTGTTGGCGAAGACACACTTAAATAGTGGTAAGATTTTATATATTTATTCATTACTTTTGTTCGCAAAACATCTCTAGAGCTTAACGCATATGACCATAACATAATCGGTTCTTTGCAAAGGCAAAAAACAAATTAATATATAATAAAACACGGATTTCGGATTGGGGGTTTTTAAGATTCAGGCATGGGACTGCCAACCTTGAGGTCGTGCGTTCAAATCCCAATTATTCGATTTTTCTTTTCATGTAGGCAATTATTAGCATGGTTCGCAAGCATTATCTATAAAATAAAAATGATCAAAAAATCGCTGCAAAGATCCATATATGGTTATAGCGCCAATAGATTATTTTATTAGCCCTTAAGATTAGCGCTTTTATGTGTTAAATAATGAAGTATTATAAGATAATGAAATGATAAAATCTTACAGCTGATGGCACGGGTTGGCAAGAAGCAGTGATCCGTTGGAAATCAAGCCCCTGGTGGGAGGCGAGTGCGTGCCTCAAACGTGCTGGATTGTATGCCGCGTACGCACTTCTACGTGCACGTCCCAACGAGCACACACCCGAACGTATATGTGAAGCTTTATTGGCTTTGAACAATACTGCGATTAACTTGTAAGTGGTTTTATCAATGTTCTTATTATTTAGGACTAAAATCAAGATCAACAGGGAGCGGAAAATAATATCTTCTGTATTTATATATATATATATATATATATATACTTTTTATATGAAATAATTATTATGTGCAATATACGGGTCCGGCAAGTCAAGCGAAAAAGTGGTACGGCTGTACCATTCATTTCTCGAAGCAGTTAAGCCCATTTTAGACTCTCCTGTAACTTCGGTGTGGATTAAACTAAAGGTAAACGCATGAAAACGCAATGTATCTCACTAGTAATACATAAATTAGATTCAAAATCAAAATACGTTTATTCAATTTAGATGCGTCTTATAGTACGGGAGGTAGCAACGTTTTCGAGAAAGAATTTTAGGTCAGCTGATTTTGTGATATGTCTTCCTTCTTGCACTTTCGGTTAGAGTCTTGGCAATCTGGCTGGCGGTAGCGGTTGCGTTCTTTAGTGCGCATCCTATCTATCCAGGTAATATCCTGGATTTTAAAAGCATTTTAAGAAGCGTAATTTTTAATTTTTCCTTTTTAAATAAGTCTACCTGACATACTTTTTTTATTGCCAGACATTTTTCACATTGCTAACTACATATGTGCCAGTCGCGATTTAAAAATTTTTTTTATAAAAATTTCAAAGTATTTTAGAATGTCTGTAATTTTAATATTATGTTCTTTAAATATAAGAAAAACTAAAAATGAATTTGCCAGACATTAATTCGGTTGTTAAGTCTTGAATTAAAATGAAAAAGTATTGCAGTATGATGAAGCGTTGCATTTTAAGAAGCGCAATTTTTAATTTTTCCTTTTTAAATAAGTCTACCTGACATACTTTTTTTATTGCCAGACATTTTTCACATTGCTATGTGCCAGACGCGATTTTAAGTTTTTTTTTTATAAAAATTTCAAAGTATTTTAGAATGTCTGTAATTTTAATATTATGTTCTTTAAATATAAGAAAAACTAAAAATGAATTTGCCAGACATTAATTCGGTTGTTAAGTCTTGAATTAAAATTATAATTGACCTATTCTTTTCTTGATAATTGTATTTTAATTTATTATAATTGACAGTGAAAATAAAATGGCAGAGTGACAGCACACTTGTTCTTTATTTGTTACGTCTTCCAAAAAGTAGTTTTAATATGGCTGGCTTTGGTTTATATAGACTCATCCCCTCCAAGTGGCTGGCATTTACGGTTGGCAGGCATGGCGGTTGGCTGGAGGGTTGGTCAACATGGCATGGCTTGGCTTTGGCATTGGCTATGGAATTGGCTATGGCATTGGCTATGGCATTGGCTATGGCATTGGCTATGGCTTTGGCTTGGCTTTGGCTTGGCTTGGCAGGATGTGACTGGCGACGTCACGTCCGTTACACTCGGCCATCCTGAAACAGTTGTTCCCGTGGGAACAACATCTACAATTAGCCCTCTAATAAATCAATCAGATCTTCGGTTTCAAGTTGCTCATCTGAACTGCTGGCACTATCAGATACAGTATTAATGCTTTTATAGGGTCTTAACGAATCGGCAGATAGTAATCCAGTAAAACTCTTATATCCACGTAAACCCTTTAGGTGTACTTCTCATTTGGTACCTATCATTGCCCACTACCTTAGTTACAACATAAGGACCGGAATACAAGTCGTCAAGTTTAGTGTTAACTTTGGATGCGCTACAAGTCGGTGTTTGTCGCCATAGGACAAAATCACCCTGCTTATAGATGTGAGCAGATTTTCGTTTTTTGTCAAGTAACGTTTCATTGTAGTACTCGCTTTTAGTATCCTATCAGATGCTTTCTTTCGACGCGACTCTACTGGTTCAGAAACACGACCGGGAACCGCAACATCACATACTGATCTACCGGCCCGAGCAAACATCAAATCGTAAGGTTTGTAAATGGTGGTTATCAATTGTGTTGTTAATTCACCAAATTATGTCGGGCAAAGAGTTAGCCCAATTGCTAAAGGCTTCACTGGGGTCTGTGGCTCGTAATGCATCCAGTATTATCTTATTTGTACGTTCCACTTGACCGATAGAACGCGGACAAGCGAGAGTATGTCTTAATTGTTTATCGTTCGAAAACTTCTTAAAGTTACTCGTGAACGCCTTTCCGTGATCGGTGACTATGTGATCAGAGAAGGAAAATAAACGAAATATTCTTCGTAGTACTCGAATAGTTTAACCTATTGTCGTTCAAGGTTTTACGATAGAGCCTATCATCAATAATTTCGAAATTATTTTATATCCGCCGGTATTATCTTTTAATTGACTAACGATTGCGCTCCACTATCGTCCTGACATTGCACCGTATAAAACTAATCCGCCACTTCTAGACGATTCATGTTCATAGCATCAACCGGATGTCTACTAAGCGCATCTACATGTTTCATATGTTCTCCCGGCCTATACTCGACACTTATATCGTAATCTTGTTTAGAAAGCCACCACCTTCGCGATATGTGGTATAATGTCGCGTTTAGTAAGCGTAGCGCGGACTGCTGCACAATCTTAACCTTTTTCCCGACAATGTATACGCGAAAACGACGCAAAGATTCCACCGACTGCCAGAGTCTCAAACTCATAACTATGATACATGCTCTACTAAAATATATAACGGGGCGCAACGTACCGTCAGTCTGCTTTTATAGAAGTATACCGGCTATTCCCAATTTACACGCGTCAGTCATAAATCAGTAGTTACGGGTTCACCTATATTATTGGCAAAAGTATGGCAAGCAGCAAAGGAAATTACCCGACTAGTGACTATACGGCTGTAACGGAGATTCCTGGCAGCTTTCAGCCCTTGTTAGGACCTTTTCTGGCGACCACACGATAACCTCGCACCCGGTGTTGACGACTTTGATGTAACCATCTTCGCCACGGAGCAGGGTAGAGGGATAAGAGTAGACCACCACACTCGTAGTGTCGAGGTGGCGTTATCACATCGTTGCCGACCTTATTCTCCAGAACGCGCACTTGATGGAAAGAAGAGCCAGATGGAAGTTTGTCTTTGTTGACTTCGCTGTTGATAGGTTGACCGATGAAAAGATTAACGTCGGCCATCTTGATGCTAGAGATGCTTTTTCCATTGCTCCCACGTATAATCGTAGTCCTACAGGCGCTTGTACCTCTTCTTCGCTTGACCTCGTAGTTTATCGTATATTCCTCAATGTCAAGGTCGAATTCCGGAGTCAAAAATGCAGCACGATGTACTTGTGACTTATTTGGAGCTTCATCAACACAGTCATTTTGAAGATCGCGTAGAGCCTTTACTATTTCTTTTTATTAGCAGATTCTTGAGCAGCTTCAGTGCCGGCGGTGGCCGGTGAAGGATCTTCCTCCGACATTGATTCGTCAGAAGGTCGAAAAACTTGTGGTCGAGGTCGTTTTATCCCACTTCTGAGTATAATTGACCTATTCTTTTCTTGATAATTGTATTTTAATTTATTATAATTGACAGTGAAAATAAAATGGCAGAGTGACAGCACACTTGTTCTTTATTTGTTACGTCTTCCAAAAAGTAGTTTTAATATGGCTGGCTTTGGTTTATATAGACTCATCCCCTCCAAGTGGCTGGCATTTACGGTTGGCAGGCATGGCGGTTGGCTGGAGGGTTGGTCAACATGGCATGGCTTGGCTTTGGCATTGGCTATGGAATTGGCTATGGCATTGGCTATGGCATTGGCTATGGCATTGGCTATGGCTTTGGCTATGGCTTTGGCTTGGCTTGGCAGGATGTGACTGGCGACGTCACGTCCGTTACAAAATGAAAAAGTATTGCAGTATGATGAAGCGTTGCATTTTAAGAAGCGCAATTTTTATCGATTTTCTTATATTTAAATAACATAATATTAAAATTACAGACATTCTAAAATACTTTGAAATTTTTATAAAAAAAAAACTTAAAATCGCGTCTGGCACATAGTTAGCAATGTGAAAAATGTCTGGCAATAAAAAAGTATGTCAGGTAGACTTATTTAAAAACGAAAAATTAAAAATTACGCTTCTTAAAATCCAGGATTATTACCGGACAGATAGGATGCGCACTAATGAACGCAACCGCTACCGCCAGCCAGATTGCCCAGACTCTAACCGAAAGTGCAAGAAGGAAGACATATCACAAAATCAGCTGACCTAAATTTTTTTCTTTTCAAACGTTGCTACCTCCCGTACTATTAGGGCATGCTTATGAATGTCAAAAACGTTTACAAAATTCGCGAAAGAGCAAGACTCGCCATCCGTTCCCAAAACTACCAGGAGGCCTTGTTCTGAGAAGAACGGGCAAGAAACTCAGCAAGTTTTACCCTCCCTCTACATTACAATTATTCAAAGGAAAATGTCATCGTTTGTTAAGTACTATTGCCCAGTATATATTTAAAACAATTTTGATATGGTCAGTGTAGGATGTTGTTTGGTTAGGTCATTACCTAATAACTTAAGACCTTCTGTCTTAAGTAGGGATTGAATTAACAGACTTGTTAGATAGCAGAACTGATTTGCGAGACTTTTTTTAACAAGTTATGTTTTATGGCATCTATGTTAACTGTAAGGCAACCTGCCTATAATAATATCTTAGAATGCGCAATTTGATAGCGCCCTTATCGCTGGAAACTACAATATGTACAGACCCATAAATCTTAGGAGTTTTTATTATTATAATTACTTAATTGTGTAAAATATAGATTCTACAGAACGTAAACCCAATAAAATATGGGAAACATTTGTAATTTTGAGAAATTGGAAAAATAAAATTTATTTCCTTGGGAATAATGTTATCAATCTTTCGTATTTTAATACAAATTCATTCACCTTAGTAATAAATAAATGAAGAATTTAATTTATGATTTAATTCCAGCTCCGAAAACGAAGAGATAATAGCATTATGGATTTGCGTTGTATCTCGTATTGCCACTACTCAAGGGGAGGACGCGAGGGAATGTAGGAATGTTGCGCAGGAGTTGATCGATAAATGGGCAATCGAGCCCAAACGTTCCTTGCTTCAAGTTGTCGCTTTGCAGACTACGGCACCTGCGCCTACACCACGGTATGTATATCTCCATACTCCATTAATGTAAACACTTTTTTTAATTAATTATTGTAGTTATTAATACAATTTTCAATTGAGGCACGTTCCATTGACTAGTTCAGTGTTTCCCAACGTATGGCCCACGACCCACAGCGGGGAAATTCGTAAATCGACCCGACCTTTTGAAAATTTACTTACTGTTTTTCGTTTACAATTTTCTACTAATTTATTCTTAAAGCCTATAATTTAAGTTCTTTAAGTGAACCATTTAATTTTTAATATTTAAAATTATATATGTTACATTTCATAAGAGTTTTTGAAGGCATGGAACAAACAAGGTTGGAAAACACTAGATTAGGTCAAATAAAATTGATTTCAGAAGAAAATTGTACAGAGATTAGTGGAAATGGTTTCTCATTTCCCAGACATCGTATCCTTTGCCTTTAATAATTCCTCGATTTGTCTAATTGAAGATGAAATAGGTTTGCTACGCTTGTCTGAATGACGCAAAAGAAAATGGCCCTAAAATTCGTTCATAATTATTTAAAGACCAGTTTAAGACAGGAAATTCAACTGAAACAAAAGACCTTATCGAATATTTTTTTATATAAAAGAATTAATATTTTCCTGGTTTTTAATATTCGAAAAGATGGTTACACTAAGTTCAAGTCGACTTCAAAAAAGGGAAGGTTTTTCATTTATTTTTACACAACTTGGCGATTCTAATATTGTTAGATTTTTTTTTTTAAACACAATTCACACCAATTGACCTAGTCCCATGCTAAGCTGGTGAAGCTTGTGTTATGGGTACTAGGCAACGGATATACATACATATTACAGATAGATAGACATATAAATACATATTTTAAACACCCTAGACCTAAGCACAACACCAAATGCTCATCACATCGATGTTCGTCTCAGCCGGGGATCGAACCCGGGACCCATGGATTCGCAGTCAGGGGTACTAACCACTAGACCAATGAGTCGTCAGTGTGATATTGTTTTCTCATTTCCCAGACATCGTATCCTTTGCCGTTTTGCTCAATGCATCACATCTCCATCGGACACGACCGCCCGTTTATACGAAGCAGCTGTAAATTCTGTACTGGGTTCGACTCCCGGTGACGTCGTAACGTGGTGTAATAATCCTAGTCTAAAGAAGTTATTGCAATTAGCTAATAAATTGTATCCTAATAGAGAATTGTACTTTGGAGCAGAACTTCAGTAGTATTTTTGCTTTGATAGATAAAAATGGGTGAATAGTGAATACTTACGGGAAGTATTTTTATTCAATTTTTTTCCAAAGAAAACCTGTTTTTTGAACGACTTGTGTTTAACTTTTTTTATAATTTTATTGTTGGAATTGGATATTTTACTCCAAGAAAAGTTACAATTGCAGCGACTATGTTTTTTTAACTTACTATACTGCTATTGAATTTGTCAATATTTCAGTATAACAATCAGTTTAGGCTTTTAACAATGTGTTAAATTTTGTATATATTTTTGTTGTGTCTCCTAAATAATAGTCATATAGTGAGCCATTTTGATGACATAAGCTTACAACAGTACAAGGGTATCCACGCATATCTGGTATCATGTGCCATGTGGGTAATTAAAGTTAATAGGTATAGGACTGTTTAATTTTTACGTCGTTACGAAATTCTATTCGTAAGTTTTAGTTCAAATAAATTGTTGTTTCATCGTGAAATTGTATAAAAATTAAATAAAAAATATTTGATTATTTCGAATTCTAGCCGGTTCAACTGGAAAATAAATTTTGTAATTTAGTTTTCATTTTAGTAAAATTTGCTTTGTATAGTACGTCCCAGTTTTAAAATTGTAATATTGCCATGACTACTTTTTTGAATTAAAATATTTTTTATTTTCTATTAATAACTTAATAGGAATCTTTGGTAGCTGTACCAATTTTTCTACTTTCTCTATTGAGAGTTTTGACAGCGCTCATATCATAAGTTTGTATATAAATATATACATATTATGTTTACTCATTTATATACTCATCCTTCTGTTTGTTTATTATTTGCTCAAATTAGTAGATATAAGGATGATTAAGAAAATCTCATGTTTTCATTGCGTACACTTATTGTAAAATATGTAAGCAAATGTTTAAAACAGTAACGTTACTACGAATAACAATACTATCATCTGGGTATTTCTTAACAAAATGGAAAAAAAGTAATCACAACTAAATAAAATTATAGTTTAATTATGCAGAATTAACGTCAACACATCCAGTGTTGGCCTAAGGACTTCAGCGGGTGACCCTCATCCCTGAGGTCCAATCATTATTTTTTATTAACTCTCGTTACAATGAAGGAAAACATCGTGAGGAAACCGGAATGTTTCAGACACAAACAAAGTCGATAATGTCAGGCACAGAAGGCTGATCACCTACTTGCTTTTTAGAAAAAACAAATGATTATGAAACAGATACAGAAATCTGGGGCCCAGACCTTAAAAGGTTGTGGCCGTACTTTTTTATTTATTTGTGACTTAGAATGTTTTGTCTCTTATTTATTGTTAACGATAATAAAGACAAAACATTCAATAGTTTCTAAGGCTAATATTATAAACTTTCTTTCGAATTCTTTAAACTGAATATAAAGTTTATGCCTATTTAGGAGTATTAATTTAAATTTACATTTCCATAGTATTGTTGTTCGTTTATTTGTAAGATACGCCTTGGTATCTTTCGTAGTGTACGATCAAGTTCATCTCTAAAATTGTTTGTAAGCAAACCTCTAGTTTGGTAAAGATTTAACTGTGATATGTATTGTAAGAGATATAGACTTTGTGTGTGAATTATCAATAAATATATCGAAATTAATTAGACTTTTATTTTACTAATTGTATTGTAATTGTATTATAATTGTAATTCTATATGTAATTGTAACAATTCTATATGCGAATCTAATTATAAATGATAATTTTTCCCCAATTATACAAAAGATTTCTTAAAACTAGCGATGAATAGGTGTATATAAAATATAATTTAATAATTGGAGATAGCGCCACGTTTGTCAAAATGACGCAAACGAAAATGGCATTAAAAATTATTTACTGAAGTCCGGTTTGAGACAGGAAATTGACTTGGAATAGAAAAGCCTTATGGTATCTCATTAACATAAGATCAATCTTCATCATTGAGAAGGTCTATCTGAAGAAGTTTTATCGCTGCTGGAACGAGAGCCCTTACAGCTTAATGCCTAGCGTATCTTTTTAGTACATACCAACATGGAACATTTTGCTATGCTATCCAGAGACTGTTCGGTTTTCTGGAGTGATTTTTCTCTATACAAACCTCAGAGTCAAGTTATAATTTCTTAACTAACAAATAAAGAATAAGGGTTGTATGTATTGTTGTATGCTATATTATAGAAAAATCAAAACAAAAAATTTTATCTAAAAAATAAAAATATTATCACTTAGGGGTTTGAAAGATACATAGTAGCAGATTCTAAGACTTACTGAATATGCATAAAAATTTTCATAAGAATCGGTCTAGCCGTTTCGGAGGAGTGTGGGAACGGTCATTGTGACACGAGAATTATATATATATATATAGAATTATACCTAGTTTTTTATATTCGAAAAGATTGTTTCCCTACGTTCAAGTCGACTTCAAAAAAGAGATGGTTTTAATTAATTTATTTACACAATGTCCGTATTTAATTCTTCATAATATATCTAAATATGATGATAGAATTTATTTTTATATAACATTTAATAAATATTACTATTTCTGCTAAAGATGTCCATTTAAACGTTGGCTTAAAATCTTAAGATTTCTGTGAAAGTAACCGTTTCCCATGATAATGCATAACCAGACCAAGAATCCCCGATGTAGTAGCTATGGCTGCAGCATGCGTGGTCTTTATAGAGCTGCCCCAGAGCCAGCCCTTGGGGAGCCAGTTGACCAGGTGTATGATGTCCAGGAAATACTTTGTGCTGGTAAGGGTTGCTTGTGTGAAGCGAGCTGGTGCGCATTTAGTGGTTTTTTCCTTTAATTGTTGCGCTGAGAGATGAACAGTGCGAATTGATCTGAAATGTATTTAAAATGTTTATTTTGGAAATACGGTAAAGTATAAATGAATGAAGCCTTATACTTTCATGTTATAAAGTGTATTAACATTTAAAAATATTATTTCAAATGAAATATTCATTAGGTCAAAACATTTAAATTAACGGGCACGCATATCATAAATTTGTTTTAATTATATTTATTATAGATTATGTGGAACATGGTGAAATGGTTGCAGCTCCTTACAAACATTTTGTAAAACAAAAACCTTGGCGATTAAAAAGAGTGGCGGAGAGTTTATTGCCAGTTCTTCTCGTCCGTTCTATTCCTTGATTTGAGAACTGGAAGTAAATGTAAAATTATGAGATTAGTTATTGACGTTCATAAGTTAACATTGTGCTACCTAAATGAATAAATGAATTTGAAGTATTAAGTTGTATTATATTTCTATTGTATTAGCTATGTTATATATTAATTTATATTTATATATACAAGAATCATATTAATATATATAGTACTTGCATAAAGCAAAGACAATGTTAAGAATAGGAAAATACGAAAACTAGGATATTTGAATGAATAAGCTTCTGCTCCGTTCAGTACTTTTGTGTTTATTTTTCAAATATATTTTTTTAGTTGATTAGTATAATGTGACTGACCGGAACATTTTGTTTCCGCAGATCAAACCCTGTAAGTACCTTTGGGCTTCATATCGACTACAATTGAGCTATGCAGTTACGTGAATTTAAATAATTGGCATTGATATAACCTACATAAGTAATCACTAACATCAACTATTAAGTACAAATATTTTTAAATTCTCACACTATCCGTAGCGCTGAAGACGCAACCGGAACCTTCTGGTTCCGGTTGCGTCTTAATCAATTTGTCGTCTTAATCAAAATTGCGTCTCAATACGATTTTTCATATTCATTTATTTATTTATTATATAAATGTTCTTAAATAGCAAATAAGTTGGTGTGGTGGAAACACAAACTGGACACAGTTTTTCTGAACACCAGGACGTCGAACATATTTAAATAACTAACTTATATACTAAGGCCAGTGACATATACACTATAACATTATAACCATTAAAATTGTTCGTAAAACGTCACAAACCAATTGAAACATTGACGCTCCACAGTTAGCCAACGCAAGAAACCTGTTCTTGACGAGAATTCTCATTCGAATACAGGATATATTCCTATATTCGTATAAGAATCAAATTAAAATGATGTCTGATTAGCATAATGTTTGTTATGCATAATTTATAATAGTATACTTCATGCCGACGTTTGTACGTAAGCGTTTTCGTCAAACCCATGTTCTGTATCTATATCTTAACTTACCTTATAAAACCTAAGAACGCGCTCAAAGACCAGAACAACTTGTGCGCTGTCCGTATCTTGTAGGCAATTTCGTCATTGACTTTCAGTACACCCGTGTCCAAGAGCCATTGAAGTTTCTCAGCCTGGAGGAAGGTGAGTGTGAACACGCTGTTCGTGACACCTAAAGCACCCCACCATGGACCCTCCTGAAATAATTAAAAGATATGAAAAACGAAAATAATATATAACAATGTTTTTTGTCAAGCTGGACTTTTTTTAAGCGTTTGGAAAGAAATACATATAGCCAATATTACCTACTCAGGGATTATAGGATTGTGCTGTAGTTTTTTACTTTATTGCATACAAAAATGCACCTGTTAAGCATAATTAACCGAAGTAATATCCAATGAAACATAAAAAATGAGACTGTCCGTGGCATTATTGAAAAATATAATATACAATCTGACAGTCAATGAACGTCGTGTTACAGATTAGCTGAATTTTATTTATGATTTTATGAAAGTAATATTGTATTACAAAAAAGAATACAAAACAAATATTAAGTTCACGACAATTTAAAGCAATTACGTCAAAAATAAATGAGCGTCTGAAGCGCATAAATATTTAAAAACCAATATGCTTTTTCATTTGACATCATTCTACAATTTTTAAATCTAAAATCCGTCATTATATGAATATTGTGGAAATATCTTGCCGATTCAAACACAAATTCGAACTCAAAATAACTTCATATAGGTAACCAAGAACACTTATGAACGTCAACAGAAAAGGTGTAAAATGGATTCAAAATTTACATTTACTACCAGTTCACAAGTCAAGGTCGTAGAGCGGGCTAGAAGAACTGGCAAGAAACTATCCGCCACTCTTTTTAATCGCCAAGTTTTGAGTCATACAAATTGTTTGAACTGGAGCAAATCAATCCCAAGGATAAGGATCATTTAAATAATCGTCAAATTTATAAAAGTTATAATTCTCTAATTTCGTTTGGGAGTTTCTTGTAAAAACGAATACAATTTCCATATATTGACTGGACTTATCTTCTTTGCTATGTTTATTTCAATACGATCTTTAATTTGAGGGTAGAGTTTACCTCATCGTCGGGATATTAATAAAAGCGTTTGATAGTTACGAAATGCATGAATATTTATAATTGGGAGTTTTTTCCATACCAATCAAAAGCCATGAAAATCGGTCCAACCGTTGTTGAGTTATAAGTGGCCGAACTAACTCGACTGTTATATATTAAAGATAATTCTAGTACTACTTGTACTATACATTTCAAATATGTTTTTTATTATTGTATTAATAAAATATAACACCTAAAACTCTAGAATCTGTAGGAGATAAACATGGCATGCGAATTAAGAAACGTTTGATAAGATAGATTAAATTTATTTAACGATAGCTTACTGTTTTGTGTTCTATTCGCATAGATTACTCTTGAATTATTAATGCGCTACATAAAATAACCCTAAACTATTACAATTTATATTTTTTTATCTTTTAAAAGATTAATTCTAAAATGTATGCGGAATCTAATTACGGAACTAAATCGAAGGTTAAAAAACTTTCATTATTAACGGAAGCGGAACTAAGTGAGCAGGCGCAAGTATGCAGCATGGAATAAAATAATATATTTCCGACAACTTCAAGAGAAAAAAGGTGCCAGGTTTCTAAAAAAAACAAGTGCACTACAACCCCACTGTGTTCTTGGCCTCATCTTTATATGAGCATTCAGCTATAATCCTTTTACATCGAACACATGTATCCAATTTTGGGGGGTAAGATATATAGGCAGTCTTAGGGTGCGTCCACATCTGACGAATGCGCCGCGAATGTGCAGTTCGCGAACAGGTTGCGAGCTGCGCGCGTGCAGTCACGGCAATGGTTTGGTGGGCCTCTTTATTCGCGGCGCGTTCGTCAGATGTGGACATGCCCTTACAGTTCTCACCTTCACCGTAAGACACGTTGTAAGTGTACGTAAAGAAAAATTTATTAACGAATAGTTATACAAAAAGCTACATCAAAAAGGGCTTGATTATTATATATTACGCCTACTTACGTGTTTCCCAAGTCCATATGTGTAAAGAACTTTCAGAGCGGCTGCATCGTCAAAAAGCCGCAGCGTAGCTCTGGTAGCAGCAAGGCGAGTGCTTGCAGTCAATAATTCTTGACGATTCGACGTGGAGCCCCATAGCTTTAGGATGTAGCTTGTAAGAGCTACCACCTATTATCGTTATTATTTTAACACAGTTTAGAAAGCCTAAAATCGTGAATATCTATGGGCCGATTTATGGATATTCACGAACGTTAATAAATATTAAAAAAAATTATACTTTAAGTAGTAAGAAAAATAAGATGTTTTAATAATTTTAGTATAGTTTCTAGATCCTCAAAATTACTGCGGTTTTAATTAAAACCTACTTACAATAAGGGTCATTTATCATTCGAGATTTAATATAAATATCATTGACTAATTATTAAAATAAGAAATTTGAAAAATCGTCTTACCTTATCTCGATTAGCATGTGACTGCAACAAATCGCAAAACTCGTCCACAATCTCCATTCCTATTCACTGTTATTATAATAAAGTGTGTCGTAATAAATTCAATTTTTCTATCAACTATTTTATTGATTAGATAACCGTACGATAAACCGAAAATCCTTCCTGGTGAGAATTTTCAGTTCGTTAAATAATTTTAAATAAAAACACGTTTTGAACAAATCATATATTGAACTATACACAAATTACTGTATATGAGGAACATATTTTACAGGAAAATATTCTATATAGAAAATGCTTAGTAATATCCTGAGGTAAGATTTGTACGTCAATTCTTAATAGAATACTCCCATTGATACAAATTAAATTGTACGAAGCTAGTTTATTGGTAACAATTGAACAATAAGGTATGTTACATGATGGCGAAATACATATACACAAAATAGTTCGTTAAAAAAAATAGAAAATTAGATAAAAAACATCAAAATATTTTGCATTTCTTTCTGTTTTAAATATATGAATCCATTTTTACTCCAAAACTTACATCAAGTGTTGATTATTGAGAGTATTTTAACGACATTGAGACAGTTAACACTAAAATATATATAAATATTAAGTAATCAATAAGGTGATAACGAAATGAAAAACCCGTTTTCAGTATCACACATTACAAAAAACGAATAAACTGAATATGCAAAGTAAGTTTAATCAAGTTCCACTAATTATTAATTAATTATTGGTTTTATAAATTAACCAATGGGTATTTATATACCAGTGATTCTGATATTTTACCTTTAGGTGACTCTTCATGTGATATGATTATATTGGTATTATTAAATGCATTAATTCAACATTTTCAAAATTTCCTCTGATTTGAAAAATCAGGACAATATTATGAATTTATGGCATAAGTCACGGTAATTCCTACCTATAATATATAATATGAAAGTAGTCTAATAATATTCATATTAAAAGTTTTATAATAAGAATTTGGACATGGACAGCATTCATTTCATAATTTCACATTAAAAAAAATTGTGGCAAGTATCAATTACTTTAATAACCGTTTCTTTGCAAAGTACATTGCAATACCTATAACAGATGAGGTAGTTGCTATTGCTGCTATTTTGGTGGCACCAATTTTCTCCCCCCATAGACACCCTGATGGAAGACAACTGACTGCGTGTGTAATATCTAAACATAGCTTGCTAGCTGTAACCATTTGTAGCACAAGCCGTATATCTAGCTTTTGTTTAACATCACTGCCACCTTCCGACTTTTCTAGACAATCTTTGCTCCACCATAAGTGTTGTACTGATTGGATAGTTCTGAAAAATACATTAAATTGAGAATAGGATGAAATACTTAAAAGTGCATTTTGATATTTTAAAAAATATATTTTATTGACTGAATTTAATTTTATTTGCTTATGTTCTTGTCTATTAATTTCCATATATATAATATAATATGATTTTCTATCATGCTCATACATACTGTATTAATGATATATAAAGGCTAGCAGCCCAAAGTGCTGTGCTGAACACCTCAAGTTTGTCAGCCGTTTCCGTAGACAACTTCAATATGCCAAGTTCATGTAACCAGCAAGCTTTCTCAACTGGCAAGAACACTTGATCAACCATATTAGCTAACACCCCTAATGTTGCAGCTACTTTGGATGACTCCTAGAAGGAACATATTGTTTTATTATAAAAATAATTGTTTGAGCCTATTATATTGATTACTATATAAGTAGATACTTAATACTACCCAAAGTGTACATTGTTTAAAAAGCCTTAATTAATTCATTTTTTTTTGTTTTAGAAAGCACATTTTAAACCTTAACTTAGTAAGAGTTTTTAGACAATGGAGTCTTTTTATAACTGGAAATAAAAAGTTACCTATTCTGATTTTGGATAAATAAGATTTTGACCTGATAAATAACTAGTTCTTGCAAAAAAGTTATATCTATTCAAGTTACTCACATGTTTTCCTAATCCATAATTATATGTATGCCTGATCATTGGAATATCATCAAAGAGCCTGAGCATCATTCTTGCATTGGAAAGTCGTGAGCCAGCTGCCTGCCATGGCTTTTCTCCTATTAGGCAACCATACAGTTTAAAAGTATAACATGCGAGACGGACAACCTAAAAATAATAAAACACTTAACTCCACCATTATAAAATGTCTTTGCATAACAGAAGTAAAATGTCTCAATATTAGGAATCAATTTTCATTTATAAATGAATTAAGAAGTTGGTATCATGCTTATGAATTCAAATTATTATTTGCTGAAAAATATAATTTAAAACATAATTATTACTAAAATATATGTTTTTTAATACAATACATAGATCATAATTATAGAAAGATAGATTAAAATTTATAAAGACATTTTTCATAAGTATCTTTAAAAACTATAATAAAATATAAATTTATTTTAGATTAATTTATGTCAAAATATGAATACTAATTCACGTGTGAATGTGAAGTGTGAATGGCTTTACGATTTCCTATTTAATTACGCAAATATCAAGGTTATTATCTGGTTTTCCGCATACTTTACCTTGTCCCTTCCATTGTAACTATCCAAAAGTTCACAAATATCATCTACTACAGTAGACATTTCTACAGCGTTTTTTTACTGATACGTTATCAATAAAAATAAAACACGAACTATGTTACTTTTATAAACACGATCGACTTCGCAAATTCATTATCACAACTAAGATAGCGTGGAATGTGGATGAACCTTGACGTTTGAATTAGAAAGGCGATTTTGACTAGTAGTTATATAATAATTATTATTGTCAACGTGATTCCATACTGTAACAATTACACTTGGTCCTAATCGATTGACATTAAATTCACTTTTCATTAGTTAAAATCAATTTGAATCCAAACTACGAATTCAAAAAGTTGACGTTACCTAAAAATTTCACAACAATTGTGAAGTTCTGCACAAACTTGATATACTCTTGCGATTTGTCAACAAACTTAAACAGCTGCTCATTGACATTGACAGTGATCTTTGGCGATATATAATTATTTATATTTTGTGATATGTTTTTTTGTTTCATGCATAATGCATATATTAATAGACACTGACAGTAGAAACCTAGGTTGACATAATTGTCAATATATAATGTCCCATACAAAGTATTGTCAAATATGATATCTGTCAAAATCTAAAAGCAAAGTGAAAACAAATCGTGAAATGTAAATATTGAAAAAATGAAAGAATTTTCAATTAATGATATTCCAGAATTCTCCAATAAAGATCGCATAGTTGTTGTAGGGGTAATAGGAAAATCCCCATATCGTTATCCAAACAAAGCAACACCATTAGTTCCTTCAGAGCTTTTTTCACAGGTAATTTTGATGATATATTTATAATAATAATCATATTTCTTACTTATCTCTCTTACACTTGGAAACTGATATTTGCAGAATGGTATCCAATGCCTTTGGGATGAGAGACAAAGTGTCCTATATCTACATGCCGTTACCTACTTCGATACTAACCGGCTTTGCGAACTCGCCAATAACCTAAGCGAGAACTCTAACAGTACTGTGAAGGATGCAGATGCAGCTCACTGGCTTGTTGCATCTGGTGAGCTGGCTATAGAGTCATGCAAAGCGTTTGCTCTTCTTTTTCATCTGTGTCATATAGTTATCTTGTCTTCACCAACACCAGTCTTTGATGTGGGATATTTGCAATTGTTCAAGGCTATTGATGCTTATAGGTAAGTGAATGACTAGTTAAAATTCAGTGAATTTTTAAAATAACAATATAATTTAATTGAACCTATATGTATTACCTACAACAATCAACTTCCTTAATATATAGGTATAGCATAATTATAGTTACTTTGAACTTCCAGAAATGAATTGACAGGACCAATAACTACTGCCTTAATAGAAGCTGGGGTGTCAGATGCATGGGAAGCACGAGGTAGATTCTGTTGCCCACGTCTTTTGTTCCACTTTCGTCGAGCACCAACACCTTTAAGGAAAAACCCAATGGCTCTTAAGAGACTAGAACATGCCATTGAGGATCAAATCTATTTTATTTTAAGAAAGTCAAGGGTTATTACTAATGTATGGTAAATATCGTTTTTATATACACTACAGGATATTAAGTATGTTCAAAAATCAATAATGAATTTTTATTTCAGCGTGAAGTCTTCATTTGCCATACCAAAAAATGAGGAATTTGTTTATATAAGTACTGAAGAAGGTACTGGTAATGCACGAGACATGAGTACTCTGGTTCGTGGTTTGGTACAGATGTGTTCTGGCATTCAACCTGAAGCTAGCAGCCGACAAACCTTCGCTCAGTTCCTGCAAATGCATCTGGATGTAGCTTTTGAACAGGGATTTAATGATAATGTTGGAAAGTATGCAATGAGTACATCTTTTTTTGAAGTGAGTATGACTTTTATCAAATTGAATCTCAATGTTTCGGATTTCGGCTCTGAAACCACCGATCACGCGGGAAGATCCTTTCACGACTTTGCTTTAGCCTACGACCTGACACAAATGGTCCCTGCGATTACGCGAATACCAGATGTGGATGGTCATAAACCCTCTTTGTTGGACCTTCTGCTGACTTCACATCCGGAGAACTATCAAGTCTCTGTTGACCCGCCATTGGGTTCATCGGATCATTGTGTGGTCCGGAGTACTGTGCCATCTACGCGCCCTTCACGGCCCCGATTTATGGGTTGTCGCCGTATTTGGCACTATAAGTCAGCAGATTGGGACGGGATGCGGTCTTTCTTTGCGTCCTACCCTTGGGGGCCTATGTGCTTTTCGCCGGAAGCTCCAGATTCCGTCGCCGCCTCTGTCGCCGAAGTGGTTCTGCAGGGCATGGAACTCTTTATTCCATTTTCTGCGGTGCCGATCGGTGGCAAGTCTCAGCCCTGGTTTAAACGTTCTTGCAAGGCGGCCTCGCGTCGAAAGCGAGAATGCTTTAAGGCATGGGCGGAAGCGGCGAAATCTCGTGATGCCAATACCAGCGAACTTAAAACAGCATATAACTCAGCCTCCAGGTCCTTCAAACGGGAAATCACTAAGGCAAAGTCAGAGCACATTGCCAGATTTGGCGAGAGATTGGCCCAGCTCCTTCAGGGACTCGAGCCTTCTGGTCTCTCGCCAAAGCTGTCCAAGGGAATTTTTGTCAGCCCGCCATTCCGCCACTGCACAGGGAGGATGACTCTCTGGCCCACACTGCGAAGGAGAAGGCCGACCTTTTGGGCTGTCTCTTCGCGTCCAACTCGACTTTGGATGACCGAGGAAGATCACCACCGACCATTTCGCGGTGTGATTCTTCGATGCCGGAAATCACATTCCGGCAACGTGCTGTCCGCAAAGCACTATCTTCCTTGGACATTCATAAGTCGAGCGGGCCGGATGGTATCCCCCCAATTGTGCTGCGTACTTGTGCTCCTGAGTTGGCTCCGGTCTTAACGCGCCTTTTCCGGTACCTGTACTCGCTCGGCACTGTCCCGAAGTGCTGGAAGACCACTTCGATACATCCGATCCCTAAAAAAGGCGATCGCTCTGATCCGTCCAACTATCGCCCAATAGCTATAACCTCCTTGTTCTCCAAAATAATGGAAACCATTATTAATTGCCAGCTCTTGTGGTATCTAGAGGGCCACCAGTTGATTAGCGATTCTCAGTACGGCTTTCGTCGTGGTCGCTCAGCTGGTGACCTCCTTGTATACCTTACCCATAGGTGGGCAGAGGCAATTGAGTCCAAGGGGGAGGCGCTGGCGGTAAGTTTGGACATAGCGAAAGCCTTCGATCGGGTGTGGCACAGAGCACTGCTCTCGAAGCTTCCAGCCTATGGGCTTCCCGAGAAATTATGCGATTGGATCTCCAGCTTTCTGGCCGATCGGAGCATCAAGGTCGTCATCGACGGAGCATGTTCCGACCTTAAACCTGTGAACGCTGGGGTCCCACAAGGCTGTGTTCTATCCCCGACCCTATTTCTTCTGCATATCAATGATATGTTGCAACTTAGCAACATTCATTGCTATGCGGATGACAGCACTGGGGATACTTTTTACACTGGCCGGGCAGGTATTTCTCGGGCAGTTGTTGATGAGTACCGGAACAAACTTGTGTCTGAAGTCGAAACTCTACTACGTGGAGTCTCAGACTGGGGCAGACAAAACCTAGTCCAATTTAACCCCAAGAAGACACAAGTTTGCGCGTTTTCCGCTAAAAAAACACCCTTTATCGCTACTCCTCTTTTCGAAAACACTCTTCTTAAAGCCACAGCCAGCATTGGAATACTTGGCGTTGACATATCGAACGACGTTCAGTTTCGCGGTCACTTGGAGGGAAAGGCTAAATTAGCCTCCAAAAAGCTTGGTGTGCTCAGCAAGGCGAGGCGGTACTTCACTCCGGGCCACCGCATGCAACTATATAAAGCGCAAATTCGGCCCCACATGGAGTACTGCTCTCACCTCTGGGCGGGGGCTCCCCAGTACCAGCTCCTTCCACTCTGACCGTATACAACGCAGAGCGGTTCGAATCGTCGACGACCAATCCCTCTCCGAGCGGCTTGATCCTTTGGCGTTGCGTAGAGATGTGGGGTCACTCTGCATCTTCTACCGCATTTACCATGGAGAGTGTTCAGAGGAGTTGTTCGGATTAATACCTGCAGCTGAGTTTCATCATCGGACGTCGAGACAGAATACGAAATTCCACCCGCATCACCTCGACGTCCGCCGTTCCACAACTGAGCGTTTTTCAAGGCAGTTTTTGCCGCGCACCACCACTATGTGGAATCAGCTGCCCACTGAAGTATTTCCGAACCAATTCGACTTAGGGTCCTTCAAGAAAAGAGCGTACCAATTCTTAAAAGGCCGGCAACGCACTCGCGAGCCCTCTGGCATTGAGAGTGTCCATGGGCGGCGGTGTCACTTAACATCAGGTGTGCCTCCTGCCCGTTTTCCCCCCGTTCTATAAAAAAAAAAAAAAAAAAAAATGTCAAGGCCTGTAGGAAGTCAAAAACTAAATGTGTATGAAAATGACAGTTTGTGCTGACAAATTTTGACTAAACTCTCTTGATGTCTAGAAATAGAGATTACATCTAAGAAAATTAAAAGCTAAGCCACAGAGGCGATGAATATTTAGTGAGCTACTGCAAAGTAAAACTAATACCTTTGTCTTTATTTAAAATAATAATTGTCCCAAATGACTTTCCATATCTCAGTGTGAAATACATAGACAATGTTATATCTGACATAAAGATGTCAATCATGTTTATAGATATAAAAGCAACTTTTCATCCACATAATATATTTTTTCATTAAAAAAAAAAACTATATTTTTTGATGTGTTAGAAAGTTATAGCATTCAGTAAATTTTGTGTTACCTAATCAACATATCTGTGAAAATAAAATTTTCAGTAAGGAATTAAAGTATAATTAAATAACCCCAATTTTTTTTTATTTATAGTGCTAATTGCTTTGTCATTCATTCCAGTTACCAAGCGCCAAGTCATGGAGAACACGTGCTCAAGCTTTAGTTCCTATTTATATGAAGGAATCCCCAACACTTAGTGATGACCAGGACAATGGAGATGCCCTCTTCGACGCGTTGGCTACTGACGTTAGGTTCTCTAAAGCAAGATGTGCTAAGGTACAAAATAATATAGGTGTTTGTAATCAAACTCCTCCGGAATGGCTCGACCGATTTTCGAAAAATTTTATGTGCATATCAGTTATGTCTGCGAATCGCACAACGACTATTTTCATCCCCCTAAAGGTTAAGGGTGGTCCACCCCAAAATTTTAATTTTTAGACAATTTAATTTTTATTTTTTTATGATACAGCATACAAAAATACATACAACCCTTAATTTTCACCACTCTACGATCAACCCCTATTTTTTATTTGTTGATTAAAAACTTATGACTTGCACTCTGAGGTTTCTATAGAAAAAAATTTACGGAAAAACCTAAAAAAATTCATTCCGGAAAACCAAACAGTCTCTGGGGTAGCATAGCCAAATGTTCCATGTTGGTTTGTACTAAAAAGGTAGGCTAAGTAAAATCACATTAAGGAGAAACGAAGTTCGCGGGGGCAGCTAGTTTTCAATATATGTAAAACTCCAGGAAAAAATATTCAGTATTTAGAACTAAACAGTGTTTGTTTGTTTTTTCAGGTGTTACCGATAGCCCAAGCATCCTATGCTGAAGGTCTACCATCGCACTATTCGAGTCAACATCACAACCACAAGGTTTGTATTAAGATAAATGCACTTTATTTATATATAGAAAGTCCTTGTTATTTTTTAGTAAAATAAGAATTAATATCAATCTAAATCTAAGCTTAATTTAATTAAATATAATAAAATTGATTTTCCAAATATTACGTAAACAAAACATTTCACTACATTATAGTTTTTCGATTTATTTAAGTTAATATATCTAGTAGGTGAATAAGAGGACGGTATTGCGAGAATAAAAAAATATTAGAACAGCGGAAAACTGTTCAGCCAATAACGCACTAAATCGCAAAACCCCAAAACCTGAATAATAATAATAACCTAAGCACCTTCTGGACGAGGATTGGACCCAGTTTGACACCACACCACCACCAAACATCACAGAGTTTTACCGCTGCTGCACGGCGACGATGCGGCAGTAATCCAATGCGGGACAACCAATCGATATGCATTCGCAAGAGAATGTAGAGCTGTCAGAAATAGACGCGTTAACAATAGCTTTTCACTATAAACATGACTGAAATCGCATTTAAATTATCAAAATATTACCAATTAAAATTCGACGTGAAAAAATTACCATTCTAACATTAACATTGTATGAATACAGGTAAATATAGCCTTGGGGGTGGTAGAAGCAATGGCCCGAGGGCCATTAGCGGGAGGCGCTCGATCAAGGCTAAGGGCTGCATGTGCCGCAACTTGGAAGACGCGGCGTCTTTGTGAAGCACCCTCGCTCACTTCCCATCCCTGTATTAACCCTGACCAGTGAGTATATTTGTTTTGTCTTTTGTGCAATCTGTTTAGCGTTACAGATTAGCTATGTAATAGATTTTTTGGGGGGATTGTCATAAAGTGTACTCCACAGACGTAAAATAAACGTTTCTCACTTACAATATTTATTTAACACTCAGCCAGTATTAACGCAATCACTTAATTAAAGTATAAAGGAAGAACCTTATATTTTATACTTTTATTTATCATAACTAATCAAATTGTAAAATAGCAACCTTATTGAATATTGAGCTAAAAAGGCTATATATATTTTTTTTTTCGCCTATGGCGCAGGCCTTTCGACCATACCGCCTAGTCTTTCGTAGAAGCACTGGTGTTGCTTTTCCCATAATGGCGGCTTAGGTAATAGATTAGGTATCCACTAGAAATCTTGACAGATGGGCTTAAAGTTAAACTAAATCAGTCAATATTTTATTGATAATACAAAAAATAGATTAGTACAAAATTATATCGGTTCATATATTTCTGATATGGCCAAACATTTATTCAAATATCATTAAAAGTTGACGGTTCAATGACAAAGTCAATTTTAGCTGGACATATGAAATACGACTACGTAATGTTCTAATTTGCCACGAAACAATGTAACGACCTTATAAATGATTCCTTTCTTTGCAAAGAACTTGGTACATAATTATAAATGGCAAATGTCATGTTACTTATCATAATGTCTTAATTATAAGAACAATTTATAATTGTTGTCAAAACTTATGGTCTAAATACTCTCCCACGCTATAAAGGCTCCTTGTCTTTAAAAATTTAATCACCTTAAAAGAATAACATTACACGATCATAGCGTGAAAACATTTTAGAACACTGAGACTATTATAGAAAATTAAGTCAACATAATATTACTTATGACTTACCATAATTATTGACTGACCATACCATGACCATGACTTACCATACTTACCATAATTATTGTAAAGTCATTGTAATTCATGTAAAGTCGCACTCTTTTGTGAACTTAAAACTTCTGGGAAGGTGATTAAATAGTTTGCAGGCATCCACAGCCGTATATACTTTATGTTAAGATGTATTAAAAAAGCGCAATTTTTAACGTAAAATCCGTTGTTTAGACGTTCCTTTTTCAATTTCCAGTGACGGTAGCAAAGACCACTCATCCGGCGTTCGTTACATAAGCGTGTGTAATTGTGGTCGAAGCAAATGTTCACGGGACGACCCTTATACGGTGAAAGCTGCTAACTTCACCTTCTACAGCCACGCCGCTGAAGAATGTGGAGTCTGTAATACCCTTCAGGGTATAGAATTTCCCGTCTTTCAACCTTCCACGCCCAGTTTTAGGTATGTTGATTTTCTTATTGGATGATTTTGGTTATTCACTGTGATAATTATCTCAGGACACTGTAAAGGCAAGCAATTTTTGAAGTGAAACTTCTTTATCGAGGTTGGAAAAAAATTTAGTGTAACATTTTTTCGTTACGCGTCACATTTTTCGGTTACGCGCCATGTTGCTTTTTGAAGTCAAACTGCTTTATCGGTTTGGAATGAAACTTCTTTATCGACGTATGGGAGAAATTTTGTAGCAAATCGTCACGTTTTTCAATGATAGTAATAATTCTATTACAATTAATGAAATTCTATAATAATCTTCGTAGTAATAAGGTAAAATGAAATATTTGTATTCATGTCTATGATAATAAAAGCCTTTTGTTAAACTTTATCTAATTTAACGAATTTCTGTAAAGTTGCATATAGTAGATCATTTTTCGAAAAATAAGATCATAAAGAAATTTCACTTCTTACGTGTGTACACCTAGTACACGCACAATTTATTATTGGTTTGATAACTATATGATAATAGATTTAAAAAATACTAAACTAAAATGAGCAAATAAATAAAGAAATAAAATGTATATAGCTTTTTTCTGTGTTTTTTATATAACAGTGAGATTTTATATTTTATAATCGATCTCAACTGATGTTAAGCGATACCGCCGCCCAGAGACACTAACATTGCCTGAGGGCTCGCAAGTACGTTGCCGGCCATTTAAGAATTGGTACGCTCTTTTCTTGAAGGACCCTAAGTCGAATTAATTCGGAAATACATCAGAGGGCTAGTTCTTATATTTAATATTAACTAAATTTAAATTTAAATTAATAGTTCCAAACTAAGAAATTAGTATAAGAATATTGAATGTGAAAGTTAACATATTAAACAAATTCTTAAAAAGACTTCATTATTTGGGAGCGTTTAAGTATTACGTAACGTATTTTTGGGGTCCTTTTGTAAAACGTTACGATGAGGGGCGGGGATTAAATTACGCGTTAATGTTAATATTTTTTACGACTTACACCACATAATAGTAACTAAATAGTCACTAGGTGGTCACGAAACGTTTTACTATACTTAGGTACTGAAAAACGTTACGGCGAGTAACATGGGGGGGGGTCAATAATCTCCAAAAATTGCGTTACGTAATACTTGAACGCTCCCTTTTCAAAAAAATCAAGACACGAGATTTCACGTCAATTCTTTCAGGGCAGCGTCTGTCAAGGGTGTTATAGAAGAGGCACCAGAACGGGCTGAAAGATGTGATGGCTCAGGAGATTCTCCAGATGTTGATCAACGCTCAGAAGGCTGGTCTCCGGATGAACTGTCTCCCGGGTCAGCGAAAGATGACGAAGATGATGAACCGCCTTGCAGCGGTGATGCACTGAATGTAATGCCTGTTAGAGGTGAAACTGTTTCAGGTAAAGGTTATATATAAATTAATGTTAAAATAATTAAATAATACGCATTGTTACTAATGACAAAAGTTGACAGTAAATTTTATATTTAAAACCATTCTGATATATCAAATAAACGGTGACCATGCGCAAACTTGTACGTGACCTTTACTTGGTTACCAATTAAGCGACGAAAAAAAAACACTGGTTGCTGTCAACACCGACTTTCAAACTTTAGGTATTTCTGACTAAAAATCTATTTTACAATTCCAGCGAAAGTAATAAGCCGCCAGCCATCGACGACGGAATACCTACCTGGTATGTTACATACAAATAGTCCCGCTGGCTTGTTGCCCGCCTTTTCGAGCTGGTCGCTGGTGTGTCTCGGCCTATCGTCCCTATATTCGCACAGCCTGGGGTTGCCGGAGCATTTGCAGCCTGGATTCCTGCCTCATACGAATTATTTGCTACCATGGGATTGTGCCGTGCGGTGAGTGAACGATAGAAATCTACCAAATTGTTTATATGAAAATATATTTTAAATCAATTATATTTTTATCATATATTTTCTTTGCATTAAGGAGGTAAATTAAACAATTGTGTTCACACATTCGAGAAATATATTTCACAAATCTGTATGATTTAATAATAATAACCAAAAATTGCTTTTCTTTGATAATTTTACATTGATCGACGATTTTGTCTAAGCCAAATATTATTAACATTATAATTAAAATATTTGGTCCTTCGAATCCATACTAGTCGGTTACTTACATTCACCGTAAGCTCAGATGTAAGATGCAGAATTTGTAGTCATTATCGGTATTTTACTAACGAATAGTATTTATGATAGAATCGATCGAACCACGAATAGAAAGATAGTTCTAAAAATAATATGAGCCTAGTGACCTCAGCGTGCGACTATTGAAGTTGTTGGTTCGTTCCCCGGCTGAATGTTTGTAATACTTGCTCGTACGCTTAAGGTAATTATATAATAGATTAGGCAAACAAATGCCTTTTTTTTAAAACAACAGAGAATTGATTGCTTTTTATTATTATTATAATATCTAATATGTGAACTATGCATGAAAGTATTTTTTTTCTTTCCAAGGAACGTTGTACGTTCGTTAAAATTGTTATTTATAAATAATATTAACACTTTTCCAGAATGGAGCATGCAAATATCTGGCGCACATCGTCTCGAGGTCGAGGGAAAGGCGGCTCCCAACATAACCTAACAGTGAAAATATTTATTGGCTTTGAATACGAATGTCCAAGAGGTCATAGGTTAGTTTATATTTATTTGAAATTAACAAAAGCGTTTTCACCTTACATTGTTAATGTACTTTACATTTTTGGTCCTTCGAACTAATATATTTTTAATATGTGCTTTTAAAAACAAAAAAACCAGTGTTGGCCTAGTAGCTTCAACGTGCGGATCTCATCCATGAGGTCGTAGGTTCGATTCTCGGCTGTGCACCAATAGACTTCCTTTCTATGTGCGCATTTAACATTCGCTCGAACGGTGAAGGAAAACATCGTGAGGAAACCGGCTTGCCTTAGACCCAAAAAGTCGGCGTGTGTACAGGGGGCTTATCATCTACTTGCCTATTAGATTAACAACTGATCATGGAACAGATACAGATATCTGAGGCCCAGACTTAAGAAGGTTCTAACGCCATTGATTTATTTATTTTATTTAAAAAATATATATCTTAAAATCTTTATCGAGAAATACCTCAATTGAAATTTTATTGTTCATTTCCAAAATGTCTAATTGCCAAGTTGTTACTAGCTAAAATGGAATTGTAAGAATATTCATTCCGAATTCTTTAAAACTCTTTTCCCTGTTCTAGCTAGATGGGTTAGTTAAAAGATCATACATTTCTGCATAATAATCATTTCTATGTGTTTAGAATATATCTCTTACTTTATAGAATAATAAATACTGAATAGATAAATAAGAAAGGATAAAATATCGTAAACCAGTGTCGCGCTTTGACGTCCATTCGGTTCACTCTATCTTTACGAAGCATACCCTTCACCTTGATTTCCCATCACGTCTATATCTCTAAAATAGTTTCGAAAAATGATATGTTATAATTTTTTTTTATCACATTTAGGTTCATGATGTCCTCCCCAGACTCGGTAATGAGTGGTGGGGGGGTTTCGTGGGGTCGCGATGGGGCAGGGGCGGCAGGAGCTCGTCTGGCAGCCAGCGAGATGCCCATTTACGCCCCTTGTGTGTGCCGCCCTAACACTATGTTGGCGCAGTTGATGCGGCTGCACGTCGTCACGCCGAAAAGCTCGGTGCACGTCACACTGTCGCCTAAGGTCGGTTTCTAACATAAAAAAACTCATTGTGTGACAATTTACACCAGGCTTTTTTAATAGTTTTGTTACATCTGTGAATGCTATCTGTATTCTATTTTCGAATTACACTAAAATATAAATTAAAAGAACTGACTCAGACTTAATTTCTGTATTAAAAAAATGTCTTATTAAGCCGGCAACGCACTTGCGAGCCCTCTGGCTAAGTGAGTGCCCATTTTCTCCTCTCTGCTGAACCTCCTGCCCGTTTTCCCCCTGTAACATAAAGAAAAACTTTTTCCTTGATTATTAATTCCTTCTTTATAAAATTAGGTTTACGTTGACCGGGCACAGTCAGAGCATAGCTAAACTGTATATGTAGTTGTATTATGTGTATGTGTATGTATTATAAACTGTCATAATACACAAAAATATTAGGAAATTTTGTACCAGTCTTGTATGAATAAGCTATCTCGCTCTTACAGCTTGATTACTAACATTGATGAACATATTGATATACTTTACAACAATCTTCCTACTTACCGTAATTTTTAATAAATCACTTTATGATTTAAGTTTCTATTTAGTTTTGCAAAACAAACAGCAAAAAACAATTTGCTGTTTGCATGCGTTTAATTTTTTCCTTGCTAGTTTGAAATTTTTATATTCTAATAATAATAATTGACGTGTATGTGCTGTGTGTAAAATTTAAAAAAAATAAAAGTCATATTTTCTTGTATATTTTAAGCATACATGTTGTTTAAGAACTAAATAAATAAATATGGACAGTCCTGGTGCCTTCCCTCAAACTTAAAATAAAAACAATATTATAAAGAGTATCCCAAATTAGTAGTTTTGTATCTCTCCTACTGAAAACTTGACAACCCCGCCACAGAATCTATTTTCCTGAGATCTGTATATCGTATAATCTAATATAACTCCTTCAATTATCATAATGTCTCAGATATTTAATCGTGCGCTCTTTTTTTACGTTAAATAATTGCTTTAATAAATATATTCTCAGGTACAACCGGCCCTCGGTGTGCCAACATTCGTTCCGAGGCCGGAATCCGAAGGACCAATAAAGCTTAGTAGTGCAGCCTACTGGATACTTCGCCTTCCCTACATATATTCTGATGAGAGAGGTCCAGTGCCAAGGCCGAGGAATGCTGCTGGTTACATGGGTTATATGCTTACACCACTATTTGGACTACAAGAATAAAATTTACCATTTAAAAAAGTCGTATCTGTCTGCAGTTGGACAAGAAGTTTTGTCTTTGTATAGAAGACAGTTTTGTATTTTTAAAAACTAAGTATGAATTTTAATATAAGTGAACACTTATTATATAACAAAAGTTTAAAAATCAGTCAGACATATTGTATAAAAATTATTTTTATTAAAGCGAATTTATTACATTTTTCCACTCCCTCACTTCCCACGGTAATTCAAATAATTTAAAAAATTCGCGTTTATGTCTATAACGCTATATGTTCTGTAACGCTATGAACTCACGAAGATACAGATAGTGATAATTGTGTATCTTCAACAACTCACACTGTAAACTGAATAAATAAATAAAAGAAATGATAATGTTTTCATTACCCAATGTAAAAAAAGCCCTTTTTTCTCTTTATGGCTCTGGCACGGTTTGTGCATAAAAAATCCCTTAAAGTATGCCCAGCGCTGACATGTGTTTAAAACTGCCTGAATATTTGTTAATTCTGTTTAAAATAAACAAAATATATTTAAATTGTCTTTTATTACATCCTTATACTCTCCTTTAGATGGACATCGATACATAACTTTGATTTTAAATTTAAATTATCATAAAAAGGAAACTGTATCGTAAATCATCATAGAGAAGCTACTCTATGAAAATTTAAAGATAGAATGTACTCTTTTAAAAAGTAGGTCAATTAATTCACTTCATGGTAATAAAATAGAGCACACGGAAATAAACTGCATAAAATATACAATTTAATATTAAATTAAAGCCTCGAATAAGTTATAATTAGATTTTATCAATATTTGGACATTCGAAAATAACTGCCCGCATTTCACGCATGCGCTCTCTTGCGACAACTTCTGAAAACAAAAACGCGGGAAATCATTTGACGTTCTTTTTTCAAAAGACTCGCGAAAATGTTGTACAACTTAATTATTATATTTCATATAATTAAAAAAATAATTAAATTAATTTAGATTTAAAAATGAAATCACTTTTTTTTAAAAATCAAGTAAAAAGATCAACCAACGACTCTTACGTGCAAGGGGGCAGGGCTACCACCTCTTTCATGATTGGTGGGGAAATGGAAGGGGTCTGTGGCTTCGTGCTGCGCTGCGCTTCGTTCCCTCTTCAGTTGTGCTGGTGACTCCGGCGCGAGAAGAAGTCTGCAGGAGACTCTGCCAGTTTGAATACTCATCGAAATCTACAAACTTTAGGCGGCACTATGCCGCTTTTGCAACAGGTATGATTAAAAACCTATACTTTCTCTTCTCAAACTTAATATAAACTTGGCTGTATTTTAAATGTGTATAAGTACGTATAAAATTTCTTACTTTAAATGTAATTACCGTGGTTTAAATGTTTGTTTTTTATTTTTTTGCACAATACGTCACTTTAATAAAAAAATCCCAGCGCATTGAATTCCAGGAAGTGGTGATTTTATTATCGCCTCTTTAATTTTCCCTTTAATAGCTGGTAGTCTGATACCATTATAGATTTGTTATGTAGGTAGTAGAAAATAAACTCTACATATATTTGTAAGTCACGTTTAACGTACTTTTTTTAACTAAGTGCGTAGTATTAAATTATAATTAGGTTCCTGAACTTGGAATATTATACGTACATACTTTTTAGGATAACCGCGGTCCCGGCGGATCGAGAGAGAACCGTCGATCGTTTACAAAGTTTTTGGGCCTGGATACTTCTCAATCTACGGATGCGGTAGCTGCACCGAAACCGTCTAGCGGTCATGTAAGTTTTATAAAATTTACTTGTGAATTTTGCACCGCGTGTTATTTCCATTGTGTTACTAAATCCACGCAATTTATAAATATAAATAACGTTTTTTATAACGCAAAACGTAATCTTCAATTTTATTTGCTTAAATTTAAACTACATGCGGCATTTGTAAAGTTTCGTACAAATCGTTTTCGTATAAAATAAATTGCTCTACAAACTACCGTCAACTCCGCCGTGTTCGGCCATATTTTTGAACTTTTTGCCGTTAGGAGCAAGTTATCATAAAATGGCGCGCCCTAATGCATTCTGCAGTGGCTCAACTCAATATTTGAGTACAAAGCGCTATAGTTTTATTGTCCGTTCATAATATACCGTACGACATCCGTTTTGATGCCAGTTAATGTGTGGGGGGTGGCTGGCAGGCGGTATTAATGGGCCTTCCGTGCCAAATAATGCAGCCTGCCTGCAACTTGCATTAGCTTGAGAATTCGAATTATCTTAAAATTAGTTTCATACTTAGTGATTGATTTACGACTCCAATTGCGTACGGATTTAAGAGCCACTTTTCTACGCATAAACACGTTGTTTCGTTTATTGTCGGACCATATTTGATCTAAAATAAAATGCTCTACGAAGTCCGAAGTTAATAGAGGACCACTTGATTCGAGTTTTATCTAATTTTAAACTCATTTCTAGATCAGATTAAATATTAGTGCAGTTGAGCCCTGCTCTATCGATTTCCATCCGTATTCGGTTAAATTTATCGCGAGTTAAAAATAGGAAATTTCTGCAGTCTCGTGAAACTTAACCTTTTGTATTGGTCAATTTAGCTGTCTTATTACGTATGCGATCATAACTTTTATTTTTTGGCGCTAACCGCGAATTTCTAGTTAGTTACCTTTGCTCACAATTTATCTACGAAATTAATTTTGAAATTGTAAAGCCTTTGTGTGATTAAAACTTATAGAAAATAATGCGTAGTTTGTATATCGGTTATAATTTTATCAGTTCCTCAATGATTAGAAAGATTATATCTAAAGGCTTGTACAGTACAATAGTATTTTTGGTAACAAAAACTTCGCAATCGTGCTCTTGGCAGACGTCGGCAAGTATCGCTATTGGCATGGGGCAGCAATTTAATATTATTTGTATAGGCTTATGCCAAGCATAGCAGTTTTAATCGCGAAGACGCGACCCGGAAAAATGTCGTAGGACCTTGTCGGGCGTAAAAATACAATTTAAAATGTTCAATATGATAAATGTTGTCGCCATTAATTTAATTTTATTATTCCATTTGAAATTGTAGCTTCAATTTTATTGCGTCGCTGATATATTGCTGGATTTGGCTACTCGTAGGCGATTACATATTATAAATTTTCAGAAAAGCGTCTTATTTATTTGTCTCGTCTGTATCTTTCATGTCGATATCTAGACCTTGAGACCTCATTTCCATACGTACAATCATTATGACGCTTATATTTTCATTTCTAGTCTGGGATTTCGGGATTAAGAATAACCCTCTGTATAGTACGATTGTCTAGTACTTACAATTTAATCGCTATAAAGTAGACATAAAATCTAATGGCTAATAAAAATTTAAAGCTACAATGTTTCATCATTTTGCATAAACGTATCACGATTGGATTTTAATTACTAAAACTATTGGGTTAGTTTTATTTATACCGAATTAAGATGTCATAAATTTGTTAACAGAGAAATGAAGAGTGGCATTGGGATTTGCCGGAGAGCCCAGTGGCGGCTCAAACCCCTGGGTCGTTGGTGCCTTCAAATTGCTTTCCACCTCGTCATCCTACCGCCTACACTAGCTACAGGTAACATTAATATGCCAATTAGTCTTACGTATCTCTCGTCTATGTTAATACTTGGAATAAACGCAGGCTGCAATTTCCCCATACTAGACTATCTAAAGTTAGTGTTTTGGGAAAAGGGATCCTTTTCTTTAAGAAAATCCTAGAGGCTCTTTTATCTTTTGCCTTTTAATAATAAATTTAAGAAATGTATCAAAGAAAATGTGTAAAAGGGCCGGGGGCTAGTGTTAGACAGGCTACTTCTAATTAATTTGCGATATTTGTTATATAATAAGTTCGATGTTTTTTTTTGCATTTTCTCTCGGCCTACACCCTCCGTCTTCTTTGCCGATGAGTAGGGATGTCTACCGATTCAAATTTAATGACGTGGAATAAGTGATACCTGTATCTCATATTCCATAATAAACATTCCATTTATATCGACACATTTTTAATTAGATATTTTTAAGTCTAAAATACCGTAAACAGTGATCGTAGCAGAGCAAAAGGGCTTTGATAATGGAGGTTGATTAGTCTTAAGATTGAAATATAGCCATTTAATTTCTTTGCAACGTATCCGGATGGTGGAACGAGGTGACCTTCTTGTTTAAATTTTACCGTGTTAAACTAAAAAAATACAAACACATTAGCGAGGAAGTAGAATAGCTTGTTCCATTAACTGTACGCAACTGTTGTAGCGAGCGAGCGAGGCCGGGAAGCTGGGCAGAATCCGGGCAAGGGATAACGGACCTTGTTGCGAGCCTGGTAAGTGTAATTTTAAATCACGTAAAACCCTACTTGCGATCTCCAGAGACATTTTAGTAGCTTTATAATTTTACTCCATTAAGTTTGTCTTTGCAACCTTGACTTCTGTTATGACTAAATACGTTTCACAAAGTATAATTTTACAATATATATTTTGAAAAGTATATATTATATTATATTATATTAAATCGCAAAGTATATTTAATAAATTAATATCTGGTGTAATTTCAGTCACTAACAATGCCGTCCGCCAGTTCGGACTTCATGCCCGGTAGCAGCGAAACTCAACAAACACAAGTATGTTCTGACATTAATACTAGTTAAATTCATTAAATTTGTCAATGTCAAATATAATTAGTGGAATTGATTATAGGTTTCGATTACTTTTTAAATATATAGATCCCAGAAGTATAGACGCTACGATGCTATTATGCTACGACGTAGCGTTGCTACGTTTAGCGTAGCTCCGTAGCGATATTAAACAATATTAAATGCTAATCTAAACAATTATAGAAATATTCAATATTTTTGCTCGGTTTATTCTTTTAAATTTATACTTACTATCTAACCTTCAATAACCTCATATTTATATCGAATAGAGTACGTAACCAACCAACCTCACAAGTGTTTTGTGGGTTTTTTATTTAAGTCTTGCATTATTGTAGCTTTTTAAATATTAATTCTTTTGGAATGTTTTCATAGATAACTCGGTGGTCCCAAACCGTGGAGCAGTCCAAAAAAGAGACTCGTAAAAATGAAATTATGGCGCGCCGAGCATCTTTTTGTGAGTATACTACTTTCAATCGTGGCATCAAATAGTTATATTTGATTATGAGAAGATTCTTGTTTGACTCTGCGTAGGTTATAAATTTAAGTTCCATTACAAAAGTAACTTGTTCAGTATTTTCAGGGAATAAAAGCTAATATTGTCTTTGATTAACATAACCTTTACACATTTAAAGAAAAAACTTTTTATACATAATTTTAAATTTATCCGACGTTTCGCGTGCTTTACAGCGTGCGTGGTCACGCTGTAAAGCTATGTTAAACAATTGTAAATTTATAATAATACATAACTTTAATCCGGTTAAAAAGTTTTTTCTTTAAATAAAAACTAACTCAAAGCAGTCTTAAAATCTCTAAATTCTCGTAAATTTTGTTAATAAGGTGGCGTAGTGAGTAGCAACAGCGGAATTAAAGTATGGACTGGGCAATTGCCGGCCCGTACCATGGACAGTGGCGTGTACTCTTCAAAAGTATTCCTGGGCGGGCTTCCCTGGGACGTATCGGAGTATACACTGATGCAGGCGTTGAAGAGTTTTCAGCCAATTCGGTGAGTTCACGCGATTTCTCATTACGTATAGATCTGAGAAATAAGTTAATATTTGTAACTGTGCCAAGTCGGAATAAAATAATTGAAGGACTTTCCTTAAGGATTTATGATGGTACAAGTTTTGTTTCCTTTTAATAAAACACGGTTATTTGAAACTAATATAAAAAATTATTACCTAATTTGACCCTATACGAGTGTTGGGACAAAGAACATTGTCAGAACTAGGTGATATAATGTCAAAGTCAAAAATCATTTATTCATGCATGTAACATAATGTACACTTATGAACGTCAAAAAAGAAATATACATTAAATGCTTCTAATTTTACAATTACTGCCAGTTCTCAAATCAAGGGCGTAGAACGGAAGAGAAGAACTGGCAATAAACACTCCGCCACTCTTTTTGTGAATGAATAAGTCATGTGTTAACCGAGTCTGAAGCTTATAATAAAACTTGTCTTATAGCGTGGAATGGCCAGGCCGTGGGAACGGATCTCTACCTGGCAACGGTGATGATGGCCCACGTGGGTTCGCCTATGTCACATTCGAAAACGAACAGAATGTGCGAGCGTTGTTATCTGCGGCCAGACGTAACGATGATAAGTGGTATTACCGCATCTCTACGCGTAATATGAAGTCTAAAGAGGTGAGCAATTTAGTCAAATACTCGCATAAATCTTTAGCGAATCAACGTTGTTGGTTTTAAATTAGTTTGGTCTTTCATTGATATTGATTGTATTTATACTTTGGTTTGGTTTTGCAAATACTCTATATTTCTTTGAATGTTATCAAATAAAAACTCATTTAAAATTTATAGGTGGAAGTGATTCCGTGGTCGGTGAAAGACAGTATCTGCGTAGTGGGGGGTTCCACTCGTCTGGATCCATCTCGCACCGTGTTTGTGGGAGCCCTCCATGGAATGATGTCGGCTGAAGCTCTGGCCCACATCATGAATTATCTCTTTAAGGGAGTGGTTTATGCCGGTAAGTGATTTCTTAGACATCGTTTAACCCGTTAAAAATTTTTGAATTTTTATTGCACTGTCTGAGATAACGGTATATCATGAATACACGAAGACATTACCTTTGTTTATTTTCGAGTACACTTTACTATTAAAGGTTCAATATAGAAATATCTATCAATATTTAATGAGCATTTACTCCTCCCCTCAAAGATGGCAATGAACTAACTATTCAACATTCTGAATTTAGGTACTATTTTATTATTATTAATTCTGTATTCCAGGTATCGACACGGACAAATATAAATACCCGATTGGTTCCGGTCGCGTAAGCTTCGACAATACGCACTCGTACGTCAGCGCCATCTCTGCGGGCTTCGTCGAAATACGCACCGACAAGTTTACTAAAAAGGTAACTAGAATGTGAATGGAATGTTCTTTAATAAGTTTATAATATTCAGAATCTAGATTTGATAGAAATATTCTTAAAAGCTTTCAATAGGTTTCTAAAATTTATTTTGTCAATCTTGTAATTGTTAGAGATATCATATTAGGTTTAATTTATATATTTCAATATCGGAAATATTTGAACTTTTATCAAACACTGCAATTTCAGGTGCAAGTAGACCCTTACATTGAGGACGCGATGTGTTCTATGTGCAACATGCAACAAGGACCTTACTTTTGTCGGAGTCCTTTTTGTTTCAAGTACGTATTGTTTAAAATTATTTACATTAATATAATAGTAAATTTGTTAATCAATTTTTATTTGTTTTAGTTTTTCTTTTTAATTTTTACCAGTTACCTTATTTGTCCCTGTCACTAAGCGTGCCCAATAGTCTGTGGGTATAACGGAATTAAATAGTCTGTGCAGACGTAAAACAAAATGTCAGAAATCTCGTGGCGGGAACCGCTGCCCATAAACACAATTGTAGTAGAATCTCACGCGTCATTTTATTTATTTTATATTAAGAATATTTTCGTTTATCATAAAATTTAATATTCCAGATACTTTTGCCGCAAGTGTTGGCCAATCCGCCATCCGATAGCGACTCCAGAGCATCGAGCTCTAATGCGCAATTTTAAGACCGACCAGGTGCAACCAGTGTCGATACCCGGCAGCACTCTTTGCCAAAATGGCAACATGGCCATGTCTAATAGGAGACAGTCGCTGTGCGACCAGAACATGTTTGGAGTCTTCAGTGGTGTGGATTGTAAGAATATTAACTTAATTAAATCTTATAGGAATAACATTTGCACGTGAATTAATTTGTCTTTCACAGAGAATTAGCAGGAATGAATATTGTACCAATCCATTAAATTTTTTTTAATTACAGCGACGCCGTCTCCAAGTGGACTAAGTGCGTCCAGTGACCACGCCACGGAGATCACCGATTGGTAGCTCCATCAACACGCATCGCACCGGTTCTTCCGGACAGCAGCTGATCGAGCTGTCTTGGCTCGTCGGCTGTTCATGTTAAACATCTCGTCCTCCGGTGTTACAAGTTGTCGATCCGCTATTAAGTTGGGCGCTTCGCCAGCATCCGCTTTGAAATAGGTTTAAGAAATCGTGCATTTTGATTTGCACTTGTTGATTTTTTCTAGATATATATTAATTATACCAATCGGGTAGAATTGTTTTGTACTTTTTGCAAATTTTATGGCAAGCCTCGACGGCTGTTTTAATACGTTTTAATGTGCGTAGTGTTAGTGATTAAGCTAGTGAGCTTCAATGTATAGAGTTTTTATCGATACTGATTTTATAATGCTTAAATTATTGATATAAAAACTTTAATAAATCGAATTACTATATATGAATCTATTATTTATAATCCTAAAATTCTAGATAAATATCTTATTTACTTATTATACTTAAAACGCAGTTTACTTTATTAACAGAATTTAAATCGTCCAATACGCATTCGTCTTGCTAATTTCTTGCACTCAAACTTAACTTAATTTAAGTTTGACAAATTTTTGAATTGAAGTCTTCACAATTTCACTATAATTAAATAACCTATACTCGTAGCAGTTACGTAGACCATTTAAAACTCAAACATTAGGTTTTCGTATACGCTTTTTTTACATTCAACTCCTTGCTTAGTTAATATTTAAACATCTCTAACTCAAAACGATGTTTATAATTAATTATCTTGACTATAATAAAATCTTAGCGTAAAGGTCGATGGACATAAAATTATTTTTAAATGAACACTAAGAACTTTTGGAAAGATTCGGAGGACCCCTCTACATACACTGAATTCAGTTACTTAAAAAAGTAGGGTGGAAAAAAGGCCTTTATAATACGTAGACTATATTGTGTTATTTGTATTGTTGATATCCAATCTAAATTAAATATTTTACGATAAATAATTATTCGTCTTTTGCGCTCGCACTTTGATGATATCAATATCGATGGGGTAACGATATTTCTCCGACATATACAGGGTGGCCAAAAATTCGTGGATCAAACGCAAATAGGGGATAGATGAGTTGTAGAGTTGTTGTTTTTCCGTCCTAGAAAGATATTAGAGCGACTCATGGCCATGAGTAAAATAAAATAAACACCTTAATAATACCTTTTCAGATATCCCTATTAAATGCGCCAAAACTTGTAATACAGGGTCACTTTTCGGTAGAGTAATTTTTTTTCACAGTGGGGTCCGAAGTAAACAAAGTTATGATTTGAAAAAAAATTTAAATCGTATAACTTAATATTATCTTCAATACACTCAATAAACAACTATAAGGCTAAGTTCACATGTAACGCGCGTTAACGCAGATCAACGCGCGATCAAATTTATAAAGAGTTCAGATGACAATCGCTAACGCGCGTTGCGAATTGTGAGAGCTCGTCCAGTCTGTTTAGATAGAGCTTAAAAAATTGTCGGGTAAGAAGCTATTATTTTGTGGTTATATTAAAAGTATTCTTGAAAGTCGTTATCATTATAGAAAATTAAAACCAATTCTTCACAAGCACGTCGTTTTATAATTTTATTTTTATAGGATTCTGAAGTTCTATCCTGAATCGCTGGCCTTTTCCGGACTTCATCAATTAGTAAATCAATTTCACATAGCCTTAATAGTATGTCTAACGCAAGAACTCATCAGTACCAATCTAGTGGATATTATGAAAAAGATACAGGTGTAGATTTTTTCGAATTTTAATAAGAATTAGTAAAAAAAGTCAATTTTCTTATAAAAATGCAAAATAAATTATAATATTATATATAATATATTATAACTGCAGGGGTTGAGCTTAGAGACTACCCGTTGAACAATTTTTTGCAGCTGATGACCTCATCTATCCCCTATTTGCTTTTGATCCACAACTTTTTGGCCACCCTGTATATGTAGTGTTGAATGTGTAAAATCACCTAAGAAATAAACTAGCGGTATACTGTGATAAGTGACGGTCAACTGCTTTTCTTATGTAATAAAGTTTTACATGAATTTTGGGGTAAATAAAAAACCGATTGAGCTAGAGAAATTTAATCAAAGCTCATACTCATATCAGACAAATTAGTAGCGTCGTGTGGGGTTTGGGGCAGACTAGTTTCACCTGGGGTGGGCGTAGGCGGAATATTAACTGCTGGAAACGGAAACTGCGGAATTTCTTCTTCTGTAAGAAACAGATTTGCATATGAATATTATATATTATTAGATTGGTAACTATCATAATTTTTAAGATTATTATTAATCGAACCCAAGACCTTCGTATTTGTCTATGATCCAGTTGCATGAATGAAGTACACGATCAAGTTAATTTTTGTGTGATATTTTAAGCTGTATATCTTATCAACTTTTTTTTTATAGATGGTAACAATTCTTACACAACTAGAAAGTGTTAATTCATGCACAAATAAAATATATTTTATCAATCTTTGTATGTATACTACTATATGTGTGTATGTCACTGAACTCCTCTTAAACGGTTGGACCGATTTGATTCAATTTTTGTATGCGTTTGGGTGGCGCCCTGGATGGTTTAGATTCACAAATCAGCCCGGCAGATGGCGCTGCAGTCGGTCCTTTCATAATTTGTTTAATATCCTCATCGCTTGAAATATCATGCAGGACAACGTCTGTCGGATCCGCTAGTACATATGTATATTTCGATAAAGTAATCTTGGAGTGCAACCCTATGCGCATAAACCTTATTAAAACAAAATCTAATTTCAGTCTCACTAAAGTACTCTTTTTGTCTTTTTCTGTCAAATGTTTACGCTGAGATGAAAAGAGACACATTAATTAAAACAGTGAAAAGCGTACTTAGATTATCCAATGTATCTCACTCGTACGACAGGAACATACTGCCTACATAGAAACACTAAGGTCGGGCGTTCAAATCCCAATTGTGCCCCTTTAACCATTAAACCAATAACATGACAATTTTCTTAGCAAATTCTGGCCCGTTTTGACAAACATGATTAACCCAAAAATCGACATTTCCTGATACTACTTCTCTAAAAGATGGAAGAGCATGCGTGAGGCGATATATAACAATTGGATTAAATTTTCTCACCCGTAAGAGCAGCATCCAACCGATCAACAATCGCATCCAATAGGGCTATAGCCACCACATTATCTGGATCCTTCGCTAGAGCCGAATGCAGGGCATCAGCTGCCTCCGTCTCCCGACCGAGGAGGGCCAGGCAGAGCCCCCGGGCTGCGATGGAGTTCGCTTTGGCGGGGCGAAGCGCTAAGGCCCGTTCGTGCCATCGCAGCGCTTCAGCGGGACGACCTAACCGACGGGTCACGTGACCCAAGCAGTCCAGCGTCGCTGCCCATATTGGGCTTTGCTAAATGAGAAAAAAATATATACATTTTTAAGTACATAAATTCTGTTGCGTATGGTATTTATATATTTCTTTGTAAGCAGCAAACGCAGTAGTCTGTGCGGAACTATGCTCTATATTATCTATGCCTAGTTGATATGCGTGATTAAGCTGGGTACTCACGAACGTTACGAGGTGTAAAGTGACATTCGCATCGAGCATGTAATGGTGTGTTCTAAAATCAGCGTAACATGTACGTTTTTACTCTGCGCTCCATATTCGCCAGCCACTCGCAGGCAAGATGACAGCGAGATTGTATTGGGATTTTTGATTCGACTAAACTATTTTATAATCCAAATTAAGAAAATTAAAAAATAACGAAGTAACGAAGCCAATATAACCCAAGCGTCTTCTTTCTTTAATTCGTCATAATGCTTTGAATGTGCTCTCTGTATTTTCTATAAAATACAAAGTTTTTTCTCTGTTCTACTCTATTTTTTTCAAGAAATAACTCGAGAGAAACGACGTGTGCGCGTGTGCTCGTGACGGCTTTTTGTAGCGTACTGACTGATCACAGAACCGCGTAACACTAAAAGGATTTGCCAATAAACCGACAGCCGGGTGGTGCACTCATAGCGAACACAGAGCGGCACGCAGCTCGCTGGTTTCCCCGTAACACTACGTACTGACTGCACGAATGCTCGCTGTGGAACATGTTAAATTACACCTCGTAGCGTTGGTCAGTACCCAGCTCGAAAAACTAGAAGCAATAATTATGAATAAACGTGCGTAGCAAATAGGAACTATGTTTTAGCTTCCATGTAGGTACTCTTTTCCCACAGACTCTATTTCAAAATGCAATAAAACATTCGACAGTATTATCGACCTGGACTGGAGATCCTGTTGGTTACCATGGTTACCATATGTAGAACGTAGATCGAGATCCTTGCTCCAGGTTTTATAGTAAAGATTATATCGACCAGGACTCAATTATCAATTTTACAAATTCATGCAGTTTGTTAATAACTACATGAATCGGTAAAATCGGCAAATCTATCAAACCATAGTGTTTCCCAATGGTGTAATCGTACTCTATTAATTTTTGGCATGATGAAATTTGTATTACAATAGACTTATTTTACAGAATAATACAATCTAAAACTACCTCTAGCAGTCTTGTCAGAAGCGCGACAAAAGCATATGAAAATAATTCTTCTTTCTTTCTTCTTTCTTTATGTTGGTTAACGGTAAATTACAGGAATCACTTTGAAAACATTGTTACGTGCATGTCTTTTGTCTAAATTTATGATTACATTTATTTATTAAACAATAGATGGCGTTGTGCATGTATAAAACGCGATAACAAAACGATGTCCTAGAAACGTATAGTATTTATGAATGTCGTACGTACAATAGCATTATTATTTAATAATAAATGAATATAGAACAAATACCTCTTTCCCCGGTCCAGCCGCGTGTAGTGCACGTAGCCACAACGTGCGAGCGGCTTCGAGGTCGTTCGCTGCGAACGCGGCCACGCCCGCTTCGTGGGCTATTAACGCTGACCCCACAACACGAGTCACTCGCTCCCAACGACCCAAGTTCTCTATATCCGATTCGTCTACTACGTCCGTTCCTGTCTGGGGTCAGAAATGGGAAAAACGTATTAAAGGCACGGAAATACATAAATAGATAATATTGAATGTTAACAATACAATTAGCTAAGCAATAAGCATATACCAAAAAAAATTTACTTATAAATTTTATTTATTAAAACTTCGCTAGCAAGCGATCTCTTAAGTAAAACTAGTAAGGTAAAATTAATAAATACTAAGGGTAAAATGCGACAAGTGCATAACTAAATTAACAAATATACATATTTATACATACATAAAAAATAAATTACAAGAGTTATATAACCTAACATTAGTTAAGTGACATATATATATATATATATTAGTTAATTATTAGAAACACAAACTAAATGTTAGCTATCTTACACTCGTAGCCAATAAATTATAAAACGTCAATTTAATAATAAATATTCCCTTTAGTTTTTTCCACACTCATAAATTATAATATAACATTCTCGTTTCCGATAATATCCAAAAGGGCGACTACACTTATATTCTTTATGGGTAACATAAGTGTCAATTAGATTTAAACCCTTCAATAAGTCAAGTTAGTTTTTTGTTAATCCAGCGTCGCAACCCCCAATGGCGTAACAATAGGGTGGCAGGGCTGGAAATGCCACGGGCCCCCGACCCAAGAGGGCCCCTGCCCAAGAGGGCCCCTGCCCAAGAGATATTATGTTCTATGGATGAATGTGAAGTCTCCAATACGCATTGGGCTAGCGTGGGGACTACAGACCATTCCCTCTCGCCTAAGGGAGGAGGCCTATCGCCATTAGTGGGACATATACAACGTGTAATTGAGTACGCTGAAAATCTCGAAGTTAATAAAATTAAACTGAGTACATAGATTTTTACTGATAGGGCCCCATCAAGAGAATTTGCCACGGGTCCCAGATGGTATAGTTACGCCACTGGCAACACCACTACCCCTGATTTTGTTATGATCTCGTTTTAAATAATTAAAGCCAGTTGAAACCCAGCTTCAAACAAAGAGTTTCATTTAACATATATATGAACATCCAACAACCGCCGCCGAACTCAACTAAAGTAACTATGAAACATTATATAATTTCTGGTTCATGAAGGCAATAAATAAGAAAATACATGAATTACACAAGTCAAGATTGACCAGGATACGATATGGTTAGGAGAAGTACTTACATCAGCATTACTGTGCAAAATGGCGGCTTTGGTCATGAATCCTTCGCACATATTCATATTGTTCAGCAGACAGCATTCAACTCCAACATATAGAAGGGGAAGGTAACTGCCCGGCATTAGTTGACTCGCCTGTTGGTTTGCATATCAAACATTCATAAGTGACATTTGAAGTGTCTTCTTTGAGATATAACTGTCTTAGACCTTGATGCATATACAGGACGAGTCCTAAGCAATGTTACTTTTTGAAGTTATACTTCTTTTTCCGCGTTAGGGAAAAATCATGAGAGTAAATTTGTACGATGCGCGCGCACACCGTCACAAAAACCCGACACCCTGAAGTTAGCTATAGTCAACATTTTCGTTTCTATTCTTAGTTTCGTTTCTATAAACTTAGAATAAAATTTTGTTACGCGAAATAGGTATAACTTCTAACGCGTGTACATAAGTATACACACGTTATATTTTATGTTACAGGAGGCTCATCTGATGTTAAGTGATACCGCCCGCCCATGGTCACTCACACTGCCAGAAGGCTCGCAATAAGCCTTTAAATGTATGTCAGAGATTAGGTTATAATAGAACACGGTGTAATTTGTTTGATTACAATGGCAACACCACGCAATATCATAGACATTTTACAGGTTGTAAAGTGTCAATGTGTCAATTGTCAAAGTCAATTTGTCAGTAGTGCGTAGAATCGGTCGTGAATTGCTTGAGTTGCTTTCCGATCGGCGCCTGCGCCGGACGTGCGCACTGACTGTGTTTAAATATTAAATAATAAAGTCGGACGACGGTAGTGATACCAACTTTGTAATTATTAATCGCGTTGAATCTGCGACACATACATACAATTTATATTTAAATGTTCTATTCCTTTTTTTTATAGATCGGGGCTAACAGGCCAGAAGACTCCCTGCAATGCCGGCTTTTTAAGAATTGGTACGCTCTTTTCTTGAAGGACCCTAAGTCGAATTGGTTCGGAAATACTTCAGTGGGCAGCTGGTTCCACATAGTGGTGGTGCGCAAAAACTGCCTTAAAAAACGCTCAGTTGTGGAACGATGGACGTCGAGGTGATACGATTATCGTATTCTACCTCGAAGATGAAACTTAGCTGCAAATCGTACCTTGAAGTAAGCAGCCATAGCTTGATCGTGCTCGCTGTCGGCTGCAAAACTGTGTCCGTATGCCAGCCACACACAGCCCGCACTCTCCGACAGAGAGCATGCCTTGCTTAAATATCGTCGGGCTAACTCATTTTTACCTATAAATAACATTTAATTAAAATTCCTATGTATTATTTAGAACTGATTATGACTGATCCATTACTCTTAAGATTAGCTTTTAGTTTTATTTTGTAAGTCTCCATTAACTGTATTTTTAAATGTAATTTTGCACTTTTCCCTTAAGTAATCCCTATAACGCGTTTTCAAATAACGCGATGATAGTTTATTGCCAGTTCTTCTCTTCCGTTCTACGCCCTTGATTTGAGAACTGGCAGTAAATGTAAAATTAGAAGCATTTTCTTTGACGTGCATAAGTGTGCGTTGTGTTACCTATACGAATAAATGATTTTGAATTTGGCAGCGTTCAAGTATTACGTAACGAGTTTTGGGACGGGGGGTCCTTTTGTAAAACGTTACGATGCGGGGCGGGGATTTAATTACGCGTTATTTTTAATATTATTTTCGACTTACACCAAATAATAGTAACTAAAGAGTCACTAGGTGGTCACGAAAAGTTTTACTATACTCGAGTATAGTACTGTACTTGGGTACTGAAAAACGTTACGACGAGTTACATGGGGGGGTCAATAATCTCCAAAAATTGCGTTACGTAATACTTGAACGCTCCCTTTGACTTTCCACCACAGACCAAAGCATATTTTTATGAATCCCTCAATAATTGTCTAGTTTCTTACCTATCAGATAATAATAACATCCAACAGCATACCACGACGTCCACACTTGCGGATACGAGTCCACAAGGCAATGGGCGAACGCGAACAACTCCGACGATTTCTTTAATTCCACCAAGCAAGCCGCTCGCACGTCCGCACAGGCCCACGGTCCGGCTTCATCTAAGGCTTTTAGGGCTTCGGCCCAGTCCCCGGAGGCTGCGAGGCGACGCCCCCGGGCCTCTGCCCCTGTTACACTACGAGACCGGGCTATGTCTACGGCTGTTCGAGATTGCTGTAAATGTGTGTAGAAAATATTGTCTTTGCTTTGTAAATGTAAACATCTATATTTTATCAGAAATGCGTGCAGAAGCGTATCACAAAAACTGCTAAACCGATTTTGATGAAACTTTAACTGTTCCCTAGTTAGAAAAAAAGAACTATCAATATTAGTTTTAGTATTCGAAAATTGTTTTGAGAAAAACATACATATGTATATCCAATTTCAACAACATACCAAAATAATACCCTCCTATATAAGGTCGGTTAATAAACAACAAACATGCATCTTACATCATTATCAGGCGGATTCCGTAATGGCGCATATCGCAAAAGCCGCTCCCGATACGCGACCCGTAATAACGCCGCTTCCGCCGCACTTAATTGATTGTTTATAGGCAGAGATTCTATGAGATCACTTTCTGTAAAAATAGAAAATACCAAATTAATAACCGCTTAATAAAAAACCTAAAAGCCGATTACAGGTAAGGGAAAATCCCTCGGTACGGTCCCTCATATTTGAGGAAAACCGAAAATTTGGTTAATTTTTTGAGAATTTGGTACGTTCAAGTACCTCACGTAATAAGCACTATAGGGGCGGGGCGGGGTCTTTGAATTTCTTATTTGGTGATTACGTCACCAGTAATCATTTACTGTTTTACACATATCATCCACACATTGTCTATGCTTGAAAACGAAATGCATTTTCGAGGATTCCTACAAAAAATTAATACGTTTATGTACTATTATTTTTGAGAGCTTTGCTTACTTTTGCTGACAAGAGGAAGGGGGGGGGGGATAAATGGAAATCTGCTTACGTAATACTTGAACGGCCCCATTGATATTTACAGAAAATGTTAGCAGATATTCTATTTTTACCTTGACTAGGGGTTAAAGCATGTTGTTCCAGCAACAAATCTAAGGCTTCGTAGCACGCTACGTCAGCTCTTAGGGCCGAGGTCAGGGCTTCTATGGCGGCGTCCCGTCGCTCTTGCAATGCGAGAGCCTTTGCTTGCCAAACTAGGACGCCTGCTAAGGCACGCTATAAATATATATAAATTACCTGTCACGTAGTTTGTCCGTTATGGACTCCTAAACTACCGAACCGATATCAATCAAATTTGCACACAGTGTGTAGTTTGATCCAACTTAAAAGATAGGATAGCTTACATCTCAATTTATACTCGCAATATTATTTTATTTATTTACAATTTTAACAGATGGCGCTGTGTTGAAAGTACCAACGTTTCACATAAGCTACAATTTAATGGCATAACCACCAAAAAAGCATGGTGGTCCCCATGACTGCTGTTCTCCTACCGTTTCCCTTGAATAGTTTACTACTATGCAATATAGTAAAATCCTTAGCCTTAGTATAAATATATTCATTAGACTAATAAAATCAGTCTTAAGAATTACAAATATTTATAAAGAAATTTTAAGAAAAGACTTGGGGGTTCAAAGTCGAGTCTTGGAGCTAAGTATGAATCATAAATATTGGATGAGACATAATGGTCTAAGATCCGGCTGCAGGATTAGTGCGCTCATCGGTTATTTGCTAAAAACCAAACCAAAAATTTTCAGACGAGAATAGCGAATGCCGCCTGTGCGACGCATTTAAGTCAATGCGCATGCGTCGAATGTTAGTGTTCTCAAACTGAATAGATGCGGCATTTTTATTCTAACATAAAAACCATGCTTGCATGAGCGCATTTATCCTGCATCCGGATCTTAGACCAATATACGCTGGAGGAATTCTAGTGGTTAATCTTATGTCCCTCCTTCATTTGAACCTTTTATCGATTGCATTAATACTAATGATCTCAAACAATACAATACTTTATATAATAATTGTGACAGAATTGTCGACCTTGTACTTGCTAATATGCCATCGTGTGAGTTTTTATTCTAACATAAAAACCTATCGCTATCCTCGTCTGACAAATGATGTTAAGAGTTAACTTTCTTTCACTGTACCTTAAATATTTATCATCTTTAACAGCAGGTTACCCTTATTTGCGGCCAGATGTACTAGGCACCCATATAATTAGCTTCAATTTGATATATAATTCATAAATGTACGTTATGAACGTGTATCGAAATCGTACCTGGTTACACCTGGCTACGAAGTACTGCGGCCAGATGGGCAACGGCACTCGTGATTTTTTAAAATCTTTATGTAAATTGCCGTGATGTAGACGATATTTTATTTAAATAACAAGTGAACGAAATGTTTTCCCAAAAATCAATTCAGAATAATTTCATTAAAATACTAGCGGCCAAATTTTGACAGGCAACTTGGTGGATATACATTCTCCTAATTATAAATATACATAAAAATTTGGTTTTTAGCAAATAACCAATGAGCACACTAATCCTGCAGCCGGATCTCGTACTATAAGACTCAAGTATGAATCTTACGTAAGATATGGCTTATTCTTAGACCAAGATGTTCGTAATGTTTTTTAAATTTATTTTGAATATAAATTTTCTGAATCAATCCTCATGTGCTTGAATATAAAATAAATAATCATAAAATTCACATTGTCTTCATCTCAAAAAGGGGTTCTCTTACTTGCATAAAAAGAGTTATAAGCATAAACAACATTCACCAGAACATATTGGCCATAAAGTCAATTGAGGACTCACCATATGCAAAATACATTATAGTGTACAAGTATATGTGCCGGCTAAGGAGCACTCTGTACTCTATAATCACTCTTAGACAGACACCCTTTTCCAAACCAGATTTTGTTGTCGCCGCTGACATTCTTTTGACCGATTGCTTACTCTATAACTTACATTATGTGTTTGGTTCATGTTAGTGGGTTCCAGTAGGGCTGGGTAGCATTCATCTAATAGAGTAAGAGCTGTTGCGGGTTCCTTAGCTGTTATGTATGCTCGCATTGCAACACCAAGGCAAAGCAAGTGGTTCCTGGAATCCAACCAATATGGTTGTTACACAGGCTTTTCTCTGTGAATATTGTGAGTTGAATAAGATAATTACATTGACATTAATTATTTGCATGCCTATTTTTATATGGCTATTTGTGCATTCTTTTTTATAATAAATCAATCTGTATCTTTCTTTGCAAATATAAAAAAATATTTATTTAATACTTACACATGTAGAGCTCTTGATGTGATAGCGTGAGCTGCTCTATGAAGCTCACCCTTAGCAAGCATTGTACTAGCCAGCAGCCATATATCATCACCACTGGCCACATCAGATCCAGTTGATGCTGCCGCTGCATCAGCCCAGAAAAAGGCACTTGTCCACTGACCCTAACACAGTGTGACTATATTGATTTAAAAGATACATCAAAATGATGTAAACCCAGACTTACACATTTAATATATGAAAATTAATGATTGGATATGAATATTAAACATATCACTGTAATTCAAGTCTGTATAGATATATGATTAAAAGGTCTTAACTATTAATTTAGACTACAGCTTAGAATTATTTGTTTAGTATTTAAAACCTTTTTTAACATAATGTTATGTCTTAACCACAAAAAAGCAGTTTTCCTAGCAAATTGTAAATTGCAACCGGGTTGATGATTCTGGTGTTCATTACAAAAAAGATAGGAAAGTTGAGATTTTTAACAATTATTATCTTCTTAAGTTAAAGACAAGCTGCAATAGCACAAATAGTTTTTAAAATATAATTCGTCTGTAAAATAAATTGAATCTTAGTACCAGTTCTGAATACTGTTTAACCAGAGAACGCATGAAATCGACGTTTAGTCGCTCCACACTGTTCCTTGGACAAGATTCCGCTTTAGCCATTATAATAAATATAAAATAATATTGATGCGTAAATTACACTTTTTTTCAATTAATAACATGTAAAATGTAAATATTAAATAAAGCTTGAAAGTTCTGTTTATCGCGCTCTATCTCTATGCTGTTAAGTGCAGTGTGACCAGATTTTAATTGACGAATCTACTGCTTGTGGAGGTTAAAAACTACTGAATTCTACCGAAAGGAACGAGAAAATCTATTATATTTTTTTTGCTGTTGTTTTACATCGTAAAACATGAATGTTTTCTTGATAAAACGATAGAATAATAAAAATAAGAATTTAATTTGAAAGAAACCAAGTTTTTTTTAATTAAATTCTAAAAATGTATAAAATGATACTTAAAGTAAAGATTTTTCGTCTTTATGTTGGGTAACATTGTCATAAAGCAATTTTCAGTCCATTAACTTGAACATACTTCTGTCAGATCTATTGACTGAAGCGGAGTAGTTTTTATATAATTTATCTTCATAAAGCAACTCAAAATGGAACTCATAATGTTTTGTATGTCTGTTTCAATTTTATGAATAAGGGTCTGATCACTTTGAAAAATAACGTAAAATTTTGTAGATTTACATAACCAACTTTAAATAAGGGATCTTGCTCCTATTCATTGCGATATCCTTGTGTATATTTATGTTTCATTTTAAACTCGATGATATAAATCTCAATAAAGGAATTCCCACATCACACTCTATGCTCACGGCACGAATAGTAACGAAAAGAATGAACATTAAATAGTTATAATCCAATCGATGAAAGAGGAATACCTCGCTTTCATTCGATATGCCACAAAAAGTACTAGAATAACTGAAAAGCGTGAATTCTACTAAAATATACCAAATAATTTTTACATACTAAATTCTGTTGACAGTACCTCAAAATCTACCAAAAAGTAGAAATCTACTAAATCTGGTCACACTGGTTAAGTGTCAATTATCGTCTGACGTCTACCAAGTATCACCTGACAACTACTATATTAATGTCATAATGACATTATTTTATTCCACATTTTAAACACTTATCCAGCGACCGACCGTTTTGAATGCATCATTCAAATGGAACGTAGGACCAAATAAAAAAGAAGTATGCATACAAGCCGTCGGAAATATCTGCGAACCTCGCTGGAATGCGCTTCCCCTGGCGCCCCCGCACCCCGCCCCGTTTTCGCCTATCCAGTACCGTTGCCAACGCAATCGCCGACGCCGCACGTGTATTATTCTTGCTTTCGTAATCGCATTTTAGTGTTTATTGTTTCTCTGTTTGGTGAAATATTACATAAACTACCTATTTAGTGCTGTATGTAAGATGGGTAGGTACGAGTATCAATAAAAATAAGTACACAAATAAAATGTTTTTTATTTTTACATCTTCAATTTTTTTGCTATCTCTCCAGTTTGTATGACGTCATTAAGCCAGGTTCGCAGATATTTCCGACGACTTGTACCTACAAGTTACAACATTATTCGGTAGCCCATCAAGGGCTGTAATGATATTGATATTTGATAGTCTACTTTAAATATAGCTAAACAATTTCTTATATACTCTGTAGCTATGAGTGACGTTTGACATATAGAAGAAATATTTACAGTTTACACGTTTGAAAGTTAATCCAAAAGAACAGAGTAAAACTGTTGGTAATAAGATTTAAGAAAACGGAAAAAGGTTAACTTATAAACAGAAAAAGATTAAATCAGCTAATTTGTCAGAAAGATAAGGGTATAAATGAAATAAACATTGTAGAAAGTAGCCAAATTATTCTACTAAATCGTCTTAGTGATATTTGTACATAAATTACACAAGGCTTAGTCCTAAACCACGAAACGTGTCCTAGGTTAGGCCGTTAAAAGAATCATGTTATTACTGGCGTAACATGACAGAAAGGAAAATGTGTAAATTCTATAACTTAAACGTTCCTGAACGACGAAGCGGTGATACTGGACCTCAGGACTATGGTGATGATGAGGACGACAGAAACCCCGAAGATAATATGGCGCCTTATGTACCGCCACATGAGCATAGGCTGGAGTATAATTACTGGATGTGGTTTTCTAGGCGGCCGCCCGCCCGAGATCTCTCATCCACCACCACTGGATATGGGCAGGTTAGTTATAACAAGTCTAGAAATAGATCAAACTTTTTAAAAACCAATATAAAGTTCACATCTCAGTCTAGACTCGCGAAATATATTAATAAATTCTGGTATCTGCTCATCAGTTTATATCCAATATTGATTTGTCATCTAAATTGTCCATATAGATTTTTAGTATCACACTGGAAGCCTTCTATATCTAATGAATATTGTGAATTCTCGTGTTTTTATTTTAAATTTAAATGGTTTAAACGGCATGCCCAAATGTAATACTGCTTAATAAAGTATGTGTCTTAGAAAAAATACTGGTTGTCTATTTGAATAAGGATTCCTAGGAATGTGTTTAAATAACTTAATACCCTTAAGCCAAAACTATTTTAAGTTCTTTATGTTGTTGTTTTTTAGGCTCTCCGCATGGTAGGTTGTGTGGGATCTGTGGAGCAGTGGTGGGGCCTGTATACACATCTATCAAGGCCCTATGAGCTTCCTCCACTCTCTGATTTGCATTTGTTTAAACTTGGCATTAAACCAATGTGGGAAGATCCAGCTAATGTTAATGGTGGAAAATGGGTAAGTAACAATACATACTATATCTTAATCTAAAATTTTACTTTAATAACAGTATCATCTTTCTATTCTGCTGTCTAATATCAAGAAGTTGTGTTTCTATATCTTATTTAAAAATGCCAGTCTCAAATTAACTGTCTGTGACTTAAAGAATCACAAATTATTACTTATTCATGTATTATAAAACGTTTTTAACATTCTAGGTTGTGCGACTGCGTAAATCGCAAACAGAGCAAGCATGGGAGGACCTGTGCATGGCGATGCTTGGCGAACAGTTCATGGTTGGGCCTGAATTGTGTGGTGTTGTGCTGTCTGTTCGTTTTCAGGTTAGTTATATACATATAAGCTCTTCAAAGACAATAATATTAGAGACAAATTTAGCATTGATATGCACAAAGTCATCTGGGCTTATTCTTTTATCCTGATGTGATATAATTACACATTGATTTCATTTAATTAAAAACTATTAATTCTTAAAATGTTTTATTTTCAGGAAGACCACTTAGCCGTGTGGCACCGGACGGCGGCGGACACGACAGCAGCAGGTCGGGTGCGAGATGCTTTGCGCAGGATACTGCAACTACCCACTACTATGCCCATCGAGTACAAGGTGCATAGTGACTGCCTTCGCGCTTCCACCTCAAGGGCCCCAGACCCACCAGCTACTGATAATGGCGAACGTTCAACGTAACGTTGCTTCCATCTCACTCAATTTTACCGAATTTTGAAGTACCCTCTATAAATTTCATTCTATTCATTTTATTTTTTTTATTTAATGATTGTTTCCAATTTGCACCTGCAATACTTCTATTGTCTATAATTTCATGCAGTTCTGTATATTGAGGTATAATGTCAGTTGTGTTTTGCATTATGAGGGTAATTGAACCAAAGTGTAGGTAAATTGAATTTGTTGTACTTCATGAAGCACAAATAATTTTATGAGTACACTCAAAATCTGAAATAATAAAATTGAGTGAGTTTGCATACTCACAATGTTAGTGTACATAAAGTGTTCAGATAGTCGCAATTGTGAGATGTTGCCATAACCAGCCGACTTGTACAGTGAAAAGAACTGCTATACAGATAATAAATCATTTTTCATACTTTAAATGTCTTTTATGTTACTAAGCCTTAATAGAAAAATTTAAATACACATTAATTAATGTTAAGTTAACCAACTATCCATAACAGATTAAAAAGTATGTTGGTTCATCATTGGCATTTTGATATAAATAATGTAAATATGGATGGAATTTGTATATCTTTCAAAGACATCATATTAAAATGCGTACTAAACCAAAAACAATATTAATAAGAAACGGTTAATATTTCTGTATTGTAAAAAATATATTTCAATTCATGGCTTTAAAAGACTTACAGTATTTATATTAGTTGTGAAGATGTATATTAAAATCTCAACTGTCTAGAAAATATATTTTAATACATCAATTCTCAACAGACATGTTAAAAATAAAAAATACATGATAAATCGTTGAAGTCACATATAATGACTGCTTGAATACCTAAACTAGCCTAGAACTATAAACTTTCACAAATTACACTAACGTGTGGACACTTATCCTAATAACATACAAATAGAACTGAGCACATAATATACAGCTATATTATTATAAATTGTGACTGTACGTGTAGGCCTTCGATATATCCCATTATAGGTTGTAGATGCAAAATAGTAAGATGTCTAAAACATTAAATTAAAAAAATGCATATATTAATTATGTATACATGCAAAAATTTTCTATTTCAAATTAATAAATGTATGTACCAAACGTATGTTCGTTCTTTAAATTCATAGTAAAATATATTTGACATAAAAATTTATTATTGAGTTAAACAAGGTAGTTAAAAAAATAAGTAATTAATCATGATTTGATATGGTTTATAAAACATGTCTAAAACTTTCAGCTCACAAGCGTCAATTGTATGATTGATGAGACATATTTTACTTTGTACTGAGAGATACTGCATATAGACAGATCTTACTGTTTTGTATCTAAATTAAGGCCTATTATGATATAATTATGTATCCAAACATTAATTTGATATAACGTCCACAATCTATACTTAACTTACATATTTACATTTGGCAATTTTACTTAATCTATGTATGGTGATATGCATGGATAACCAAGTATGGTATTCCGTACTGATATTTCACAAAATATGCCTTGACAATCACTTATAATGTCTATACGAATGATTAAATCGAGATGTTTGTGTATCGCATATTCATAGCTTAGTTGACATGAAAAGTTTAATTTAAAAAGTCCAAGTTACAATTTAAAATTGCACAAAAACAATTCGTGATTAAATTGTGTAAAATTTACTTTAAATTAGAATTACCAAACTGTTTTGGCTTATTATTTTTCGCTTTCGCCTTTACGATGGTTAAATCTGTTGGATACTCAAAATTAACATCTTCATGAACAAAGTTAAAAATATGCGATCTTTTTCAGATAACAATAAACAGATTAAGCAAACAAATTCGAACAATATAACAAGTATATAATCTTCTTACACAACGTAAAGGCACAAATGCAAATACTAAAACATTTTTAAGACTAGGACCTATGGCAATGATTAAATTTAAAAGCCAAAAAACAGTCTTGATAAGGATTTCTTAAATTAGGCAAGACAAATTATTGTCGCGTATAATTTAACGTTTCAATTTATTAAAAAATTATAAACGGAAGTTTAAGGATACAAAATATATCTTTGACCCAGTTATAAGAGAATCGATTGATCAATACTTATTAAAAAGTGGATTTCTATTAATTAAATTTAGAGATTTTAAGAATAATATTTTTTTGCTTTAATCGGAAAACCGGTTGAAACACGAAAATATTACTTAATTTTTGCATTTTTCAGGTGCTATTAAAATCCTGTAAATTGTCCTACATGAATGAGTCAGTAGAATGCTTTTCTAAACCTACCATATTATTTGATGGCACTGCGCATTCTATTCTCTTATACGTTAACATACACATTCATAAACCACGCTGTAGAATGTTTTGCCTTTATCATTCCCAGATAATACATAGGCAAGAAAAACTAAATTATTTGATTTAAAAAAAATTACGAATAAGACCATTACCTACAAAAATAATTATGTATTTTCGTATTTTTGCAATTCATAGAAAAATTGCAAAAATGATATGAGATATGTCAAATTAAAAATACAACGGTATTGAAGTTGGCGGATTTTCGTACGTATTTACATTTTATTAGTACTAAAATTATTAACATAATTGTATTCAAATTAACTATAATGATTAAAAATGCAAAACGCAAAAATCATTTGTACAGAATAAAAAATACCTTTTTACTATACATGCATCAAAAATTATAATTACTTTGAAATAATGAGTAAAATAATACTTTTCTTTTGTTTACATGACACTGGAAGGATATAGATTTTTTTAAACAGATAACAAAGTATACAAACTTCTACCTCACGTTAACTTTATTGCTTATTATTTTTTAACACCCCAAAAAACAGCCAAATTACACTGTTTCAACTAAATTCATTTGTCTTTTTCTATCAAATTTTGTTTGCGTTGTAATGGATAAAAACGAAATAGTATATTTAAGACCATTTTAGAATTTTTAAATAAGCCATAAGCCTTCTTAGCAACTCATTATTATTGCGTCTTTCTTTGTGTTAAGACGTATTATAATTCAATGCGGTCACGGGGGGGTACCTCTGTATTATTCTATAGTCTATGATATTTAGTCCATAGTCAATTTACACTAGTCATATCTCTACGCATAGACATAACACCAAATATTGTGCTTAGAATGTTAAACTAAAGACGAAAGATAACGCGTTTAGTTGAATGTGATGCGCAAAACCAATTTCCGTTTCTATTTCGATCGTCTTTTGTTTTACATTCTCAACCCCATGGTCTCCACTAAGACCACATGGAAATTTACAAGAATGCCAATTAACGACATTTCATCGTTTATTTATACAAGTCTCATTAATACCAATATTATAATTCATATTTTCTACTTTGAGTACGAAATTTTCCTATAGCCACCTAGAAGATTCTTTATGATTGTAGCGTCACAAAACAACATATTTCAACGCAATGTGTCATTGTTTGTCAAACTAAAACAAAATATTTTAAGCTATTTATGTATCTTTGTCCTGTTTACTTTTGACCATAGACAGTAACTTGCAACTCGACACAGAACTAAAAAAAATGGGATGTTGTTTTCAGTGTTTCTTCACATGTTCGATTGCAATTTAAAGATTTCATATTCTAGTTCTTTCAATCGTATGGAACCTCTCAAAACTGTATCAATGGAAGGTCATCAAGCAGCGGTCAGCAGGGTTGGGGGTCATTCAACTCGTGAATGAGCAGTGGTGTAGTGTCAGGTGTTAGAGAGGGCTGATTCGTTGTTGGTCTCTGAGCGACGATGCGTTCCAGCACACATGACGCTGATAGACGTGCTTCGGCATCGTGGTCCCAGCACTCCTCCATTGTGTCACAAAGGACTGCCAGACCCTGGATTTTTAAATTTACATTAACCAAGTTGTTGCTGTTTAGAATTAATAAAAGAAATATTACCTTTGTATCATCTGTGCGTGAAAAAAACATCTGGACCGATTTTGATGAAATTTTGTTACTTTAGATTATATATTTCTTCTGTGCGTGTGTATGTGACTGAACTCCTCTCAAACGACTGGACCGATTTTGATGAAATTTTTTGTGTGTGTTCAAGGGGATCTGGGAATGGTTTAGATTCACAAATCAGCCCGGCAGATGGCACTGCAGTCGGTACTTTCATACTTTGCTTAATATCCTAATCGCTTTAAATATCATGCAGGACAACGTCTGTGGGGTCCACTAGTAGATATATAAAGATAGACAATTTGATGATTTTTGACGTGACAACGTCTTATAATTCGATGGAGCCGCGGCGTTCCATTTAAGACTTGAAGTGCAAGCGAGAGCGCGGAACGAGCGACAAAGAGGCACAATCGGCCTCCGCGTTCGACATCCTTATTGTATATAAGGTATAACACATCGTATTATATCGATTATATTGTAATCGATCAATTCAATTGTGATTTCCATTTACTTCTTCTCTATATCCATACAAAATATCTATCAAAAATTTAAATTAAAATGAAAAAATGCAACCATTCCATCAGTATTTTCTTATGACGTTGTCACGTTCAACTATCGTCAGTAAACCGACTTTACAGACAACCGATTTTTTTAAATTGAAATTAATTATTAATAAAGGTGTCCATTAAAACGGTCCAAATAGTTACAACTTATTTTTTTAAAAATCATTTGTATTCAAGACGTGTATAGTACGTCTGTCGGGTCCGTTAATATTTATTATATTTGAATTTTCGCAAGAACAAACTAGAACTATTTTAATAGTATTTAAACGTATATAAATCCGAAATCATTAGTCAGTTTTAACTCGACTATTCGACAGCTCTATCTCATACAGAAGTTATATTTTAACTATTGGTTTATATGATAGCCGTACAAAATTAAACTATTATAGTTATTTCCGAACAAGAAATCGTTTTAGCAATAACCTTACGACCTAGTTTTGATCTATTGTAGTCCAATCACTCGAGTTTCTATTTTAGCCAAAATATGTTGTACCACGATGTATTTAAATGAAACGCCATGGCTCTAAAACTATTTAATCACCTTCCCAGAAATTATACATCACGGCCGTGTAATGCTTTCAAGGGGAAGGTGACAAAATGGCATATTTTGCCTTTATAGTGTGGGAGAGTATTTAGCCGATAAGTTTTGCTAACAATTATAAATAACTATCCCTATTATTTTGAAATTGTCATAATTAATATGACATTTGCTAATTTTTATATGGCTGATATTGCGGTTTTTTTATTTAATTATCTGAATGTACCACTTTCTTTGCAAAAAAAAATAATAATGTTAAAGTCGAGATTCTAATCGTTTCCCAGTACCCTGAAGAACTGAAAACAAGTTTTGTTTAACACTTAATATACGGCTGACAACCAAGTTTGAATAATGAGATAGTAGTTCCAGCGTCTGTTTCATTTATATATAAATAATTTTGTCGCCAGGTTTTGAACTTGGAACTTTCGAGATATACGTCATGTGCGTATAACAGTGCCGAGAAAATTAATATTTTTTTATTAACTATGAGATATAATTAAATATGGAAGAAAAAAATATTAAGTTTCTACGAATTTAAAAAATTTACTTACCGGATGATCTCTCCACTGTGGCGGTATCTGTGGCCGCATTTTCCTTTGAACGACCGTCTCCTGCATTTCTTCTAGGCCGGGATGCGAACCCACTTCCTCTTCGAGGGGTAATCGGTATTGCGCTGTTGGGTCAACACCGGCTGCCTCACATCTAATACAAAAATATGTTTTTTTTTTAACTCTTTAAATTGTCAAAATTTAGAGATGCTTATATCATGTAAATATGTATGAAGTTAAATTACACAAAACACACAAAGACATAATAAAGTCCATACACAATTCGAAATTTCTATAATGGCAAGACACATCTGTATAGACAACCAAAGTTTATTTCGGTAATAATATGATTCGAAGATCGTTACTCATAAATACAAATAAAAAGGGTTTTGAAGCCACGTATAATATTTTATTATACGTGTGACTGAAACCCGACAATCGTAAACTGATATAATTTACACGATACATTGGTAGTGTTAGCCTAGATCCAGTATATTTATACTTTCTTGGTTTCGATAAATCTATTTACATTCCTATTTTAATAAATTATTTTGCTTTGATTACATAAGGAGGCTTCGGAATCTTTAACATACCTTGAAACAATTTCCCAGAGCACCAGCGCACACGCATACATATCGATTCTTAAGAAGGCGTCCTTCGTAAAGTTAATAGCTCCATCAAGCACTTCTGGCGCCATATAACGTCGTGTTCCAACTTGACCATGCGCGTCCCCACATCCGTGACCAGAAACGAATATGAGAGCCAGCCCAAAGTCAGCGATGCAAGCGCTTAAATCCGCTTTGAGCAGGACATTCTTGGATTTGAAGTCCCTGTGTGCTATAGCAGGCTTGCCGCCCCCCTCTTCATGTAAATGGGCAAGACCACGAGCTACACTGGCTGCCACTCGCCACGCTTCCGGCCATGTGAATGTGTGCGCTTTCAAGTAGTCGCATAGGGAACCCTGTTAGGTGAAATTTATGTTAAATAGGTCAGATAGCATAAGCAGTTTAATAATTTTGGTAATATTAATATTCTTTTAATAAATAAATTTAATATATAGAAGTGTAGGTGGATATCGCACATTATATTACATCTTTAAAGTGGTGTTAACATAGTAATAACATCTCATTGCATTAAGCAAACAATATTATAAGATAACATACATAAGTCTTGATTATCATAGAATTTTATTTAATTTTTTTAAAATTAAAATTTAACTATGTAATAATCATATATGGTATTTAAAAGCTCTCTTTAAAAAAAATCTCACAGTGAATAGAAATTAAATATAATATAGGACTTACTTTCTCATGATATTCAGTAACAAGCCAATATTCGGCTTGTAAGTTATCTCCAGTCCTATCAACACCAATGTAGTGTAAAATATCTTGATGATCCATTCGTGGCAACCTGTATATTTCTTGCTCGGCCACCCAGGATTGCTTGTCTTGTAACGGGAAGACTTTGACAGCAACATCACTCTGACCCAGCTTGGCACGCCACACTGCCCCGAATCTGCCTCGAGCTCTAACTTCACATAATGTCACCTGTCCTTGCAAACTGGTACCATCATTTTCCATTCCTGCCCCAGCTGACGGTGGTCGGGACAATGATGCCTCACCACTTGCCAACTCTGCAAATGAACCACCTTTGCGCTTTCTATATAAAAGATAGCATCCTACAAATACAGCAAACAAAATAAAGAGTGGTGTTAGTGTATATGCTAATACTCTCTTTGTATCATCATCAGGTGTTGGTACAGGCGAAGCTGGCACACGTTCATAAGGAATATCAGTTTGTGATGTCATACTAGCCTCTAAACCTGGGTAGGTGGCATTCTCATTACACATATCACCTTCGCAGCAACAATGAAGCAAAGGTAATTTCATGTTATGCAAACGGCAGTTGGAGGATCTGTCATTGCATGCAACAGTATCTAGGAAACATCCTTTAACTTTCACTGTGGCCGTGTTTGTTGTATTATCGAATTGCCATAGTGTAAAGCAATGATTGCTTTTATCTGCCTCTAAGGGTTGGCATTCTTCCTTGACTATCTTTGGGATACATGTATCATTCTTTGTTCTGTCACAAGGCTCTGGTAATGTGTTATTGTAGAATTCACAGAATCGTGTGGTGACACCTCCTTCTTTGGGGCGTGGGGGTAGGTTTTCATCAGCTGGTGGTGCAGCATGGATCCCTAAAATAAGTACAATATCACCTATCAAGTAATTATACAACAAAACAATTTTCTATACTGAAGGAGTCTTTTATTGCATAATTTAAAAACCAAAGATACAATATCAAGTTCTATCCAATTATACACTAACCAAAATAAACATTATAAAAGTGAGCACAACACAGACATTTTAACACATTAATCAAAGCCCACATTCAATTAAAAAAACAAGTAGAAATCCAGCAAATGCAGTTTCATCTCAAACACCGTCTACACAGTAAAATCTTTATGCATTATATTAGAAGTCCTAAAAGTAAAACGTACCTATAACAATCAAAGAAACACGAAATATAATTTTAGTGGCCATCATGACGTATGGAGCCGGAATCACCGCCAGACTGGTTGCGAGTTGCGACGAAGCAATGTTATTTTTGTACACGACCCCGACATCAAAAGTCTATTTAAGATTCCTTCTTTACACGGAATTCGTCAATCAAACAAAGCACATTCCACCCGCAAAAGCAAGATCACATCACTTCAGATGCCGGTAATGTATTAATGTAATAAGTACTTTTAAATCTGATATCACCACAATTAGTTAATTACTGTGATTCATTTTGTTTTTCAAAAATAATCTAGCAAACAACTCATGAATCAAATTGAAGCCACTTTTTGACATTTCGGAATTTGACCACAGACTTTGTATTGACTGATACACCACAGATGCATGTTGACAGTATATACCACAGAGTTAACAATACTCAATATCAATAAAAAAATTATAGGTAGGAAGAATTAATTTATCATACATAATTATATCATACCTACAGAAAGAAGCTGTCTAGTTTACAGGCACCCCAATCTCCTTTTTTTTGTAGAACAGGGGGCAAACGGCCGGGGGATCACCTGATGTTAAGTGATACCGCCGCCCATGAACACTCTCAATGCCAGAGGACTCGCGAGTACGTTGCCGGCCTTTTAAGAATTGGTACGCTCTTGAAGGACCCTAAGTCGAATTGGTTCGGTAATACTTCAGTGGGCAGCTGGTTCCACAAAGTGGTGGTGCGCGGCAAAAACTGCCTTGAAAAACGCTCAGTTGTGGAATTTCGTATTCTGCCTCGACGTCCAATGATGAAACTCAGCTGCAGGTAAATGCGGTAGAAAATGCAGAGTGACCCCACATATTTAGGCAACGCCAAAGGATCAAGCCGCTCTGAATGGGATTGATCGTCGATGATTCGAACCGCTCTTCGTTGAATACGGTCAAATGGAAGGAGCTGGTACTGGGGAGCCCCCGCCCAGAGGTGACAACAGTTCTCCATGTGGGGCCGAATTTGCGCTTTATAGAGTATGCCATCCCGTGTTTAATAAGTCATCTTCAGTCTTCTTAAAAGTTTACCTGACACTTTTTGATCCTTTTAAGTATCACAGTACTCTCTTTCCGCTTTTGAAATGCTGTTCTCCGTAACAGTCACTAAATCGCGACAAACATTATAACTGGTCTTGTGGCTATTGTGAGGTAAATGAGAGTTCCAATTAGATTTTTGTATGGAAGCGGACTGTTCTTCTTACAATTTTCGGTCTTACAAGCGTGGTGGATGTCTTTCTCTTTGCTTCCCATTTATCGGTGTCTCTATGACATCAGGAATTTCTTCATTTGATTCATATTTTTATACTCTATTAAAGTGTGATGATTTAAAATATCGTAAAAACTCCAGGAATAGTGGTCAAATTAAGGCAAGGATCTCGGGATGGAAGATAGTCAACTATAAACTTGTATTAACCTTTATTTTGGTACACTAAAACTTGAAACCGTGTAGGATGTCCGGGACTACAGACATTCCAACGTCAACGCAAAAAAAAACGACTTTTACATATTTATTGCAAATATCTTGTTTCTTATGGGTTTTATGCTATTTGTATTTATTACAAAAATTGTAGAAGATGAATTTATTTACAATTTTTTTTCTATTTTGAGCCATTTTCGAGATACAGGGCAGAGGGCGAGAAGTGCTTAACTATTTAGAGTATCATTCGATGTCAACCTCTTATCCCGATAAAAAACACGCCGTATAAACTATATAAATTATTGATAAATATATATTTCTTAATATATTATTAATATTATCTATTACGCTATAATTAATACATTTTTTATCAATGTTATTGTAATACGAGAGTATATTCAATAATTCAGTTTATATTTATATATCTAATAATCCTTAAGTGTAATTATAAAGTTATTACCCTGTAATAATTAATGTTTAATTCTAATCCTGTTTATACAAATTATTACGTAAGTAAATATAATAATAAGAACTGCAAGTTGTAATTTCAATTATCTTTGTACAAAAGTTTTTTTTTCCTTTTTTAAAGAGCGTAGAAATCGTGTCACAACCACTTATTGCGTGCAGAAACAGTATGTGTTTTTAGAAGGATATTTATCAAAACTTTTGAAAGAATATGTAACAAATTTTACCTTTTTTCCATTGCTAGCTTAAAGTTGTGTTTAAAGAAAACTTCTCTAAATAATGCGCGCGAGCCTTTATCTCGAAAATGATTCAAATAAAATGTTGAAACAAAATTTGTACATAATTTAATACTTTCTTATTATGTATTTAATATTAATTTTACATACTCGTATAGGCTTAGTTAATATATTATGTAAATAAATGCTATATTTTGGGATCTAATAACATTTAATAAAATATAACCTCCATTTTGTCAAGTCCCAAGAGAAAAATAAAGAGCAATTTCACTAATTGAGAACAACGCAGTACATAAACTAAATAATTAATTATTGATGTCACAGGCGCCACTACAATAAAACGAATGTTTCTAATTAATTAACAACGTCTGTTGTAATTACCTCCAGTTTATCAGATTTCATTGTCAAGTCTAAATAGGCTTTGATTGATATCTGTCATTGTTGTTTACAGATAGGAACATCCAGTGGTGTAACTATACCATCTGAGGCCCGTGATAAATTCTTTTATGAGTAAAAATCGTCACGTTGTCCTCAGTTTAATTTTAATAAACTTAGAGATTTTCAGCGTACTCAATTACACGTTGTACCTATGTCTCACTAATGGCCATAGGCCTCCTCTCTTATGCGAGAGGGAATGGTATTTAGTCCCCACGCTAGCTCAATGCGTATTGGAGACTTCATATTCATCCATAGAACATAATATCTCTTGGGCAGGGGCCCTCTTGGGTCGGAGGCCCGTTATATCTGTGGCACCAGAGGTTTTTGGGTGTGTGCTAACTTGTGACGCACCGAGTGCCGCAGGTACAAGCGTGATAGTTCTTCTTCGATAATTAATACCGAAGGTCGTGACTCGTGCCTGTCATGAAAAGCGCTAACCGTTACGTCGACACCGCTCCATCCCCAGCTTCTTGATATTAGGGATGTTATGTTCATGCCCATAATTGTCTTAATTTGGGCAGACCAACGGGTAGGCGATCGACCCCGACACGACTTTTCGTGCCATCCTTGCTACCACTACCAGTTTGTCCAGTGCTTAAATGAAATATACTTCTGGGCCAGTTTTTTCGAATATACGAATATTCGTATTCGCCTACTACTATCACATCAGATTATTTTCGACTGGTGGGAATTTATAAAGAATAATGTCTGTTTGAAAAATGTTGTGTTTTTTGAACAAAAGTTTGTCAGCAGTTACATATATTGATAAAAAATATTTGTGTGTATTAGCCTTGTTGAATTATTCGAATTAGTTGCGTCACTAGTGCTAACGCGGGTTCGTAGCATCAGTATGCCGATGCCACCGCTACTCGGAAAAACAGATCCAGGGTTCTACTTGCGGATATATTCAGTACCTAATAACCTTCACCTTCTTGCCTTAAAAATAATTTCTTTTGCTTTGAATTAAAGTTATTGGATCTTTCCTGACAAGAGATGTACGTAAGTATATGATCAACCTTCAAGTTAAACATTTCTTAAATATAAAGCATGTATTGGAAATTATTGTCAGAACGCCCGCTGATATCAGGAGAAATGTGTATGTAACTGTTATATATTCTATTATAAATGTCAAGTAGCTTTAGTCCTAAACCAAATAAAAACAATCGGTAGTGAATTGCTCTTTTGTAATAAATTATAATTACTATTACTTGAGTATTTTGTTATTAATAAGATTAATATAAGAGCAGTTTTGGCTTTGCCTTGAGCGTATGCGTACCCTGAAGAATTGAATTTTCTTTCTATGTCCGATATTAACACGTGCTCGCACGTGAAGGACAACATCGTGAGGAAACCGGCATGCCTTAGATTCAAAATATTGACGGTGTGGGTCTCAGAAGAAGATCAATAAAGAAAAGTAAGATCAAAAAATAGATACGGAAATCTTAAATTAAGACTTTAATATTGTCATTCTACCTTTAATAATGGTATATAGAAATTGGAATTCAGACGGAAAATACGCCAGCCGTAGACATGTAATAAGTATAATAGTTAGGTTAGGTCAGGTAGAGCAGTGTCTGTACTGTACGAAAATTACTAAATATATTATTTAATATAGCAAACTAACCTTCTTGGCTTTGGTATGGGATGCTACTTGTAATGGACACGTTAGCCCTGTCTCCCCTCCCTCGGAAAAGCAGAAAAGTGCGGCCGTAGAGCAGGCGGAAAATAATAACGGCTGAAATATAAGAGTCTTTCTTCCAACTTTGATTTTGTTCCCTAAAGAGTAGAGACTCTTGGGCCGTGGGGTTCAAGTGCACAGGCGCTATTTAAAGATTTAACTTGGTGCCTGATAGGTACCTACCGGTGACCCCAAAGCTGGTGCTTTCCTCGCTCAACGAATAAGTATCACAATACAGTGAGGAAATGCTGCGTTAAAGGTACACGCCGCAGGGATTAAATTTTTTAATTCATTATTATTATTATTACTGTTTGTTATTAATAGATTTTATGTAGGTTAAGAACATTGTGAATCCTTTATATTTGTGTGTTGCAAATTGATATAATATTAGCTTTTTGATTGATTTTGTTAACAGTAAAGATCTAAGCAAAATCTGTTGTTAAAAAATGTTGCTATATTCCTATGAAAGATGTATGAATGGCGTACATAAATCATACGACTAACAAATACAATTATAACCAAATTCACTAATCTGTTTTTCTTAATCAAAATTACCCGTATCCTGGAACCTTGAATTGTTACGGCAAGCATTGAGTATATTTTTTTAGAACCCAAAAGTTGTAATTAAATATTGATTGTTTCCCTGTAGATCGATCTTGGATATTACGAAATCTGAGCTAAGCCTTGAACTATACTCCGATTTTAATTCCATAGAATTCTGACATTTCATAGTAGCAACACTACTAAAAAAGTTCTCCATCGAAAAAGGAACAAATTTGAGCCATTTGAGGGCAATAAAAAAGAAATGCTACGTATTTTTATGTTTTACCTACAAAAAGGTAAATCTAAATATTTACTTACTCAAGTGACCGAATACAAAAATAACGAATATTTCGAAATCACGAATACTATATCGAATTAACTTTAATTACTTTATTTTATTGTTTAGCTGGCATCACTACCAACTAATTCCAGGTTTAGTAAACCTTTTTAATAAAATAAAATGTTATCTTAACTTGTGCGTTTTTTACTGTTTGTGATGAAAAGGGACGTAATTATCACTCGCCGTTATACCACTTTTAATATGGAGCTCAGAACTTAATAAAATGGATACATTCACTAAGAAATAAAATGTACAGATTACAGATGTTCAGACGTATTGAAATTGAAAAATGTGCCCGGCCAAAAAGGTTTGCTATCTCTGACATTCTACGGAATTTAAAATCGGAGTATAGGAATAGATAAGTTTGGGTTGGAGGTATTTTGTCGAACTATTTACGAGAACCTGCTTTAACCCCTACCATTTTATTTCACAAATGCAAAATGAAATTACGATTCAGGCCGATTTATCCTATATAAATAATATACTAGAATACGAAAAGGAATGGAACGGATATAAGCAGTTAACAAGTAGGATGTACAAGGCAACCGTGGCTGATAAAAAAATAATTAAACCTAATCCTAGTACACAAGAACTGAGTGTCTTACTCACACTAAGTAGTGTTATTACACACTTTCTTATGTTTAATATAAGTCTTAAGTTAGGCTAGATTTTTTTTTAAACCTAATCCGAGCAAAGCCAGTCACTTTCCGTTCTATGCGCACATTACACCAATACCGATGATGACACGATTTAGTTGGCATTAATTTTGGTACTAGACGTCACCTAATGAAAGCAAAATTTTGAACTTGTTCGTGATCTACCTTTTAGCTAAGTGGCATGAAAATACTATTAAAATACTCCCGACAGAATATCCCAAGTGAACGAAGAACTTATTCGAGACACGGGGATGATCAACCATGCGCCGCCACCATTGTGGAAAACCTTCTGGGTGAATCTACTTTGTTCCGGAAAATCTGTAAATGCATTTCTACCTTAATTATAAAAATTATATATAAAGTATACAAATAACAAATATAAACACAACCTAGGTCAATAATGATACAGTGACCGTCATTATTCTAATAACCATAATTATTTATACTTAATAATGTATATAGATTTTTTAAATTAGATAATAATTGTAACCATGGAATTGTATGCAATTTTCTAGTTTTTTCCGTGTTGTGTACCTACTCTAAAAGTGACTTTTCGCCATTTCTGTCCTTGTTTGTTTGTAAGCTTAAGCTTGGCTTTATTGCACCGGGTTTAAAATTCTGTAAAAAAAATGTTTCAGCTTACGGAAGCATAAATCATCAAAATGCAGACGGAAATTACTTACGGTTTTATAGAAATATATCTTAAATTTATCCCCTGTTTACTTTGAATTCGTGTTAATGATATTGGCTATGGCGTAGTATTCAATGTAATGTATAGTCTTTATAATGTCAAATATTATCTGGAAGGTGACCTTTAGGCAAACAAATGTTATAATTATTATTATGGTTATGCTTTGACAGCCATAATACTACGACAATTCGCCTAAAGCAGTTTAATATAACAGGGGGCAAATATATTACCGATGTAGACGGGGCGTATCTCGCGAGACGCATAACGCGTCATTCGTGAACTAGTTTACTGTAATTAATATATTGTATTAAAAAATAAATCAATGGCGCTACAACCACTATAGGTCTTGGCCTCAGATTTTTGAATCTGTTTCATGATCTTTTTTAAATCTAATAGGCAAGTAGGTGGTCAGCCTCCAGTGCCTGACACACTCCGTCGACTTTTTGGGTCTAAGACATGTGGGTTTCCTCACGATGTTTTCCTTCACCGTTCGAGCAAATGTTAAATGCGCACATAGTACGAAAGTCCATTGGTGCACAGCCGTGGATCGAACCTACGACCTTAGGTATGAGAGTCGCACGCTGAAGCCACTAGGCAACAATATTTGTATTACTCATATTAAAAATGTAAGAGATAGTAAAAGTCCCTGGACACAATGGCAGGGGAGTAGAGTACTATTATAATAAAAAATAAAATAAAAACAGGGGGCAAACGGGTAAGAGGCTCATCTGGTGTTAAGTGATGCCGCTCATAGACACTCCCAATGCTAGAAGGCTCGCAACTACGTTCCCGGTAATTAGAATCGGTACGCTCTTTTCTTGAAGGAGCCTAGGTCGAATTGGTTCCGAAATACTTCAGTGGGCTGCTGGTTCCACAAGTGCGCAGCAAAAACTGCCTTAAAAACACTCAGTTGTTTAACAACGGACGTCGAGGTGATACGGGTTCTGCCAGCGTCTTTGGCTGTGAAATTCGAGCTCTGATGTTTTCATAACAACAAATCCTTTGACGCCTATAAATAGAGTACATAAAAGTATAATAAATATGATTTAGAAGAATTATAAGCGACATCAGTCACATTACATATTATACAGTTACCCAGGAATATGTTAGATTATTATCTCAAAAATTCCTTAACAAATTGGAATATAATTGAAATAAATATTTCAGCTTTTTCGAATTAAAATCATATTTAACGTTAAATGTGACTTTGGACATTTACAGCGGCCTATCCTCGGAAATGAACAGTCATCAGGTGAATAATTTTTTCAGATAGCGATATCAACGAAAAAGTTAATTGATAAGTTGTCTTTCAGTTCAGTCGTCGCATGGCGCTCCTAGAAGCATGGCGTTTAGCGTACTTTATGGTGGTGAAAATTATGATATAAACAAATTTTTACGCGACCACCCCGGTGGTGTGAATACGTTGGATAAGTTTAAAGGAAAGCCCATAGGGAGTGTGATGAAGGCATACGGCCACAGCACGAGTGCGTATCACATGTTAAATGATTTTAAAATAGATAAAAACATAACTGGGAGTGTCAGTGAAAACGGTAGGATTATTACACAGGATGAAAGCGCGCGAGGTTCCGAGGAAATTAAGTTCTTGGAGGAATTGGAGGTAAAGCATTTTTTTGTTGAAAAAATAAGGATATTTATCTGTTAATACATCAATTAGGCACTATCTGTTGCTTGTCTTTAATAATACGTTGTGAACATAGCCCTGCCTGGCATGGAGAGATAGAAAAATTAATTAATTTTGTATAGTCTGGGTTATACATGTAGGTGTTACATTACTTTAAATACGAATATATTAGTATGTAACACGGTTTTTTATTGTTATTTTTCTTTCAATTTATATTTAAAAATAATATCCCTTGGCTTTTGAAAATAAAAATATATAAAATGTGCTTACATGTATTTTACGATAACTTTAACTATATAATTGTGTGTGCCATAAATAATGTTCTTAGTTCTCTAATAATTAACAGCGATAATGACTTTTATATGTACGAGTAACCTTATAATATCTTTATTGTTATTTTTATGTGAATATAAAATATGTTACTTGTTGTTTTGTCATAGTTTGTTACGGTGCAAAACTCACGTACTTATAAGTTATTACAAAACAATGCTCATGATGCGGTGGGGAGCCACCAGCACATTCCCACTTCTTATCGAGCAGAAAAGCATAGAGAGTCCCGTTAATATGTATTAACGTTTGGGTACCGTAGCTAAACTGGAGGAACCGAAGATGACATCACTTTGAGAATCACAAAAGCCAGAACTGTGTTGCAATATGGTTGAAAGTTACAAAGAGCAACAACTCCAGGTCTTCGTGGAGCGCTGCCTTCGTCAAATCCTCGGCATATTATGGCCAGAGAGAACCTCCAATCAGTTATGGGAGTTATACGCCGCAAGTGAAAATGGGTGGGGCACACGCTCTGCTTCCAATTCACATTGCCAAGCAAGCTGTCGACTGGGATCCTCTAGGTCAAAGGAAACGTGGACGCCCAAAACAGACCTGGCAACGAAGCATCATTGCAGAGGTGAAGGAAGCTGAAGAAGGAAGGAATGGCGTGGAGTAAAGTTAAAAGAGTTGCCCAAAACCGATCTGGTTTACGTCTATTTTAGTTTATGCTGGATGCCCTCTTCCCCTGATACCTGGGGGATCCTATGGAGGATAAACAAAATTCATAAAACATACTCGCTTGAATGTGTTTTTGATACTTGTGATATTTATAAGTAACTACAGGAACACGTTTACACGATAATGCAAGCATAAATATGTAGTATAATATGTGTTTAAATATTTAAATAGAAAATATTCCGACGAAGAACCTCTTTTTTGACAATATTAAGTTTCGTGATAAACAAAATATATTTTTAACTAACGGACCCGACAGACGTTGTCCTGATTACACATCTTCTCAAAAAAACAAACAAAAAAAATTGTATATAATCTGAACTATTCTCGAATCCACTTAAACTCATCAAAATCGGTCCACCCATTTATTGCATTACGCCTTTTTCGGGAACGATTTGATAGTCTTGGTCGTGGCATTGTTAATGATAAAATCGGCACGCTAATAGAAACTCGAAATAAACATTAACTTCAAAACTTCTAATTGTCAAATTTTCAATCATACTTAACCATAGATTATGTTAAGCTGTCAGTTGTCTTTTGTTATTCCGTGTCAGTTGCGTTTTGTTACACAATTTTTAACAAACTGATGTTTACACTGATAATTTTTTGTTTTTCTGATTGTTACGTTTTGTTATACCACGTTTTATGTCACGTCCCCGGTCCCACGGTAATCCCCCAATCCCAAAAGTTCTGAAAGGTTCTAAGCTACCTCCCCACCAATTTTCAGCCAACTCAGTGTAATTAATACGACTTTCTTTTATAAATATAGATAACTTATAAGCTATAATAGTAGTTTCGAATATACAATAAATAACAGTAGATTTAATTTTGCCTTTAATGATTATAAGTCCTTGACCTGATACGTTTACTACAAATCAATTTTACTCATAATATACCTAATAAAACATTCATTTCAGACGTAGGACATTAAACAGCCGTAAAGAAAGCTGTCTAATGATTAAACAAGCTGTCACAAACAGAGATTTCGTTTGTGTGGCTGTGTACTTTAATTTTTATTTGTGCGTACACTTGTTCGTTCAGAAAAAGACATTGTCAAACATTAGGGTGATATTCAGAAACGAAACTTAGCGATAACTTCCCAAGTATGTAAATCCAATACATTTATTAACGCAACGAAGTAATAATTTATTGCACTCTCATGGTCTTAGGTACTGGATTTGCCTAAAGAACATATAAACAAGGACATAGACGAAATGTATATGCCCCATTTCCTTGAGGGGAAATTAAAATACTACCGCAAAAAGTTATGAGCCCTGTGTAAGGTCCGACCGATATGGTCGCCAAACTCCAAAAAAGTACATTGTTTCTTTCCATTTTTCGTCATCGTTTCTTGAAGTAGGGAGAATGGAAAAAAAATATATGGTGGAGTTGAGTAGTTTATGTATCCATTTTGAAATATCGATACACGATTTAAAAAACCTTGCTTCATTGAAAAAATATCCAATCATAGCCAATTTTTGACACTTTGAATTCATTTTATGACGAAAATGTATATAGAACATGATTTTGAAATTTACACGATATATTTTATTGCAAGCCAAGTAATCCATTTCAGAGAAAAAAATTATAAAATTACATTGATTTAATGTTTTACATAATTAATTGTTATTACGGGCCGGCGCGCCTCAGTGCTCCAGCTCTCCAATGCGCCCCGCAGTCCACCTCGAGACACTGACACAGCAATTCGTGCTGGGATAGGGCCTTAATAAACTTCCTTCCCTGACTGGTGTAATGGTTGTAGTTCCTTATAACTTTCATGTAAACCAAAAACTTAGCGTTGTATATGTTAAAAAGAGTGGCGGAGAATATCTTACCAGTCCTTCTCACTTTAAGCCCTCCATTAGAAAACTGGTACGTTAGTTCGGAACTATCATTTTGTTTTAAATAATGACGTTTATAAATCTATATACTTATATAAATGTATTTTGATTTGACTCCTAATTGGCGTATAAATGTTTATTTCTATCAGAGATTATTCAATACGTTGTAATTGCTTGAAGTGTTAACTGTTTACACCATACTCTAAACACCAATATACCCTGTAACTAAGTAGTGATTCCATGAATTATAACGTCACCAAACGAAACCCAATTTCGTTGTAGTTTATTATGTAACACGAAATTATACTCTACGAATACTCAGTACTGAATGTGGAATCGTATTCCATGTTAATGGTACTGGGTAAAATTGTGGAACAGTTTTCAATTGACGCCATGACAGTTAAGTTTGGAAATATTTAAATATTGATGAAAAAATATTTTTACATTTTTATTTTATTTAGGTCGTATGCCAAAATGCTCCTATATTCTTGAAATACCTAGGTTATAAATAATTTACAAACGCGTAGGTTGTAGGCTCATTATTTCTTAGCATACCGGTAAAATTATGTATTTTATTAAAAAAAACCGGCTCACACAATACTGCTGTGAACTGAATTTTGAAAATAATGTAATAAATTCACGTTTATATATGTTAACGAAGTTTATGTGTTGTAATAGTATTTGGTTTACGCGATTTCTTCACTTTTAAATTATGTCTCTCGCTAATCACGAATACTGGGAGTTATTTGAATAATGAAATAAATTCCCGTTTATAGTTAATATTTTAAAGTGCAGAGAATCTTTTCATCACAGCGTAAACACAAGTCAACAGAGACAATAAATTGTGTACTTAGTTCAAAGTAGTTTACTTCAAGGCCATATCCCAGCACGAATTGCTAGGCTGGAGCACTGAGTCGCTCTGGCCCGTAATAACAATAATAGTTATGTAAAACATTTAATAATGTAATTTAATCAATTTTTTTTCTAAACTGGATTACTTGACTTGCGATAAAATATATCGTGTTAATTTAAAAAAAATGTTCTATTTACTTTTTCGTCATAAAATGAATACAAAGTGTCAAAAATTGGCTGTGTTTGGATTTTTTTTCTATCGAACGAAGTTATTTAAATCGTGTATAGATCTTTCAAAATGGATACATAAACTACTCAACACCACCATATATTTTTTCCATTCGCCCTACTTCAAGAAACGATGACGAAAAATGGAAAGAAACAATGTACTTTTTTTGGAGTTTGGCGACCGGATAGGTCCTTACATACCTGTCAAAATTATTTACCTATTATTCATGTCTCCTTCGGGAATGCGTGGAATTTCACAGAAACTACTGGATCTAATGAAGCTTGACCTGTTCCCGTATTTGATCACTTCAATATTTAGTTTCCGAAAAAATTCAATATCCTCATACTCAAATATTTTCCATTTATAATTCACATACATACAGGTATAACTCTTTTTTATAAAATTGGTTTAACATATTATCTGTAAGCGGCTAGACTAGGTCGCTACCTAGCTATAAAAATAATGAATAGGTTTTGCAATACCTTATTATTAATATAATTGCTATATATAATATGTGCTACATAAAAAAAATCTTTGTTTTCCTCAGATTTCTGTATGTGCATTTTGATATATTTTTAAAGTAGATTAGGTTGATTTTGTGCCTGGCGTATGCCGGAATATAAACGATGTTTTTCTTCACAGTCCGATTAAATTTGTGCACAGCCAGATTCGAACGGACGACCTCTGAGTTTATGTTGCTACTAGTAATTATATTGAAATACAAGTATGTAAAAGAAATATTATAATATGATAATTACTTGAGTCTAGGCCATTAGCATGGAAACATTAATTTACGAGTGAGTTAATGGCAGACAAGGCATTGAATTTATAGTCATTGATTTTTAATCACAGTTCGAACATTCTGGTAAACGTCCGCGTGCTACGAACAGGTGTGGTCAAATCGTAATTAGTAAGAGATACTGATTACTGACTAACATGAAAATCGTCGGTGACATGAATGATTTGGTAATAATGTATTACTTTGCTTTATTGCTCCAATGACATTAACAAGGATATTTGTTGTAAATGTCATTAATGTCACTGTAGCAAGAACCGTTGTATTCGTAGCAAAGCATATCCAGTCACGATGACAGAAGCCTTGTGAACGTGTTGTCGGCCTTTTTTTACAGATACGCTAACATACGTACAGAAATCTGAGGCCCAGACCTAAAGCCACTAATTTATTTATTTTGTTTTTTATTATAAGTAGGTACATAGACTAATTTTATTGTATTATTTTTATGACCGATACTACAGAACCTGACGAAGTTTTCTCGTTAGTCAGAACGGCCTCGAAATCGATAAACGAATGCTGATAAAGTATCACAACTCTTATCACTTTTATCAGTTATGACCTAAAAAAATTCAATGTATTAAGTATGTAAATACTTTAATCCTTTATATTGAATTCAACAGTCATTAATATATATACTGTTTCATGATACATATTTTGTAAATCTAATAGGGACGTAGATGTCCGCCTCCTGTGCCTGACACACGCCGTCCACTTCTTCGGTCTAAGGCCAGCCGGTTTCCTTACGATGTTTCCATCAACGTTCATGCGAATGTTAAATGTCTGGACTGTTCTGTCTATGTGCAGATAGAAAGTCCATTGGTGCACAGCCGGGGATCGAACCTCAGGGACGATAGTAGCACACTGAAGCCACTAGGCCAACAATGCTCTTCATGCACATTAACACAAAACAGGAGAAAAAAAAATAAAAAAAAATGAAGACAAAGGATCTAAATGGGCGGTCTTCCTGCCAAAAGCAGGTTTCCAGGTTATTCACTTGTTTCTGGAATTAAAACCTTTTATGATTTTAAATATTGTTTTTTTGTAAACAGCCTTTTTGTTAAGTTACTTCCCTCAGATTAACCTAGTTGTTAAATGTTTTTGACAAAAAATATTCTTGAAATAATTTCAATGGCGATAACGTTTCTTTCCTAAAATGTTGATTTTAAATAAATTTTCAATCGTAAATCTAAAAATCACTTTGCTAAATTGTTCACCGCTCAGATCAGTGGTTTCGGAGATTATAATGCCCACGGAAAGATTAAAAAAAAACAGTTTTTGTTTTCGATTAAACTTATTTTATTCCTCGGGTTTTTTTTGGTCTGCGATAAATATATACAGTCAAAACCATTTACGACGACATCGTCTAAAACAACATACAGGTTATAGGCGGGGAGGGGTAAAATATACTGCCACAACGCAACGCCCGTGTGGCATAGCTCGAAGTAAATGCGGTGCGGCGCCGCACCGCACCGTTACCGCATCGTGTTGTCGCGCTCATATTGACCAAAATCAAAGGTCCCGGCTGAATTCTATTGTATTAGGTATAATAACAACGTCATCGGCTGTTACGACTATCGGTTTTACGACCAAATATGAGTAGTCCCTTCGATGTCGTTATAACGGATTTTGACTGTATTAACAATAAAATAAAACAAAACTAAACGTCAGCGTATACCACCACAAGTATATTTTATATCTGATAAAATTATTTATGGTGTGTAACAATGGTCTTGCTCTATAAAGCCTAAGTTATGACTGATATCGTTCATCGCCGTTCACAGCTGGACATTAGATTTCCAGTATCCGTTTCCTCGCGCTCTGCATCCGAAGCCTCAACTGACCCTATTGGGAGGAATATATCGTCGCTGTAGAATGATAACCTCGTATGTCCAGAGAACCAAACATTACAGGAAACGAAAAAATGTTTGATTTCGTCAATGTTCGTTAAAATATTATTATGTGTTTTTGTCCGTAGTTTTAAATGGTAAAAAGGACTTATTTATTAATAACATAAATAAGTTCTTACTTCATGATTATACCAGTTAAATGACATAAGAGTCTAAGAATAAAAAAATAAATGGTTTTAGTTTTATAGTATATGTTTAATTCAAATTATTATCAGTCTTATCAGTGTCATGATTACATTTTCCTGCAATACTATATTTCCCGAAATATCTTATCAACATCACGTATAAGGTAATAATGTTTCGTGTAACGGTTCATGTGAGTTATCTGACACTAAATTGATAAAGGATTACCTAATTTTTCGTAATATTTACAGCTGTGTTTTTAGCGTTTTTGCTGTAATGGCTGTTGGTTTTCCACGCATTGTGTGTTGTATTATTAACGTTTTTGCTGTAATGGCTGTTGGTTTTCCACGCATTGTGTGTTGTATTATTAACGTTTTTGCTGTAATGGCTGTTGCTTTTCCACGCATTGTGTGTTGTATTATTAACGTTTTTGCTGTAATGGCTGTTGCTTTTCCACGCATTGTGTGTTGTATTATTAACGTTTTTACTGTAATGGCTGTTGGTTTTCCACGCATTGTGTGTTGTATTATTAACGTTTTTACTGTAATGGCTGTTGCTTTTCCACGCATTGTGTGTTGTATTATTAACGTTTTTGCTGTAATGGCTGTTGCTTTTCCACGCATTGTGTGTTGTATTATTAACGTTTTTACTGTAATGGCTGTTGCTTTTCCACGCATTGTGTGTTGTATTATTAACGTTTTTGCTGTAATGGCTGTTGCTTTTCCACGCATTGTGTGTTGTATTATTAACGTTTTTACTGTAATGGCTGTTGCTTTTCCACGCATTGTGTGTTGTATTATTAACGTTTTTGCTGTAATGGCTGTTGGTTTTCCACGCATTGTGTGTTGTATTATTAACGTCAGTGTATTTGTTAAAGATATAGGTTTAATAAAATATCTATAAAGATAAAGATAATATATGCTTATCAGTAGCGGGCGCCTGCGGACGGCTCCGGCTTCGTACAGCCAACCGTGACTCGTAAACCTTGAATAATTGTACATGTACCTTTTTCATGAATCATTATAGATAATGTTGAAAACCACAATAAATCCTGGGCAGTAGCCGTTTCTGCGTTTATTGCAGACAGACAGGGTCGACTTAGGGTCCTTCAAGAAAGGAGCGTACCAATTCTTAAAAGGCTAGCAACGCACTCGCGAGCCCTCTGGCGTTGAGAGTGTCCAAGGGCGGCGGTATCACTTAACATCAGATGAGCCTCCTGCCCGTTTGCCCCCAGTTCTATAAAAAAAAAACAGACTTCTATTTCCAAACCAATTTGACTTAGAGTCCTTCAAGAAGAGCGTAACAATTTTTAAAAGGCCGGCAACACATTCGCGAGTCCTCTGGCATTGCAAGTATCCATAGGCGAGGGCTTTCTGTCCGTTTGCCCCCAGTAAAATAAAAAAGTATACATTTTTTTAATATAATATAATAGTTGGCATATGCTATCACATGATCAAGCTTACACCTTTCCTCTAGAAATTAATTATTAATTTATCAGCATTAAGGCAACGTTCGCAATTAACGTCGTTCGACCGTTTCTTATCGGATTACCACGAAAATTATTATCAGTTTTTCGGTCAATATATTGCAAATGACTCACAAAATGACGTAGCTATCTATTGGTAAAATAACTTTAAACAGTACATCCACTTAGAACTTCACACACATTACATGTAGTATTAGTATGGACATAGCTGGGTGCAACGGGAAATCATTTTTTAAGCGTTGCCCTCACCTACTAAATGCTAAAGATATCGATTTTTACTTATATTGCTGCTTCTTAATTATACAGATGTTGGTTCACACAAGTAAAGAACTTGTGAATGTTTAATATGTATGCACTTTGCCTAGAAACACAATCTACAAATCGGTGTTCCATATAACTTCTTATACAAATGACTTATACATTTCATATGTCTCACTGACCATGCTTCATCGAAGCCATGATGTACTCTACGAAGTTATTGATGCGGAGTCAATGAACTTCGTAGGGATTTAGCTTTGATCAAATTTGGTTTAAGCATTGTTAATAATGAAACGGAATGCGCATACTTGCTGGGAGAGTTCCGGACAATTATCACCTCTGCCGGAAACCTTTTTGCTGTGTATTCGACTCGCACAGTCCAGCGTCAAGAAGATCTTATTAGGTAACTCGCAGCTTAATAGTTTTCTCGACTCTTCGCCGGAGAAAGACCTATTTGTGAAACATATATTATACTATGATTTGAAAATTTACTTACTATAGATTTATGGATTGCAAAAGGTTTTCAAATGACAACGTCTAATAAATCGATGAACGCCGGCTACATGCACGAAAATTCATGACTCATTGTCCCGTTACGCACATTGTACGCTTGCGGCGTATCTATCTCTCTTCTACTCGATTGGCCTATGCGTCTTATGATTCACTCCTTCTTGGTATCCATACAAAATAGTAATAATTCAATAAAAAATATTCAATTTTATTCATAAAAGTATGCAATCATTTCATCAATGTTTTGTTATTACGTTGTCACGTTAAACTATCGCCCGTAAACCGACTTTACACATAAAAATTTTTGTTTTTATTTTATAAAATGGACCTAATTGTAAAATATTTTAAGTTGAAATTAGGCCAAACATAAACTATAAATAAATAAAGTAAAAGTACTCGACATAAGTAGTTAGTCCAGTTATGTAAATAATAGAACGTTAGCGATTAAGATGTGCTTTAGTTTTGGGTTGAGCAGTGTTGACCTAGGCTTCGGCGTGCGACTCTCATCACTTCGATCCCCGGCTTTGCACCAATGGACTTTATATCTATGTCCGCATTTAACATTCGCTCGCACGGTGAAGGAAAACATCGTGAGGAAACCGACATGTCTTAGACCCATAAAGTCGACGGCGTGTGTCAGGCTTGACGACTTAAAAATGATCACGAACCAGATTCAGAAATCTGAAGCCTAAAGAGGTTGTAGCGCCACTGATTTTTTTTTTAGTTTTGGGTTTATAAAACCAGTACTTATATAATTAAATCAGTAAACAAACGCTTATTTACACGCGATTAACTGATTAATAATTATCAGTGTGTTTAGTTAATTGAACTCATTGTTTCAGAGCAGACTGGATTGGTCGAAGCCCATCCTAAGCCAGCTTCACAAGATTTCTCCACACTATGACAAGTGGGTTAACAGTGCCGTGTATAAGCAGTGCAGGCTGTTCTCTTCCCCTCTTCTGGAGAGCCTGACGTACACACCCTGGTATCTAGTACCAGTCTTCTGGGTACCAATAATTATGTACCTTGTATTTACACAGTATACTGAACACGTTGTTTGGGAAGGTTAGTATTGAATATTGTATCGGTGATGTTAGATGTAGCTGTTGTACTAGTATTTTGTTAGGAATAATATATTTATGAGGTTGTTAGCATTTTTAAGAGACGTATTGCTCAAATCGTTTGCTATTTTGTACGAGGAAGGTAGCAGTCGTTGATAAATTATAATTGTTAGAACTTTTTAAATTGAATCATATCGTAAGTAATTTATCAAGCAAAGCGTAGAGCTGAATTACATCTTGATTGTTTAATTATTCAAGAGTACATGTCTAAGATTCTGTTGACTTTTAATTTGTTATATGATAAGCAAGGAACGATGAATTACTAATTTGCCAGAATATGGGAAATTGAATGCGTATGATAATACAAACACCGTCAATTGAATCATAGAGAAAATTCATCACACGGGAAAAACACAAATTACGCGGAAAATATTTATTTATTTATTCACACTTCGTTGAAATAAAAATAAAAGAAACACAATACATAAAAATTATAAGGGATGCAACGGGCGGCCTTATCGCTAATAAGCGATCTCTTCAAGGCAACCCTAGTAAGAGAAAAACTAAAAATAGAAACATGACGAGTGCAAGAAGTGTAGAACCAAATGTTATATAAAATAACAAGTGTCGAATAATAAATAATAAATAATAAATAATAAATAAAAATAATAAATAATAAATAATAAATAATAAATAATAAATAATAAATAATAAATAATAAATAATAAATAATAAATAATAAATAATAAATAATAAATAATAAATAATAAATAATAAATAATAAATAATAAATAATAAATAATAAATAATAAATAATAATAATAATAAATAATAAATAATAAATAATAAATAATAAATAATAAATAATAAATAATAAATAATAAATAATAAATAATAAATAATAAATAATAAATAATAAATAATAAATAATAAATAATAAATAATAAATAATAAATAATAAATAATAAATAATAAATAATAAATAATAAATAATAAATAATAAATAATAAATAATAAATAATAAATAATAAATAATAAATAATAAATAATAAATAATAAATAATAAATAATAAATAATAAATAATAAATAATAAATAATAAATAATAAATAATAAATAATAAATAATAAATAATAAATAATAAATAATAAATAATAAATAATAAATAATAAATAATAAATAATAAATAATAAATAATAAATAATAAATAATAAATAATAAATAATAAATAATAAATAATAAATAATAAATAATAAATAATAAATAATAAATAATAAATAATAAATAATAAATAATAAATAATAAATAATAAATAATAAATAATAAATAATAAATAATAAATAATAAATAATAAATAATAAATAATAAATAATAAATAATAAATAATAAATAATAAATAATAAATAATAAATAATAAATAATAAATAATAAATAATAAATAATAAATAATAAATAATAAATAATAAATAATAAATAATAAATAATAAATAAAGAAGTTTGACTTTAAAAAGCAACCGAAAAACATGACGATTACTACAAAATTTCTCCCATACGTCGATAAAGAAGTTTCACTTCAAAAAAATATAGAACCTTAATCGAAAATACATAATACAAAAAATATATTAATAACAAACTAAAAACTAAAAAGCTAATCTTACAGATTCATGAATAGCGAATAGTGATGCAATACAAAAGAAAAGTAAACACAAGAATTAGACAAGTCACGATTGATCAAGATAGGATAAGGTTATGAAATGTTTATACAGAAGAGTTTTAAAAGATGATAGAGAGGTAGCCAATCGTATCGCGTTGGGCAGCCACAACTTAATAGCAAAATACACTAATAAACACACATAGTGACTGATCACTTGACACAATATTAGTACTTTTATCTCTTAATTGTAATCCCTTGGAATCGCACTCGAAACTATATTAACTTGTTGCGTTTCGGTCCGCTTATATATATCCACCCTAGGAATAATCGGGATCAATATTCGAGAGCTGCTTTCCAGGCAGAACTGGCACTGAGTATCTGGTATTCTATCCTTATCGCACTATTGCTGAACGTACGTACTCTTTATATCTTCTCAAATCGCTCCGTCCTTGTCGTACGGCGTTCTAGAATGTTCAGTCTGGCCTCGAGAAGGTTCCGATTTACCCTCTATTTCGCGTATCCTCCGTTAGTGAGTGAAGCCAAGTCACGAGGGTTATTTTTAAATGAGATAATAATCTCATTCTTGAGAATCCCGATACCTCTCATATTTCTCATAGATAAACAACTCCGAGTAATGACACCTTGGACTACGAAGAATGAGACGATAAGTCATTAAACATGAAAATGGAGCCTTGTTAAATGGACTCCAGCGACCACAGGCATACCCCGCAGACGTAATTTTATATATTTTCTAATTAAAAGTGTCTTTTAATAAAGTTTTTTTAAATATCTCCGTAGTTGAGATACTTTGACTCTAGTCTCACATCTAGAAAAGTCACTCTGCCTTGCGATTCTGTAACTCACTTTTCGAACTCACACAGCGGTTTTCGCAGCGGCGGACGCGCTCAAATCAGTCGATCAGAGAAAACCGCTGTGTGAGTTCGAAAAGTGAGTTATAGAATCGCAAGGCTGAAAAGGGTTTATTAAAAAATGTACAACTTTACTACACTTGCTCTGAAAGTAACTTTGCGTAAATTCCAATTTTCTGGTATGTGATAGAACCTCTCTTGAAACGGTCATAAATCACATATCAGCTTTCTGAAAACGTCTCAACTGTAGAAAAATTGAGAAACAATTCATTCAACCTGTCTTCTTATACTTTAACCACCATCATCACGATCTTTTTACGCACCATAAGGCTGTATTCCATCCTTACCTGGTTGTCTTTCCGAGGGCTTGTACGAGTAGTTTCGCTTAATTATTTCTTGGTAAAGAAAGTAATGCTCCCTCTCTCCTAAAAATGTCACAGAGGGCAGATACAAATAAGACCAAATAAAAGTGACTTAATTACCTGAACTAGTTATAAAAAATATTAGCATTAATATTACTAGCTGACGGCAAACGTCGTTTTGCCATATATTATTTCTAGGAAAAAATTTTTTAGTTCAATAAAAATAGCTATCTACTATAATAAAAAATAAGGGTTGATCGTAGAGGGGTGACAGTTAGGGTTGTATGTATTTTTGTATGCTGTATCATAAAAAAATAAAAAGTTATGTCTAAAAAAATTAAAAAAATTAAAATTTAAACATTTAGAGGGATGAAAAATTGATGTTGTCCGATTCTCAGACTGAATGTGCATAAATAATTTCATAAGAATCGGTCGAGCCGTTTCGGAGGAGTATGGGAACGAACATTGTGACACGAGATTTTTATATATTAAATTATTTTTTTTCAGATGACACCCAAGACAAACTCACATCGAGCCAGTTCGCGTGGCACATGGCATTTGGATTTATTATATGGAGTTTCTTAGAATATTCTCTACATCGATGGGTCTTCCACTATGACCCTGGTTCTTCTAATACGCTGATACAACTGCATTTTCTTATACATGGAATGCATCATAAGGCAAGTTTAAATACCATCACATAAAACTCAGTAGGGTAACAGAACCCAAACCAAAATGATTACAACTGCTAACGACCCAATAATCCTTCTTTCAATTTTTTTTAAACAAATAAATGTTTGTTAAAATCGACATGAAGAAGCTTGATTAGAAGTCAAGAAAATAAATTTTAAAACAATAAAAACAAAATAAATACATCTACTTACCATCTAGATATATCGTGCTATATAAGTTAACATTTATAATAAAAAAATAAAAAATTTAGTTCTTATTTAGTATTATTTTGGTTTAAAAAGTAAAAAGAATATAATTATTTTCAACAGAATATAATTAAATAATGAAGTAGTATCTGGGGGACACTATATATATCCTTACCGACCGACCCCCTACAACTTCGTTGCAATTAGAAGCAGCATTGTATAAACACGGCATATTTCAAATTTCGTTCAATTCCAACCAGTAGTTTAAGAATTATACGTCAGTGTGTGTATAGTAAATTTTGTCATTCATTCACTGACTGACCGATTATCAAAACTCTAAGTGTGGCCATAGACGGACCGCATATTGCAGTCGATACCGACTGCTCTAAGCGGTCGCCGCACGGCGAACTGCAGTTTCCATACTAAATTGATATCCGCCATACACGGACCGCACAACCAGTTTCTGAGCGGTCAGAGCAGTCGCTCTGCGGTCGAATTCCGCCGTGCGGTCGACTGCTTAGAGCTGCCGGACCCACCATACACGGACGGCTACAAGCGGTTGCTGCCGACCGCGTGCCTCTCCCTCAAATAAATTAAAATACTAACTAATTCATCAAATGAAACCACGGACATTCTAAAGTAGTTGAAAAACATTTTAGAGTCTTCTCTCAGCTGGGGATACAAAGTATAAAATATTCCATGCTGTTTTCTTGTTTGTAGTATTGGACGCACCCACATACTACGGTGTCTTCTGCGCCTACGCTTGCGTAATAGTAGTACAAGAAGCAGTGTTTCTTCATCGAAATCCATCTTGTAAATGAACTCGCATCAGTATTATTTTGCGGTCGAACACAACTGCTCCAAGCAGTCGTAGTCGGCTGCATTATGCGGTCGTGTTGCAGTCGTGTACGACTTCAACGCGACCGCTCTAGAGCAGTCGGTCTCGACTGCAAGATGCGGTCCGTCTATGGCCCGCTTAAGACACTTCAAGCAGACGTAGAAGCTTCAAATTTCGAATACTATACGTGTATTAATCTTGCAATATTTATATAGTCACTATAAGATGATGTTAGGTTAGCTAATTACGTAATAACTTGAGAAAGTACCTTAAGTAGGGAGTAAATAATTAACCCACTTGATATTAAATGGATCTCAGAACTTTTTAAAGTTATACTTCTCAATTTTAACGATGCGCGCGCACACCGTCTCAAAAAACCGACACCCTGAAGTTAGCTATAGTCAACATTTATTTTTTTGTTATACAACTATTGATGCTGTATTTGCAAGTTATTTAGAATATTTGTATCATACTATAGCTGTCATAAGCCTCTTGTAACTCTCATGTCTACTGGACTCCAACCAATGGATGTGAATTAAATAGTAAATATCAAAATGTATAAGTTGCATGCTAAAATAAAAAATATCCATTTCTTTAATTATGTAGAAATAATTTAGTGATATTTAAAAAACTACTACTAGATAATGCGTTATAATAAAACATTCAATGTATTAAATACTTTATTTTTTTTATTTTTTATTACTATTGTTAGTGTTTTTTTCTACAAACGTAGAATACATTTTTTGAAAAGATTTTTATCTTGTTACTCCAAAGAAGTATAACTTCTAACGCGTGTACACTGTACATAAGTACACAAGTTTTTTTTTACGGTAGAAGAAATTCGTTGGGAGAGTTGCTTTTTAATATGTTTTAGATAGCATGGGATTTAATCATTATCATCATCTTAAGGTTCCATTCGATGGTTTACGACAAGTATTCCCACCGATTCCAGCACTAGTCATCACCTGTATCCTCTCAGTACCAGTCTGGTGTCTGTTTTCACATCCAGTCATAAAAATAACTGGCGGACTTATAGGTAAGCAAATGTTTGTAATGTTGTCTTTGTTTACGTGTACTATAATTTAGAAGTTAACGACCGTTAACGCGAATTTACTAGATTCATTCCTCCGCCTACTGAAAATCAATACAAAAGGAGTCATTAATGGTATAACCGTCCCACAGCGTATCCTTCTTAGGCAATTTAGTAGTTTAGGATCTCCGCCATTAAGTTGTGGAATAGGCTGCCCGACCATTGGTTCTTTTGCATACCATTGGTGTCACAACCTCACTACCCCTAATTTTACGATAGTTATAAGCTCATATTTGAAACCATTTAAGTCAGTTGTTATACAGCTCAGTGTTTTATTTAACATATATAGTATATACGTATATGAACATATCCATAAAACCATCACCGCCACATTAAACCGCCACCGAACTTAACTCTCGTTACAATATTTTATTTAAAGAACCGTTTTTGTGTTAACATTTTCCCGTGGAGAATCAGTATGATAAACAGTAAATATTTAAGCAAAAAAAAAGCCTAACATTGCATTTGTTTCTTGTTTATGCTTCGTCGAACTTCATTTATTTAGAATTTAGATAAACTCATAATACATTTTAAAACGGTGCAATAATATGCAATGACAGCGAACGGCTGATTAAAAAAAACATGGGAAAGTTTTCGGGACAAATAATAAGAGCTAATCGTGACAAATGGACAAGATTCACTATTGAATGGCAGCGCCAAGATGGGAAAAAAAGAGACAGATCAGGCGATGGAGGTATGATCTGAGACTAGACTTGGCCGGGATAGAAATAAGTTGAGAGACCTACAAGAGGCCAGAGTCCCATGACACTATAGACCAAATATTTCGTATTCATATTCAAAAGTATTAGATATAAAAATCGCTGTAATATACTTAACTAACAGTTAACACTTAATGAATAGCTTGGAGTGCTACGACTTAGTTACAGTGGGGCTACCATAAACCTCGATTTACTAAATCGATTAGTAACATATATGTTTCAATCAAGAAGTAACACAGAGTTATGTGAGTGAGTTACGCACGCATTTTAAAGTTTAATAGTATTATTATTTATCTGAAGGCGTCATAATAAAAAAATAGGTTATATATACAGTATTTACAATTTTCTTAACCTACATAGTAATAATAATTAAAAATAATAAATAGAAAATTTATATAGATTTAAATTTTTTTATTGTATTACATTATAAAAATAATTGTAGCGCATTAATTGCTTTTTATCGAGATTATTTTTTAAATATATATTTTTTTAGCTAATACCCCGACTATATTGTCATCGGAGGTATTAAGTAGCCTATGTTATACAGATTTAACTTTACATAATTTTTTAGGAAGATGTCTATTAAGCTTTTGTTTAACAATGTTTCTTTGAAGTTCGTCTTTGTTACGTTCATTCCCATAATGTTAAGTATTACACCAAAACCAGTTTATCGAGATTATAATTGGTTATGATTAAATTTATATTAAATATATATCAAATGTCGACGATGTAGGACCTCCATATCAGATCGATATCGGAATGGTGGAAGACGCGTTGCCCAATGGAACAGCTATAGTATTGGATCGGTTTCATTGATACTTTTTTATGTTATTTATTAATAGTATAAATTGAGCTAAATTTAATTCAAACAGAACATTAAACGTGCTGCGCTTATTATTAAAAACAATATTTTAAAAAGTATATTCAATGTTAGATTAGAATATCAAAAAGATTTTACATTAAACATAACATTTTTCGAAGTACGTTTTACAGATATTACCCCAGTTATTAACGAAATGCGTCACCAAATAAAAAATAAATCAGTGGCGCCACAACCTTTTTAGGTATGAGCCTCAGATTTCTGTATCTATTTCCTGATTTGTCAATCTAATAGGCAAGTAGGCCTAGCCTCCTGTGCCTGACACACGCCGTCTACTTTTTGAGTCTAAGGCAAGCCGGTTTCTCACAATGTTTTCCTTCACCGTTTGAGCGAATGCACACACAGAAAGTCCATTGGTGCACAGCTGGGATTCGAATTTACCACCTCACGGATCGCTTGCTGAAGCCACTAGGCTAACATTGCTCAAAAACTGCGTCACTAAGCCAAACTAAACTATCAAAAACCTGTTGACTTGGTTAAAACTTGTTTTGTTTTAGGATATCTAACATACGACATGATTCATTACTACGTGCACCACGGCTCACCTCGTGACGGATCTTATCTTTACGCAATGAAGAGATATCATTCAAATCATCACTTTATTAATCATGATAAAGGTAAGGTCTAAGGTAATATTTTTGGTTTACACAATCTGTACACGGTTAAATAAGTCATTGAATTTCGATTGCTCGAAACTTCTAAATAAATAATTTAATAAATTCGTGTGTATGGGATTAAATAGGTTTTAATTTAATGTTAGAAAATAAGGATTGAATACCATTTTTCAGCGACATATTACAAATATACATTACACATATACTTATTTCTTATGCTAGAATTATTTTTTATTTTTAATCAGGAGGATATTTAAATTATTATAAAATAAAATAAAATATGTTTATTATGGAACATAAGATACATGTATCACTTATTCCACGTCATTAAAATTTGAATTTGTAGGCATCCCTACTCATCGGCAAAGAAGACAGAGGGTGTAGGCCGAGAGAAAAAGCCGGCGTAAAAAACTCTCGGTACTCTTTTAAAATATAAATATAACTGTATAATTAGATTTCGTTGATCTTAGATTATGATATAAGCATAGAATATATATGGATTGGACTCTTCCCGGTCATTGGTAGATGTGATTTATATTTACGACATACACGCAAACATACACACGTACGCACAGACACACCAATATTTATTTATTAACTTAACTTTTTAAAAAAGATTTTTACAATTTTTCTCTCCATAAAAACCTTCCTCAGAGTTTAAGGAATAAATTAAAAAAATACTCGAATTGGCCTTAGATTAGGATTATGTTTTTGTTCGCTTCCTAAACAAATAAATAAAATTACCTAGAAATTATAGTCCGCGCTACTACTCATTGCCGACAGGTACCCTGGAACTAAATTTGTCGTTACAGTGAAATATTATTTTATTCGTTTTAAGGTAAAACATTAGAAGCAAATCTTGGAGACTAGTTCGCGAATTTCATATTAATTTATGTTACGTTGGGGTAAATTAGCCTTGCACCTAGCACTAGCAACATATTACTACGGCCGCGCTACTAGTAGACCACAAGCCCATGAACAAAAAATACCTGTGAAATGACCCAACGTGAATTGCGTTTAGAAGGCTGTTACTATATCTGAAAATAACTCTGAGCACTATGCCGTCATTTCTGAGTGGTACATGTGGGTACGTGAGTGAATGGAATTTCTCAGGTACAAGTGAGGAATTTCGACTAATTATTAATGCCGTCCAAAAATTATAGTTATTATTTGTGTAAATAAATATTTATCGAAATTTCAGGATTTACCGAGTTCTTACTGCTGCAAGATCAGAGAATAATGTACGGCAACTTGTTTTTTTACATAATGTTACTAAATATTACCGTTGTACCTACTAGCCGTTCATTATAAATGGTAACAAATAAAAATATTATGATAAAAAATATATGAAATTTTCGAAATTTAGATGCTTTTTCAAATATTCCTAGAGTAATATGGGGAGTAATTTTTTCAAAGATTATTGTTATTTTATATGTAACAAATATAAATAAACAAAAAAACCAGATGCCGTACATTTTACTCCAGATTATTCTTTACAGCTGATAAAAACTTCGACGACGTTTGAGGTGTCCCTTAAGGTCATTAATAACTGTACTTATCTGAGTATACTACCATAAGGCTGTAAAGTATATTTACAGCCTTATCGTACCAGCAGAGAGAGGTAAAGGAAAAATATTTTTAACAAAAATAAAAATATAATACAGGGCGTCCCAAAGTTATGGGACATGAAGGGAAAGTACCTTTAATATCGTAGATAGGGTATTTTACTGAAAGAAGACTTTGTGTTGTTTTTAAAAGTTAGTAATTCTGCATTCAAAGATTTTGTAAAAATTACTTGCCTCGTCTGGAAATCGAACCGGCTTAAATGTAAAAAAAAACACCCCTACTTTTATAATGCCAATCGAAAGAATGGCCAAACCCTAATAACTTTTCTAAGGAACGAGTCGTAGGGGATTTTTTTAGGCCGAATACGATAGACAATATTTTTAATTTGATTAAAAATATATATTCACGCAGTTCCTTTCTTTTAAAATACTATATTACTGAAGAAGAGTTATTAGTTTTTGGCCATTCTTTCGATTGGCATCATAAAAGTAGGGGTGTTTTTTTTTACATTTAAGTCGGACCGATTCCCAGACGAACAAGTAATTTTTAGAAAATCTTTGAATGCAGAATTACTAACTTTTTAAAATAACATAAAGTCTTCTTTTAGTAAAATACCCTATCTACGATATTTAAGGTACTTTCCCTTCATGTCCCATAACTTTGGGACGCCCTGTATTGGTAGGCGGTGGTATAATCTGCTATTTCACAGACTAGCGGACTATCGAAAGTGTACGGCATTTATCTTTTATTGAAGATTGTCTAAAGTATTAATAACCTGTGTTATTGCCGTACAGATAAAAGTCACCGGAAAATGACTTTTTTCGGAGGGAAGTAATTTACCCCATACACCTAAGTGTTCCACAAAAAATGTACGGCATGCTGGAAAATGTTACCTATTTGTGAAGTACTCTCAAGATCATTTAATTTTATGTTGTTCTATATCATCATCACCTATATGCTAATCAGAGATATGTTGCGACCCTTGGCGACGCTCCGCGGGAAATAAGTACGGCGTTTACGGGTAAAGTATCTGTATATGTGTCCAAAAGGAATTACACCAATGCCGTACAGTAATAAATGACCTATATTGCTTCTGCAACTATCGTCGAATTAAAAATTTGCACCGACTTCCGGCACCATCACTTTAGTACGGCACTAGGTTTTTCGACATTTATTTTTAATCATCTATACACTTATAACAAAGCCGTACATTCATAATAAGTTGAAATTCCTCACTTGTACCTGAGAAATTCCATTCACTCACGTACTCACATGTACCGCTCAGAAATGACGGCATAGTGCTCAGAGTTATTTTCAGATATAGTAACAGTCTTCTAAACGTAATTTACGTTGGGTCATTTCACAGGTATTTTTTGTTCATGGGCTTGCGGTATATAGCTAGCGCCGCGTCTATCGGCAATCAGTGGTGGCGCGGACTCTAACAACCAGTTTTTATGTCACACGTACAATGAATGGGAGTAATTTTATGTCAGTGGACTTTTGGCAGTTTTAGAACACTAATTAATAAACACTTTTTCTTTCAGCTTTCGGCATTAGCAGCAAAGTATGGGATCTTGCGTTTGACACATGTGTCCAAGTCAAGAAGTTAGGTTTTAGTTTGCGATGGTAAACTCCACCACCAAAAAAACACGTCGTATTGACAACCTTTAGTTCCTTTGAATCGTTAAAATGATATAAAACTTTTAGCACAAAGAAATCAAATTCTATATGCTTAAAATAAGCGAAATATGAACAATACTGTAACACGATAAATTCTATAAAAATATTTTCTACATAGAGTAAATTAAAAAAAAACACATTAATCATAAATTATAAACGTTACAATTCTCTTCTCAATTATTCTGCAGACATAGAGACCGTTCTACCAAGAGACTTGTCATCTATAGATTTGTTTAGCGTTTATTCTATGCTATAATATCTATTATGAGAAATCGTTATGCGGTGCCGAAGTCTATTTTTACATAAAGAAGATCCCAGCGACACATTAACAATATATTTTTTATTAATATATATAGGTATTTTCTTTTTCATAAAAATATATACTGCTCAATAAGATTTTTCTCCTTTCTATTGCTTAAACTAAAATTAGATTTAAATTAACTTGTACGCTATTTTTTACCTTGTTAATTACTACAATTAATAAAAAAATTCAATTTGTATTTTTTTTATTAAAAAAAAATTAAAATGTGCGTTGTAGATGAAAAACTAATTGGTGATAAAAAAGGTCCATCAAAGAAATATTCTTATATCGTTTGAATATTCGTCTTTAGTGACTTTCAGTAACGTGTGTGGCCTCCATGAGCCCTAATCACGGCTTGACAACGACGCGGCATGCTTCGTATGATCCTCCGAATATCTTCTTGTGGGATTCGCTCCCATTCTTCAATCAACGCTTCAGTGAGCTGCTGCAGTGTTTGAGGTGCAATCGGACGCTTCCGGATGCGCCTGTCAAGCAAGTCCCAAATGTGTTCAATTGGATTTAGGTCAGGGCTCATGGAAGGCCACTCCATTACACGGATTTCCTGCTGTCGTAAGTAATCTGACGTGATGGCTGCAGTATGCGGCCTGGCATTATCTTGCATTAAAAGAAAATCTGGGCCCATACCATATGCTGCGGGCCAAACATGATCTTCGAGCACATTTTCAATGTAAGTTTGAGCACACAAGCGCCTGGGAACAACGACGAGATCTGTGCGCTCGTCCAAACTAACTCCGCCCCAAACCATCACAGAGCCACATCCAAATTTGTCATATTCCTGGACTGCTGCTGCACTGTATCGCTCGCCTGCGCGTCTGTAAACACGGAGACGACCATCGCAACGTGTTAGACGGAATCGTGATTCTTCAGTAAAAAGCACTGGCCTCCAATGTCGAAGTTGCCAATTAGCGTGATTTTGCGCGAACTGTCGGCGAGCTTGTCTATGTTGAATTGTTAGACGCACAGCCCGAACTGGTCGGCGTGATCTCAAATTGGCTTCCAACAACCTATTTCTTACCGTCTGGTCGGAAATTTCTACACCAGTAGCCGTCCTTAGTGTATTGTAGATCTCTTGCAGTTGTGGTGCGGTTACGTAAAGCACAGTTGACGATGTAGCGATCTTGCAAACGTGTAGTTTTTCTCTTTCGACCTTGACCACGCCTTCGTGAGTATTCTCCCGTCTCACGGTATCGCTTCCAAAGTCTGTAGATAACAGAAGGGGCTACTCCTAGATCATTTCCTACATAACGCATAGTTCGACCCTCTTCAAGCAAAGCGATAGCTCGGGAGACATGCAATTCAGTCAGATCTGGCATTATGACCTAAACTCACTCGCTTCAATGAATAACAATACTCAAAAGGCTCACTTCAATTTCTAATAATACTCAAAAGATTGAAAAAAACTACTTAATATGTGTTTTCTGTGATTAGAAAGTAATGAAAATTCAAAGACGTCACTTTGTTTTTCGTCTACAATGCACATTTTAATTTTTTTTTAATAAAAAAAATACAAATTGTTTTTTTTATTAATTGTAGTAATTAACAAATTAACAAGGTAAAAAATAGCGTACAAGTTAATTTAAATCTAATTTTAGTTTAAGCAATAGAAAGGAGAAAAATCTTGTTCCGCTAATTGTTTTGAGCAGTCTATAATACTGTTTTTAATTCTGTCCCTTTCTGTAAAAAAAAGATGATGATGATGAAAGATTTTGCTTGAACAATGTGTTTTTTTAATGATTAACGTGAAATATATTTCTGTTCGTTTAAAAATATTTACACATTTTTTAATTTAGGAAAACCTAATGGATAATTGGAGGCGTGGGGTTTTTAATAGATGTGGTGAACAATGTAAATTTCTAATTAACAGTACAAAGTAATGTATAGTCTGTACAAACATAAACTGTGATGTAAGTGAGACTAAACACACGAATTAATTAAAGTGTATATTAAACATTAAATAATAAATGTTTAGAAACGTAATAAATGTTGGTTTAGCCTTTGGGGCTTCATTTTGCCAGTGTATATAAGAGTATATAAACTTGCCTATTATAATGACAAATGATCATGAAACAGATACAAAAATCTGAGGCCCAGACCTAAAAAAAGATTGTAGCGCCAGTGATTTATTTATTTAATTATACGGAGACTTACTTATGCTAAAGTAATAAAGTTTATTTGCTATTCAGATGTTAACACAATTATGCTAGAAATAATCTTGATGAAATTTATATTTATATATTATTAATCGTTGATTGATTGAAATTGAATAAAATTGTTTTTTTTAATTTTATTTATTTTTAAGTTTATTTAATACAGGGTTATATAAACGAATCATGAATAGAAAGAGACTTCTAGAAATAAGTTTGGATTTCAAAATGTTTGCTGTGCCTTGTTTTGTAATAAAAATTAATTTATTTTCTCTTGTTTTATTTTATTGTCCGACAATATGCAGAGACAAAAGTAATTAATTATAATAATTGGTGACACCAACTGAAAGAACTGCCCTGCGATTCTGTAACTCACTTTTCGAACTCACTCAGCGGTTTTCGCATCGGCGATCGCTCTGAAATCAGTCGTGAAGCAGTCATTTTATGATTTGGCATTCTAATAAACAATAAACTACAAGCTTCCACCTTTTCAGAATGCCAAATCATAAAATGACTGCTTCACGACTGATTTGAGAGCGACCGGCGATCCGAAAACCGCTGTGTGAGTTCGAAAAGTGAGTTACAGAATCGCAGGGCGGGACTATTTATGGTTTCATATGTTGATTTGTAAATTTAAATAACAAAAGTATCTTTTACTTATTAAATTGTTTCTTACGCTTTTCCTAAGTACAATTCACTACCAGATTTAATGTATAATATCCAAGTTTTAGTTAAATTTCTATTTTAATAATAAATTAAAACAACAATAGGTTTACCGTATCCGCGGTTAACGTTTCCATTCGATTTGTAGCTAAACAATAATTCTCGTTCAAAATAAAATAAATAAAAATAAAATATGTTTATTATGAAACATAAGATACATGTATCACTTATTCCACGTCATTAAATTTGAATTTGTAGGCATCCCTACTCATCGGCAAAGAAGACAGAGGGTGTAGGCCGAGAGAAAAAGCTGGCGTAAAAAACTCTCGGTACTCTTTTAAAACAGCAAATCATCAAACAACACTTATTTAAAACAAATTAATTAGAAGTAGCCTGTCTAGCACTAGTTCCAGGCCCTTTTATCAACTAGATAATCGTTGACTTTATAGTAAGCCTTTTTACACAGCTTTTCTTTAATACATTTCACCTCTTACCATTCACTTCAACCTTCTGAGTTCTTCCGTGTAAATAGGAAGTCAGAAGATTCAGTGCGGTATTCTTGATGCCATAGTGGTTCACAGATCACTTCAAAGGTCAAATTGCGTTTATTCGTTCAATTGGGAAAGTTCGCGGGCTTTGAACGTAAAACTGTCATTTCAAAGAGGATTTCTAATCCCTTTACGTCACTGAATAAATTACCAATAAAAACAAACGGTTAATTAATATTGTACGCAATCACAATTTGATAAGACATTGGGAAAGAGATGATGTTAACTTTCTTGCAATTTGACGAAACTTATGCGATAATGCCTGAATTATATCATTGCACTTCAATAACGTAGACGTGTTAATTAAAAACTGCCAAAAATAATTATTAATTTACGATGATTTAAGCTACTTAAAAGCCTATTAAGTATTAGCAATGGGTAAATTATTGGTTTGTAACAGTTTTGTTGGATTTTTATTCATTTGTGCCAGTGTTAGTGGGTGTTTGGATGGTCTGGAATGTATCCTCGACGATGTTTTAGCTGACGTTTGCCCAATATTAGCCAATACTAGAACGGCTCTTAAAAAAGTGTTCAGTTGTTCCTCTGAAGGTAAGATAGTCCCTTGTTCTTTATATTTTTAGGTCCTAAATCATTGGTCTTAGTATAATAATAATAAAAATATTCAATCTTTACAAACGTTAACCATATACAGTTTTAATTTGTTATATTTTTTTGTTACTGGTTATCCTAACTTATTTCAGTACCATTGATCCCCTTCACAAAGGCCTCCTCCAGCTTTATCCAAATTTCTCTATGCAGGTCTTTCTCCATTCCTGCTAAAGCTTATATAATATCTTCTATCCAGCTTTTTCTAGGGCGTAGTATATGAGATGTAAATTTGGTCGGCGTCCTGGTGTCTAGTTTATGTTTCCACGTCAGTATATATTTTGAAGTTATACTTATTTTGGCGCGTTAGGGAAGAATGATGAGAGTAAATTTTTACGATGCGCGCGCACACCTCAAAAAACCGACACCCTAAAGTTAGCATCGTCAACATTTAAAAAAAATGTCCATTTCTTTAATTATGTAATTTAATATATTTTTTTTATATATAAATAAATTTTATTTAACTAGATTATGCGTTATAATAAAACATTCAATGCATTGAACCTTTTAATTGTTAGTGCCGTTTTTTTCTACAAACGACATAAGGCGAAGGATAAATTTTTTGTTAAGATTTTTATCTAGTTACGCCAAAGAAGTATAACTTCTAACGCGTGTACATAAGTACACACACATGTTTTTTTAAATATTAAATGTCTGCTCATTACCTATAATGAACATAAAATTAACTCTCTGATTTAACTACTTTACTGCGATATATAAATCACTAGAGGGTCCTTGTGTTGGTATAAATAATACACGATTTAATTATTTATTAATATTAAAAATACTAAAGTATACAAGCGAGCACACCTTCTGCAGTGATGACGATGTGCATATCACATTAGGTGGCCATCAGGTCGAGTGGCATCAGGACTTTCTACCAACCGAAAAAGATTGCCACGTTCTTACACTAGAATACGCTCCGGAGAAACATTAGCAAAATTTATTTACTATTAACCGATCCCCCTCTTGTTATTAATGTATTTTATTTTATGTTTAACAAATTATAATAAACCAGAGGACGGTCCGTTCACATCTGATATGGTTTCTGAATGTATTCGTTGCGGCCGCGAACTCTCCAAAGCTGCATCGAAACGGGCCAATCAGCTTGTCAAAAATGGCGTCTCTTTGGATGGCTGTTCACCCTCCATGATGCACTTCTTTTCATCCGACCTTCCAAAAGATGTGAGGAGAAGCGCAGAAGTCTCGCAGGAGTTGCTTTCTGCGACCAAGTTGATGCGAATGAAGTTATGTTCTAGGTAATACAATTTTTTTTGCATATATCATGTATTAAAAGTATTAACTTATAAAAATAATGAAATAAAAAATAAAACAAATTAAAAAAGTTTGGTCCCTGTGGCAGTGTACCATTAACGCTGACAGCATTTCCTCGCTGTATTGTGATACTTATTCGTTGGGTGAGGAAAGCACTATCTACCAGGTGCCAACTTAAATCTTTGATTGGCGCCTGTGCACTTGAACCACATGTCCCAGTATCTACTCCAGTGGGAACTAAATCAAAGTAGGAAAGAATCTTATATCCAAGCTGTTTATTGTTTAGGCGCGCTGAAATATAAGTTATAATTTATAAATGTTTTTAACATCATTACGCATATTCTTACTACCCATAGTCGTTGTTATAACTTGACAAACGAAAAAACAGTTTAAAAAACTACTATATCTACTGAAATAATTTAAAAAAAGTGAAGCAAATGCACACTAATTATTCGGGGATTTTCATGGTTATTTTTGGTTTTTTTTATACATGTGTCTTCGTTATGACATCATGGAACATTACGATCTAGCCTAACTAAAAAATAAGTAATTTAAGTCTAACCTATTTTACTAAAAAGGATTTTTATCATAAGGAAGTGTCCAATAACACTACTTACAGTCTCTGTTAAAGGGAAGACACTCTGTTCTTGTGTTCTATTTTTTCACTCACTGTTTAGCACTTAATACTAACTTTTCATGGTTTGATCGTACTTTCAGTTCACAAGTGACCCCAAACACCTTTCTATCGTATCTCGAACACAACGTGATTCGACCACATGAATTGTTCTGCAAACCCTTTAGTACCATTTGCCTAGACGACAAGTATCGTAGCATAGACGGTACTTGCAACAACAAAGAACACCCTGCGTGGGGGCGTCGAAATGCTCCATTTACAAGAATTGCTACACCGCGGTATTCTGATGGTAAGTTTTTACTAGAACAAAAAATCCGTGGCGCTACCACCCTTTAGAGTTAGAGGTTGATCTTAGCTTCATATTTCTGTAGATGTTTCGTGATCATATTTTTAAGGGCGTGACCTTACTTAGAAAATATACAAAGACATAACAGATTACTTTGATAAACAAATAGGTATATTAAATAGAAAACATTTATAATTTTAAAAAAGAAAACTAGAAACTATCTGCTGTGGTCTCTGGCAGAATGATAAGCGCTGTGCAACAGTCTCCTCCTCAGGATAATGCTGATCCAGTGCCAATTACAAGCACAGCACACACGAATTACCCAATTAAAACGTACCTTGTTCTTTAAAAGAAAAATAAATTGTTATCTTTCATTATTATTTTTTTATTATTGTTATTTTGTATGTTTCTGTGTGTGTCTTTGTTAGTAACAAATTTTATGTCTAAGTCTAAATTAAACATTAAACTAAGGACAGCTTAATATTTTAAAGAAATAACTAAATTTTTACTACAGCAAAATAAACTGCTGCAGCACGTGGCTAGTGGCTAACTAGGTAAAATCGATATTTTGTATGAAAGCGCAGCGATCGGTGATCATTACGTCTTTACAACCTATTATAATATGTAACCGTATTAGCATACAGATACCGGCAAACTTCTTGAGCATGAAACAAGGGAGTGGGGGAAAGTTTGCACATCTGGGACACAAACGTCAACTGATTTACCAATCACGCGATCGACACTCCCGCCGCCGCGCACCACCGAAGTGATACCTAAAAATCGCTTCTGCGCAGGCAAGGACATTTGTTCAAGATGTTTGCCGGTATCTGTAACTTATCGTAAATTACAACAAATTACAGTTGAAATATTAAAAAATAAAGAAAAACTATTTAAGAAAGAACCACATATTTTCGATTACAGCCTTCCGATTCTGTAACTCACTTTTCGAACTCACACAGCGGTTTTCACAGCGGCGGTCGCGCTCAAATCAGTCGTGAAGCAGCTATTTTACGATTTGGCAATTTGATAAGGAGGGAGCTTGTAGTTTATTGTTTATCAGAATGCCAAAGTGAGTTACAGAATCGCAAGGCAGTAAGTAGGTCATAATTGAATTGAACTTTACGCAGGAATCTACGCCATGCCTGTCGCCAAAAGTGGACGTGCTCTACCAAATCCTCGGGTCATATCTACAAGATTATTCACAGACCGACCAATATCAAGCCAAGTGTTCACATATCTCAACATGCAATGGGGACAATTTGTAACCCACGACTTATTATCACAAGTTATGGAAGTAACAGGTATTTCTTTCTTCTCAAACATCTCACATGTTAAAAGAAGGACAATCTGATATTTATGTAAATACTAGCTGACCCGGCAAACGTTTGTTTTGCCATGTATATTATTTCTAGGAAAAACTTTACTTTAATTTTTTTATCAGCATCTAAATTTATAATATCTTGTTGGCTAACTTTGCATAAATATAATCTATAATAACATTTTAAATGCGCAAGTTTTTTTTCTTACAATAAAGTTCACAAAAAAGAGTGCGACTTTACATGAATTACAATAATTATGGCTTATAAGTTATTTTTGACCTAATTTTCTACAATACTAATGAATAGCTTAAACAAAGGTATCATTCATTAACAGTCTTAGTGTTCTATAATATTTTGACACTATGTTCGTGTGTCCGAGATACCGCACTTGCACTTATATTCTCTACACTACGTTACACTAGGAAGTTTATTGCCTCAGCAATCACATGGCTATGTAGCCTGTTTAAGTAAGCTAAGCCAAACCGTTTCGCCGTATTTAGGACTGTATCCACATTAAGATCCTTGTGGAAACTTTCATTTTAATGTAATGCGCAAGTAACCGATTTTTAATTTGGTACAGAGATAGTCTAAAGCCTGAGAGACTACTTTTTAATGCGAAAAAAGGGCTTGAAATAGGGAATGAAAGTATGTATGGAAATTACCTGGCCTTAAGCGGCGCGACGTAGAGAAGCAGAAGACTGTTTGAGACGTACAAAAATATTAAAAAGAAATTTTTTGTTTTATTTAACTAATAAAATTTAATATAAAAAAAAATCGCTTCAATTATTCAATAAATCTCTAAATCGTGTATAAAACCTTATTTTAATGTATGAGTTATTTATTTGCAATTAGTCAGTATTTTATTTTATTTTTATTTATTTATACTTCGTTGCAAATAAAAGAAACACAATACATAAAAATTATAAGGGATGCAACGGGCGGCCTTATCGCTAATAAGCGATCTCTGCCAGGCAACCCTAGTTAAAGCGAAAAACTAAAAAAAATAAAAAAGAAACATGATGCGTGCGAGAAGTGCAGAACCAAATGTTATATAAAAAAAAATATATATATATATATAGAACCTTAATCTAAAGTAATACACAGAAAAAAATATTAATAACAGACTAAAAACTTAAAAGCTAATCTTAAAAATTCATGAACAGCGAATAGTGATGCAAAAGGAAACATAAGAATTATACAAGTCACGATTGATAAGGATAGGATAAGGTTAAGAAATGATTGATGAGTATTCCGTAAGTCGCCCATAGTATTTGTTATATTTTATTTATAGACGAAGGAGGCATCCAATGCTGTTTAGCAAACGGTCAAGACATTCTTCCTCAGGACATGTTAAATGACAAATGCATACCAATATGTGTGCCGGATGAAGATCCATTTTACCGTAATTATGGCGTGAAGTGCCTAAACTTTGTGAGGAGCGTCACAACACCGAGAGACGATTGCAGCTTGGGCCATGCTGAACAGGTGTGTAGAATCTAGAGACTCTTTGGGAAGTATTCAGGCTTCAGTTCTGTAGCTATACCCTCATTTTACCAGTCTTAATTTAGTTAAAGTAATTCTATGGTCTAACTTTATTTACCTTTGTTTCGAGTGCGTAAACATTACGACATGTTTTTGTTCTATGCTGTAGCAATGAACTTAGTAGGTTTATTAGGTAATTTTTGTCGTAAATAGTTTTGGCAAGACTACTTTAAAAAGCGAATAATTACTATCAAGGGTTCTTACGTAGAGCATTTCTTAAAATAAAGCTAAAAATAACATAGAAAGTAACAAGCATACAAAAGTATACTATTTCATCAAAAATCCTTTGAAAGAAAAAATTAATAGTGATTTAAGTTTGTCAAATAAAGTCCAAACAAGACAAATCATATTGAGCTGAGTTTGCAGATAGCGCAAAACTTTATAATTATAATAAGCCTTTATTGATCCACACCTTTTTGACAAAAAAAATAGTTAGAAATAGATAGCAATAAAATTTTTACTACTCTACAAGCACCAATGGTGGTGGGGATGAAATCGGCTCGTAGTTCGAATCAGCTGTAGCATCCTCAAATTAGGGTACGATTTGCCTACACACGAGGCGATCTAGGGTGCTCCCCACCACTGCCCTGATATTGCCTCGTTTTACGGCTGTGTGTAGGCACTTGCGGCCCCTGTACGGGAGAAAGCCTCCTTCAACTTTTTCCGACCTATTTTATTTTTGTCATCGTCCTTCAATTTTTCCAGCTACCCTTTCGATCCCGTCGGCCCATCGCTATATTGGTCTGCCCTTGTTTCTTTTTCCTTTTGGGACAGTCCATTCGGTTACTCTTTAGCCCATCCGTCATCTGTATAACGGGCTCGTGTTCGTAGGCCTATCAAGGAAAGCATACTAAAGTCATTCAGTGCATATTCAACATTTACGCGCGTCTTGCGCACCCTGAATATTATTGCATGTGAGACGGATATATCTAGTTACACACTGGCTGAATTCACGAGAATTGCATTATTTATAAAAAGGTTTAGATTTTAAGTTTTCTTGTTTTGTTCATATTATGTTTTTAGTTTAAAATTTTCTATTGTAGTATTAAGTTATTGTAAAAATAGGAAATAAGGAAATACATTTTTGCAAATACTGTGTGTAACCGCCAGTTATGCATTCCTCTCCATGTATTTTGTATTTCAAGACACGTCACAATTAACCAAACCCATATATGAGTAGTATCACAAGCCTTATTCCTATGAATTGTATGAATTTTTTAACATTATATTACAGTATTAATTTAAAACAATTTTGAGCCTACAGATGAATACGGTGACGAGTTACCTAGACGGGTCACAAGTGTATGGTTCAGATGCGAAAACAGCATACAAATTACGGAAGAAATGTGGAGGCAGGCTCAAAGAGGAAACAATGACCAATTGCAAGAAAGGATTTTTACCGTCAGTAGATGATAAAGCCGCTGTATGCGATTTGAGGAATATGTCGGAGCCCTGTTACTTTGCAGGTACTATTATTAAATATGATAGAGAATAGAGATATGATAGAGAAGTAATATGATAGAGATATTTTTTGAGTGTTTATTCACTTAAAAATTACTAGGGGTGAGAATGAAAAACAAAAGAAGAAAGGATTTTGTGGATTTGTAATTGGGTAACAGCATCTATTCCTTAAGGACCTATCTGGTCGCCAAACTCCAAAAAAGTACATTGTTTCTTTACATTTTTTGTCATCGTTTCTTGAAGTATGGCAAAATGGAAAAATATATGGTAGAGTTGAGTAGTTTATGTAGGTATCCATTTTGAAAGATCACGATTAAAATAACTTCACTCGATAGAAAAAAATCCAAACATAGCAATTTTTGACGAAAATGTCTATATAGAACATGATTTGAAATTTACACATATCTAATTGTTATTATGGGCCGGCGCGCCTTCGTGCTCCAGCTCTACACTGCGCACCGCAGTCCACCCCGAGACACTGACACAGCAATCCGTGCTGGGATAACACCTTAAACACGATACATTCCGCGACTAGAAATATTTACAATAATAGACAACTGAATAGAATTACATATTGAAGTGCGCAGAATTAATTGGTCTAACTCAGTATGCAGAGGACATTCTGGCAAGCCTTGTCAACAGAAGTGGTTTGCAGAGACAATGTATTGACAATATGGTTGATGGGGGAATGTTTCTGCACATTATTTATGAAGAAAAAAAACTAAAAACCTTACCTCTGCGCATTCTACGTCAACTTATTTGTTGAGAACTATACGTAGGCTTAAAAAATAGATTGTCTATTATATTGCATTTGTAAAAATCAGGCTTTCATTAGAAAGCCCTTAAAGCTGACAGCCTTTAGAGTTCAAGTATAACGTAACGAATTTGGGGGGGTCCTTTTGTATGTGCGGGGCGGGGATTGAATTAGGCGTTATTGTTAATATTATTTTCGACTTTCCAGTACTTCACACCACATAATGGTAACTTTTAGGTATAAAGAGTGACTGGGTGGTCACGAAACGTTTTACTATTGGGTACAGAAAAACGTTACGGCGCATTACATGGGGGAGGGGGTCAATAATCTCCAAAAATTGCGTGACGTAATACTTGAACGCTCCCTTACACAAAAAATGCGATTGTTTCTATAGACCTAACAAGGAAAGATTACATTACATACTCAAAATTTTCGCAAACAAAAGACAAATTTATAAATAACTTCCCACGTATTTTGTACTTCAGGAGACGTGAGAATTAACCAAACACCAACATTGGCAGTATTACATACCTTATTGCTAAGAGAACATAATCGCATTGCCGATATACTCAGTTCCTTGAATCCACTATGGACTGATGAAAAGATATATCAAGAAGCCAGAAAGATAGTCATCGCAGAGATACAGCATATAACATATCAAGAATGGTTGCCATCGAATTTTGGTAAGACGTACTTATAGCATTATTCATTTAAATATTTTAAAAATTACATTTAGTGAGCAAACGATAAATGCCGCTTTGTGATTATTAGTTAATGCACGCATGCAATGATCGTAGGTATGTTTGACTGGCGAAATTATTGTTGCGAAAAACTATGCCTTTAAAACAATATGAAGGAAACTGTCTCGGAAATATGTGCCTAATAATTAGAATTCATTAGTACTTATTAAATATTAGAACAAGCTCTATGGCGGTTGTACTTAACAATTGTCTCCTACAATCTCTTCCTTTTGGTCCGCTTTTTCTCTTGTATTTATTACCATTCATACTTTATTAAATGATTCGAAACTTTATGAATATCCATACAGGTGAGAGTTATTTGCGATACTATGGAATATCACCAACATCGCTGTATAGCCACAGCTACAATGAGGAAGTTAACCCTGGAATAATCAATGGTTTCGGCGCGGGAGCGTTCAGATTCCTTCATACAATGATACCGGATTCCATCATGACCTGTTCTTCAAGCTACCAAGTAGCCTATTTATATAAGTAAGGAATTATTATTGTAACAAAAGATTTTATCGTTTTGAATTACTTAAATACTTCATATACTCGCAAAATTCCGCGGAGCAATAGTTTTGGGAGTTATATTTTAGCTAAAAGTGTATATTTTTGGCTTTCGAGTAGATCTCAGCTCAGTTATATACTTAATTAATTTGATAAGTTAGCGCCTCCGCGAAAAGATTGCTTTACATGTAAATCCCAAACTTTTTATAACATTAATACTAAATATTTTTCAATTCAAGCTAGCCATATTAATTTATTTACCCATTTTATATTACAGAATGAGTGATTATTACTTCAATCCTAGTATTGTAGAGGCCAATAGAGAGTCTTTTGATGATATTGTCAGAGGAACCGTAACTCAGCCGGCGAGTGAATCAGATCCTTTCGTCACGAGAGAGATCACAAACCTATTGTTTAAAACACGGGATAAATGGGGTATGGATTTGATTGCCATGGATATTCAGAGAGGAAGAGATCATGGTATCGCTTCATATAACGACTACAGGTATTTTTATATCATTTACTATCTTTTTCTATTTCCCTTTAGTGGTATCAGACATACAACTAGTGGCTAACAAAGATTGGGATTAATATTTTTATCACCATTAATAATCTCTAAGACCCAGACATGGTTCATAAGTTTTTTCGTTCATATAATTTTTATGATAAATATTTAAATGCTTTCTGCCACTTGACTGAAGTCACTCTAATAGACTATTTGCTTTGCCTTCTAACCAAAAACAATAATTGTGAATGCGTAATGTGAGACAAAAACGATATCGTGTTTTACTGTAAACTACTCCTTAAGTTGTATCCTGTGGCCAACTAAAGCACCTAACCATAATTTGTAATTATTTACAGGGAGACTTGTGGATTAAAAAGAGCAATGTGCTTTCAAGATTTATTGGGAGAAATTCCTCAAGATGTAAGTTTGTAACATCTCATTTCACTTTTATATATAGGTCTTTTCGCTAACAAGCAGTCTCTTCCGGGAAAACACTATGGATATTTGTGTGTGTTTTAAATGTGAAAACGCAAAGGTATTTAAATATTTTTAAATAGGATTGCATCTACAGAAATCTTTTTCAGTACTAAGCATCTATTTCTGCAGGGTTACGTACCTTTCATGGGTTTTCGATCTCAATGTTACCGTAGTGGTATCACGTAATTCCAAGGGACCTAGGTACTACGGATATTGAAAACCTATATCAAATTTGGTTTTTGTCTGATGACAATATAATTATACTGGTAGAATTGGTTAGGGAGTAGTCGTGAAGTGTCATTTACACAATTAATTAGATAAAATATAAAACCTTTTTTTTTCAGCGTATAAACGCTCTATCTCAAATATACGAATGTGTTGACGACGTGGACCTATTCGTTGGAGGCGCAATGGAGAGAGATGTACAGGGTTCAATACTGGGACAAACATTTCAATGTATTATCGCCGAACAGTTTTACAGGACGCGTATTGGTGATAGATTTTTCTATGATAACGGGGAAATGCCGCATTCATTTACACCAGGTATTAAGGAGTTTTTTTTATCAAATCCAGTCAAAATAACTTTACTCATATAGGTAAACAAGTACACATATGAACGTCAGAAAAGAAGTTAAATAATTCTAAATTTACATTTACTACCAGTTCGCAAGTCAAGGGCGTAGAGCGGGCAAGAAACTTTCCGCCACTCTTTTTAATCGCTAAGTTTTGAATTATACAAATTGTTTGAACTGGAGCAAATCAATCCCAAGGATTAGGGTCATTTAAATATTCATCAGATTTATAAAAACCTTTATTGATTAATTTACGTTTAACGAGAGCTTTGAATTTATTTAGTGATAATTTTCTAATTTCGCTTGGGAGTTAGTTGTAAAAACGAATACAATTTCCATTTAAGGAGTGGTTTGTCTTCTATCTGTTTATATGTAAACATGTCTAAGAACCAAAAACAAATGACAAGTGTCAGGCACAGAAGGTTAAATACATTCTTGCATTTAATGGTTGCAGCTCCTTACAAACGTTGTGTAAAAAAAACATGGCGATTGAAAAGAGTGGCGGAGAGTTTATTGCCAGTTCTTCTCTTCCGTTCTACGCCCTTGATTTGAGAACTGGCAGTAAATGTAAAATTAGAAGCATTAATATGTATTTCTTTAATGACGAATCACAAGTGTACATTGTGTTACCTACGGGAATAATGATTTTTGAATTTTAATTTGCTTATATTTAAGAATGAAGCATATCGTATGTAATCATTGTATTAACATTATGTAGACTGAATACCTGTAAGCGGAGGTGGTCATAAAATAATTCGTATTTTACAGAGCAATTAAAAGAATTAAAAAAGGCATCTATGGCTCGTCTCATATGTGACAACACGGAGGGTGTGAAGTTTATTCAGAAAAAGGCATTCGAAATTGAATCTCCATACAATCCTAAATATAGCTGTGAAGATTACGAGAACATACCTCGTGTGGACTTAACAGCCTGGAAGCGACCCAAATTCGAACTGTTTGATTGAATTTTTATATATTTATTTAAATTAAATTATTTAATCCAACCTGCATATTGAGAATGTTTGAATAAATAAATATATGTATTTATAAAATACTTTATTTTTTGTATAGAGCAGCTAAACTTAATGTATGCAAACTTAACAATTTAATTACTAATAAAAATAATAACTGTGGAGGAAGGAGTACTGTTACTCCAAACTAAAGGGAGGATCCTCGTGACCGTCAGGTTGGCTGACCAAATTTGATATCGCAATCAAACTATACGCCATATTTCTCTACCTATTTTATACTATTTGCTACCTCTGCATTAAAGAACATAATAAAGAAATAAAGTGGCCAGCCATTCTGACGTCAGGTTGGCTGACCACTATCATTTAATTGGGTTCTAAGAATCTTTGAGTGATAACGTTTTCATACATATTTACTACCTGAGCAAACAACTTTAAAATAAGTCTCAGAAGCCTATAAAAAAAATATTATTAATATAGCCATGAGGTGTCTAAAAACGCCTACAATGCAATTTTGTGATTAGTTATACGTGCCAAACTCTTGCTTAACCTTTTTTGTAACCAAATTTGGTCAGCCAACCTGACGGTCACGGATCCTCGACCAGTCTTACCACTAAGCCGGTCCGAAGGCCCCAGTGGCTAAGGTCAAGAATTTCTATATACCCTTAGCCAGAATAACTTAGCGCATTTCAGTGTATACTTCATGCTGTTACATTGTCGCTAGAGCTCACACTCAGCTCTATTACTGAAAGACTCGCTATATTGGTTTTTTCTCACCCTGCTCACATCCCTGTCGGACAGGGTTGAGTTCAAACTTCGCTTAAGTAATTGGAACATCATTAAAAAATAAACGTTTGCAATATAATAATAAACCGTTTCTGATAAAAACATCAGTTTTCAAATAACGTTTTTCTGATGAGTCAAGCTCAGTATTTCGACTAATTACAACTTTTTAGCTGTGATGTTAAAAATATTTTAAACATGCAGTCATGGTTACAATGCCACTATTAAATATTTTATTACTTCGCACTCATGCATATACCTTTATTACTTTTGTATAGGTGCATTATATAATGCAATTTTTTAATTACCGTAAAGGTTAAGGATTTGAGTGTAAAAGTGATGGTAGATTTACCGATGGGTTCTATCACTCATTTTAATCTTGCTCGCTCATACCTATCAATAACGTAGTACACAACTTTTATTAAAAAAAGAGCAGTGTTATTCTAGCCAGAGCGTGTGCCTCACAACCCTGAGATCGTGCGTTTGAATCGCGGCTGTGCACCTACTTGCTTATCAGAATAAAAATCACTAATCAGATATATGAATCTGACGCTAAATAAAACCTATATGAACAGTTAATGTACTAACAAAAAGCCATAAATAAAACACTTTATTTTCAACAGTTTATTTATTTAACATATATTTGTAATGTATATCTTATGAAGGTACAATGTGAACTCTAACTTGGTCATATAGGAAGACCGTTGAGGCCATTTGGTATTATATAAAAACATACTATAATTATTAAATAATTAAATGTTTTATCACAATATAAGTGACAGGGGAGCTAAGGACAGGCCTGTAGTATGTTAATTGATATGTCACTTACTGAAAATATTTATATTTATTTAGGCTATTAAAAACATACACAACTTGAATAACATATCTCTTAAGAAATTACAAATTAATTTTAATATATAAATTCGATGATATTATCTCATTATACTAAAGTCAAGTATGAACTAACGCCTTTAGTACACCTACGCAATCGCATGCGGCAGCGAAACGACGAAAAAACTGTAAGTTGTATGGCAACGTTTCGCATGTGTTTTGTCTCGCTCTAATATATAGCTAGATGAAATAGTTGCGTCCTTGTCGGTATTGTTTCGCAACTAACTGCGAAATGGCTGTTACACAGACGCAGACGTTTCGCTAATGAAGTTTCGCATCGCAAGGCGTCACCACGCGTTCTGTCAGTGAGGACAGAATTTCGCACAATGGAAGCCGAAAATATTGAATTATTAATGAATTTGATTAGAAATTATCCCGAATTATATTTAGTTGGGCATGTTGATTACAAAATCCTCTTCAGAATCTGAAAGCGACGACTGGGACGACTCAGATGAAATTCTGAAACGACGTCTGCACATACAGCCCACGAAAGCTACAATGACATATCCTTGCGAAAAACCTGCAGTGTACTAACGTTCCGCAGATATTTCGCTACCGCAATTATTTCGCAAAGATTCGCAGCCGCATACGAACGCGTAGGTGTACTAAAGGCGTAAAAGTACAAATTTATTTATTTTATGTAGTATTAATTAAACTCAGGCAACATTCAGGGAGACTAGAGCAATCTCCCGTGTGTCAAAAACTTATTGAATTTTGACATACTGGTGTCATAGTTTGCTCTGTCTCGACTCTGAGGAAGATTTAATTTGTGCCCTTTATGACAAATCATACCTCCTCAAGTGAGAACTGGCGCCTCAGCCAGTAACTTTAAATACATACATTTGATTTTTTAAATTGAATAACTTAAAAATCTTATTCCTAGTAATTTGATAGGTAGATAAGAATTACTATTTTTGCCTATAGTGATAGTCGATAGACTCATATTAAGAGGTTTCTACCTTCTCTGTTTCCCCATAAAAACGTCAACTTACTCTGTACATTACTCCAGGACACAGAGCTATTCATAAAATTGGAAATACTAGTGTTGGGACGGCCTATTCTCTGTAAGAGTGGTCTTTTGTATAATCTGTGCGATTCCTCCCTTTGGTCTTCTGTAATTTTGCGGTCATCAAGATGGTTGAGGGAAGGGAATTGGGATATTATAAATAGCCTGAAATAGAATTTTTGTGAGATGACAAAGAGCACACTCCTTCAAAGACAGCTAATTAATCTCATTATTTAAGGGGTGTCTATGGCCTACGGCAGTTACCTATATATTCTAAAAATTTAATATAATTATTGTTTCTTAATTTGACTTAGTTTGTTATACCTTCCTGCTTCTACATTAAATACTCTTTTTGCGGTTTTATGTTTTTTTTATGCTCCACATTGAAAATAATAAAACAAAAAAATCTAGACTCTTGTTCATAATTTCATATAAAATCTTACCTATACTGCAAGTACTCATAAAAAGTACCACCATTGAAGTAACTAGGCGCGGCGGGATTCCCCATAAGTGATAGATATTGTAAATTTGGACATGACTCCTTCAATTTCCCCACCCAGGGATACAGGGATGCTATTTTACAATAATTAAGCCTGGAAGACAATAAAACCCTTTTACATACATTCTCTTCAAATCTCCTAGGGTATGTTGTTGTATTTATTATTTAATTTCAAAGTCTATTTTCTATAAAAAAATATTAAATCATTCACCTTATAAGGGAAAATGTAGAGTAAAATCGACCGATATTTTTAGTAGTAAAGAAAGTGACCAGTGTTCTGTGCAATCTAAACTATTTATCGATTGCTTGTGTTACTGGATATTCAATAAATAATATAAATTAGAAATTTTATTAAGTCTATATCTGGATAGTAAAGTAAATAGTATTTTAGAGGTATAAAAATAACTTTCAATAACTAGATTATAAAAAAACATTTGGACACAAAGTAGTAGTACTAGTATTTCTTTTTATCCATTCATTACAATTTTTTCTCCTCAAATCAATGCAGAAAAAATTGCATCAGCTAGGTTAACTTACCATAACAACTCCAGTTTAGGTAACGGTGGTAGAAAGCAATTCTCTGTAACAGGGTTGTCATCTGCTATCAGTGATGTAAGGTGTTTGAAGTGAACAAGAGGCTCTAAATTTCTGAAATAAGTATCACTATAAAATATCTTTCTGATGGGCTTATCTATATATGGCTTCTTACCTATATATAATATAGTAAAAAGTAACTATTCTAGAAACTATAAATAAAGTTTTTGATTCTTCAAACATAATTGAATCCTTTTAATTTAATTATTATTAGACATATACAAGTACCTACATAATAATGTCAATTTCACTACAAACAACACTTGTTAAAAATTTAACTGGGAATAAATCTCTACCACCTGAATCTTGATTATTATATTTAGTATAGAATGAACTCACGTAATCTTATTATGACTGATATCCAAGTACTGGACATAGTTGGAAAACTTCTCAACTATTGTTCTTGGTATTTCATATAATCGCTCATAGGCCAACGTTAACTTACTTGAGTCTTCATCTTTGCCATTGCTTTCCTCCGCCCTGAAACCGAAGAAGACTACAATTATTATAGAATGTTACAAAGTTGTTAGCTGAGGCTAGTAGTGCCACTTCTATTCATCCATATATTAAAGATATGGATAATTAGTCTAGAGTCTAGTACTACAGAATCCCTCTAATAAATGAAATATAAATAATGTTATAAATTATTTTTAATAAATGGAATATTATTTATTTTTTCAATAGATATAATATAATGTATATATAATACTTACTCTATTATGTTTGAAGAAATTGCTGTTTGTGGCATTGTTGTCACAGAATCTACTAAAACATTGTTTGCAATATCAACAGCAATGATACCTTCATCATATTTTGGGGATACACTATAATCACTACAAAAATAAGCAAGCTAGTATTCAATTATTTAAATGTGATAACCAGTTCCATTACTACAATTAACATATTTGTTTCGTATCAGGAATATAATTTTAACTAATGTTCAATATAAGCATTATAAATCTCGGAACAATGACATAAATTGATAACTTAATGGATTTTTTCTAGTATGTAGTTTGATAAGTTAACAAACATTTCTTGCGTTTATGAAATGTAAATATCACATTCATTTTGCTAGCAATATAAAATATCAATAAATAATATAATTCATATTAGTACCTTAGATTTTTTGGAGAGGAAAAATCAAACAGAAACTTCACATCACAAATAGTGATCGAGACAAATAATTGTAGAAATTCAAATTGGTTGCTATACTTTTTCAAAATTAATAATAAAAAATAATAATATTTATACGTCTTTGAAAAATGTGATGTAAATTGTCGTTGTCAAGCAGACAAATTCTCAACTAAATTCTACAATCACTTTCTTTTTTCATCCGAGACCGTTATTTTTTTATTGCATATTTTATCAGTTGCACGAACTTACAGAATGTTTATCTGATATAAATTAACATGTCCAAAACCCCAGTTTAAAAAAAATCACAGATACTTTATTAAATTAGAAGTAAACGTAAAAAAACCTTTGTAGGTGGTAGCTATTAGAAAATACATACTTTAACATATATACTTCTATGCAATTTAGGTTTTTAAATAATGAGGTTAATTATATTTATGATTACTGTTGTAGTACGTACCTATTAGACGTATTTATAAATTATACCCACCAACGACTCACAAACTGGCTATTCTATCAAAGGCGTAATAATAAGGTTTGAACTGAAAAAGTGTACCCTAATAAAACTTACTATTTATCTCCTTTATCATCCATTCTATTCCACAACCAGAAAAGGAAAATAAATCCACAAAATGATTCTTAAAGTGATTTCCCTACCAATTATCAAACTGTTCTGCAACCGTAGATAAGGCATGTTTATCAGAAAGTAAGTGACCTGTATTGTTTATTTACTTGTAATACTAATTATCATACGAAATCAAGCTAGTCACGCAGTGTTTTTCAGGTTTTATTACTATAACGTGAACGCAAAGAATTACGTAAGTAACGCTTTTATACACACATGTTTAACTAAATAACACAAACAAAGTATTACATATTCTTACTACTTAATCGTATAAATAATAGTTTACGACAATCTCACCAAAAATCTAAAAATTACTCCCAACTTAGAATATGTATAAAAATGTTGTACCAACAACTTGTTTAAAGTGCAGTAAGAAAGCAAACCTAGAACCTAAAACTAGCAGAATTTAAATCAAAACTAATACAGTATCAACTTATAACTTCGAAAGTATTACATATTACGCAATACAATAAATAAAGTTATTAATAAAATATTGTAGGTATAATAATGATGCTATATTTTCTATATTTTACTACTTTTTGGTAAAGTGAGATTTTGAATAAAAAGAGCACAAAATAAAATTCTGTAGCGGTTAGCGCTGAGAAAGCAAGAAAGATTATAATAACTCTGTTAACATATTTGCGCCTCTCACACCGCTGTCATGCATCCCCGGCTATCTTACTGATACAAGTTTCTAGAAGTAACAAATAATTTAGGTTCATATTCTTATTCGTATCTTAAGACTTAAGTTGACAAACTCGTCTTGAGCGCTGACAATCAAGGATATTTAATAGAAATATGACAAATCAATAATAATTAATATAATTTATTAAATATGAAATGAATTTTGAAAGCATTCTTTAGTGATATTATGAAAGAGCAAATCTGTAAAATTAAATTATCATGACTAGGTATAATAAAAAAATATTCTAAAGACAAGCCGAAGTCGACCGAATCAAAATTTTTAAACGCGACTTTACATAATTCTTTTTCTATGCCTTTGTATTACTGAGGGTGCGAGTATCATTTTTGGGTTAGTATTTCTAACCCAAAGATGATAACCAACTAACTTTAGCTCCGAACAAAACAATTGACACTATCAAATATTAATCATAGAATTAGGTGTAGATTATAGCTTCTAAATTGTTAAAATGCTTAGTCTTAAAAGTAAACTAACAGCAGTTTATTATAATATTAATAATTTTAAGCAAAAAATATTGACAAAACGGTGGACGGAAAAAATTTAATGCCGAAAAATATATTTTTCTAGAGCTATTTAAATCTTAGGAGGTAAGTCTACCTCTATCTTATTTTATTTTAATCGACTTAAAAAAAACTCGAAGGTGGTATAAAATTAATTCTGTAATTTTGTTTTTGTAACTGTAAAACTGTGGATTTTTAATGATGATGATGATATTAATTTATCCCTAATGACAAAGGTAAAGGACGTGTGGATTTTAAAGTTCATTTATCAGTGCAGTTGCTTCGCTAAGTGTAACAAACAAACCAACCGTTTACCGTACACAATTATTCATATTTACATTCTGACGTTGACAATTGTCAACTAGACTGTTTAATCATCTATAATGTCATTTGGAGCAATCAGCAACTTGTAAACATTTACACGTCACAAAGTTTTGTATAAAGAAAAATTAATTAAATTGACTAAAGTATATATAGCAAAAGGAAATTATAGTGTTGTTTTATAATATAAACATATATCTTGAAGGTGAACACTATGGACGTAAGTTAACATAATTTATAACGTACTAAGTTATTCAACGTATCTAAAGTTAAATTTATTATAATCATATTTACATTATTTTCAGGAAAGCAATATCCCTATCGATATTAATATCGGAAAGCTGCAAGACTGGCTAGTTAGTCGAAGACACGTGTCTAAAGAATGGCAAAAAAATATTATTCCTATAAGGGAAAAAATCAACAATGCCATCCAAGATATGCCAGTTCACAACGACATAGCTGCTTTACTTTCAGGCAGTTACATTAACTTCTTCCACTGTCAAAAAATAATTGAAATTTTAAAGGAAACTGAAGCAGACACCAAGAATCTATTTGGCAGGTATGGCTCTCAGAGAATGAAGGATTGGCTTGATGTAGTGAAGAATTATGAGCGTGATAACCTATACATAGCTGAGGCAGCTCAAATGTTAGCTAGAAATATTAGCTATGAAATACCAGGGCTGAAAAGACAAATCACTAAAGAGGAACAAATACAAGCTGTAAGTATATAAATGATAACTTGTTTAGGCTTTATTGTTGTGTAGCTTGCTCTTAAATTTTGGTATTGTTTAAGGATTGTGAAAAGAAAAAGAATGATTACCTGAAAAGTGAGGGATCGGCAAAAACAGAGTTCTTGAATTCATGTAAGCAGCTTGGAATTAAAGGTGATAAGATTAAGCAAGAACTTGTAGAAAGATTGCAGGAATTACCAGCAATATATGATAAAGTAAGTTTTTTATAGTATATGGCTCAACATATTTTATAAATGTACTACACATTTAATAAGGTTTGAAAGGTTGAGGTTATTCTAATTTTATAAATAAATCTTTTATTATAATCTTAGAAGTGTTTATGTTTATGTAAACAAAGGTGATGTTTTTAAACTTAATAACAACACTGATTTCAGATTGGCAGTTCCTTAAAGCCACTCCGTCCCAGCATAGACTTGTATTCTGCATTTACAAAGTATATTTTGGGGGATAATGCATCAGAAGTGTTGCCGTTGCTTCAATATGTGGTGGAGCATGGAAATACTACAGTATATGAGTGGATGTATGGCGAAGCCCCACTAAGTGTGGAACCAGATCCAATTCATATAGAAGTAACTGAAGAAGAACAAGGTGGTGGTGATCAGGTATTAATTATAAAATTATCTCTTAAAGATTTTTTAGTTAATATTTATAACGAGGTATCATATATACATAATACATTAAAACAAGCCTTTAAAAATATCTGGAATGCTAAGAATGGAATGCTACTATCCATCATAAAAACTTTATATTGTGATATCCTGATATTGCAAGGATCCTCAAGCCGAGACAGCACAGTTCCACAAATAAGATATGTTAGAAACTTCCCTAAAATATCATATGTTTGTCACTTAACCATGTGTGAAGCTCATTGTCATTCTCATTTAAATCTGATCAGTGTTAGTGGGTGACACAAATCACAAATAATTTTTGTCTCAGGCCCTAGTACCATGGACAGCCTGTTTAAGACAGTAGTTAATTTTATTAAGTTTCCAGGGTTTTTATTATGAGTAGAACTGGAGTGTTCTAGTCTTACAAATGTATGTATGTACACTCTTTAGTTTCAACATAGAATCCGAGTCAAGATTTCTTAGAATGATACATGGTAGTCATACATACTAGGCTTAACATTTTACCCACAACAGACCTAGTGAGAGTCTAAGTGCGGAAACTGAGTGCACCAATTTTTAACCTTTTAGGCATAACATTGTACTTTTAAAACTTTTCAATCTACAGGAAGATGGTGCAATAGATTTTGGTGGCTTGGACACTTCACCAGAAATTGATTTTGGTGATGGTGATGCCGGTGGTGAAATTGATTGGGGTACAATTGACACTGTACCTGAAATAGTAAGTCATTTTTTATCGAGTAAAAATTTATATTAAACCTGAAAAGTTGGAAAAATAGGACGAAACAGTCGTGAAGAATATTTTCCATTATCACCTCGACGTCCGTCGTTCCACAACTGAGCGATATTTAAGCCAGCTGCCCACCGATTTATTTTCGAACCAATTCGACTTAAGGTCCTTCAAGAAAAGAGCGTACTAATTATTATTAGGCCAGGAACGCACACGCGAGCCATCTGGCGTTGAGTGTCCATGGGCACCAGGTTAGCCACCTGCCAGTTTGCCCCCAGTTTTATAAATATAAAAAAAAGAAGGCTAAAGTGTTGCAATGAATTAAATAAAACTTAACTAATCTTGCATATTCTTCCATCTAGTGGAATGAATTAGTTGACAATTTTCGTTAATTGTTACAAATTAAAAAATACTAGCAATTTTTGTTGCAGTAAAAGAAATTACCTATTAAAAGTTTTATAGTCATTATACAATGGTATTTTGTATAATTATTTTAGTGTATTTTTAAATATTATAAATAAAATTTTGAAAATTAGTAACATACATAAACTACATACATAAAATAACATACATACATGTATATGTAATTTGTAAAAATTTTCAATTCAGGATACATCACCTGATTTTGTGGGAGATAGCTTGCCTGATGATTCTTTCATAGTCGTTGAAGAAGATGGGTTAGGAGGTGGTGTCGCTCGTGGAACAGAAGCCCTAACTTTGTTGGACAATCCTAAAACAAGAAACCAGCTAATTGATCAGCTAGTTGAGGTAAGTTTTTAATGCTTGGTTTAATTTACTTGTTTGTAAAATGGTATAAATATATTTACTAAATAATGTGATAAATAATATGTTTTGGCATATTGACATAGATAATGAAAATATATGATACACAGTTCGGGCAAGATTCAGAAACGAGCCTAAGCAAGAACTACGACCTCGCATGTCAAAATCGTAATGTTTGAGGTCCATATCTCAAGTCATAACCTCGTCTTGAGCTCTGTCAAGTATGTCAAACTTACTACAGAAGAAATAGTATGCCAGCTCTAGAACCTAGATTTAGGTTTGATTGACATTCATAGCGTCATGATCGTTACATTAAAATAAAATTCTTTGTGTTTTAAATTTCAAATTAATCAAAGTAACGTGAAGTGACGGCTTTAATAGAAGCATGTGATTTTTCTAGAAAACTATGTAATTTAATGTTATTATTTTTATTTTGTTTCAAAAAAGACCCTTTTGTTGGCTTGTATGACAATTTTCATTATAACAGAATATGAATTAAAATAGTTATGACCAAAAACTACCATGATTATATTATTTTAAAATGGCTGCCCTGTAAAGTTTACTATTTGTCAGATCTGTCACTATTCTACGAATATGACGATAGATAGGTCTCAGTTGGAGTCTCGTTACTAAGCACTTAGTTCCTTTAAATTTGTGCTATTTTCCTATTAGAATCTGTTATGGCTTGATTTACATCGTATTATTGGCCAAATAAGAATTATTTAGCAAGGAATAAAGTTCTCCTGCTCCTATTTAAGTTAGTGGTCATTATACTACTTTAAAATATTTTTCAGCTGGAATCATTCCTAAAAATGCGTTTACACGAGACCCATATATCTAATGAGAGCCAGAGCTTCTCGCTCATACAGCAGCTACCGACGGAGAGCTCAGACGCACTGGCCGCTATGTTGGCCACAGTACAAGACGCCAGTAGGGCCTTATTGGCACCGGAGATAGCACATTTGCATAATGTCAAGCATTCTAACAAGTTAGTATAATGTTATCTAATGTAGGTTTGAATTCATTTAAATTAAGTTTTTTGATACTTTTATGCACAGATTACAACATTAAATAGGCAATACAATGTTCTGTCCTCATTACACAGACAATTGTTACACAATAGCTTTACGTCTTGACAGTTGTCAAAATGAATATATCTATGTCAGTTGGTAGTTGTTTCTATATCGATATAAATACGAAAATATATAAATATTTAATAAATTATTTATAAAAATATATTTAAAGATATGTAATTAGTTTTTAAAAATGTATATCAAACATTAGTCTATATTAATTTATGTTTTTATTTGTTTATCTATTTAAATTATTATTTTATCTATTAATGACGAATTCGATTTTATTTTATTTTATAAAAAATAAAACAAAAATCTATGTGACGATGGAAAATAAATTGGTTTAAATTTTTCTGTGCACTGTAGCATGTCCATTAAAAAAAATATTATACTATATATATTATTTTAAAAAGGCACACTAACGAAATACATACAAACACTTACAGAGAAAACACGACATACAAAATCACAATACATGCATGTGCAGCAATGACAAGTGTGCTAACATTTAGAGGGAAACATTACAATGATAAAAGAGAAAAAAAACTTAAATACATTAAAAAAGACAAACTAGATTAAGAAATACAAATGTGCAATTTAAAAATGTAATATATTTCTACCTTGCAATTATTATTAATGGTGACGGATCAACAGTGGCTGCAGCATTTTACGCCTGACGCCTTACGATCAACTACCAAAATTCATAAATTCAAGTACGTCATAATAACTGGTACATGGGTCGGACCCACACGTTTTACAATCAAACTATTTGTTAGGTACAAAGTGCGAGTTAAGAAACCAGTGTCCAGGCCAAGTTGCCTTTATATTTGTACAATTCATTCAATCGCGGTTATAATTTTTAAATTTTTAACAAAAAAAAATCTCAATCACTCGAACATACAATCGCACATTGACCATTTTACCTACTTCAAAAATTCCCAAGAATTAATGCAACGCCTAATTTTTTAGATATGTAGACGTTTTAACAGCACAACTCCAGCAAAAGCTTGTGATGTGCGATAAGATGTCGCGTCTCGCGCAAAGGGAGAGCGAAAGACGACAAGCGGCGAGTGAAAGGGCAGCGGAACTTAGGCCGCTACTCACGCGTTTAGTTGAGAGAACTGTGGAGCTTCAAGCTAACGTGAGTATAAAGGCATTGTTACGAAGACGATAAGACTAGACTCTCTTATCGGTGGGTCTTTCTGTCTCCACCAGTGTCTGCGCCTCTTATGGAGGAGGTTGAGTCTTTCTGATCGGTACATCTGCTTCTGTTCTGCGATGTATGACCGAGATATTAGATGATGTGTAGTCGGCATATAGTAGACAGGATGGGTTCGCTTTTTTAACAATTCCAAGGCATCAATCCTTTCCCTTTCATAATGGTATGTGATCGTAAAATATATCGGAAATACTCGAGTGTACTCTTCCCTCAAAGGCCGGCAACGCACCCACTAAAAATGGGTGTCTATGGGCTGCGATGACTGCCCTTTTTGGGCGTCCCGCAGGCTCATTTGCCCCCCTATTATATATATGTCAGGCTCGCTATTTATATTTATATCTATTTTAGAAATATAATTAGTTAAAATATTACAATAAAACGTCATTTCCCTATCGTATTCGTCAGGTAGTCTATGGCATAGACTTGACATCGAAATTGACAAGCGATATTTCAAAACTTCTTTAGTACAAGTAAAAGTAGTGATAAATGGTAAGGACGAACGAATCACATTAAAAAAAAGAAATCCCTGCGTCGTAGAAACGCGGATCATAGGTTTTTGTACAATCAGTAGGTTTAGGCGTAATTATTTATAGTTACTATTGTTATTTATAGTTACTATTGTTGAATAGGCTAAAGAAATGTTTCAGAAAGAAGTTGCGAGCGGAAACTGGGAATTAAGTTGTGTGGTGTTTTGTTAACAAATATTCATACTACAGTTTTTTAAACGTAGTTTACAATAACGTTAACTATTTATTCTTAAAAGGCCAGCAACGCACTCGCGAGCCCTCTGGCATTGAGTGTCCATGGGCATCACTTAACATCAGGTGAGCCCCGTATGCCCTATAAAAAAAATTGATTATTGATATCGTCCGTTGTCTTTTTGTACCGAATATAGAATAAATATTGTTTGAAGCCTCCCCTTATCTATATTTTGTGACTAATTGAAACAGCTATAGTTTTGCCGGATACCAGAATGTGTACACTTCGGCGCTAATGGAGCGTTCAAGTATTACGTCACGCAATTTTTGGAGAGTATTGGCGCGTTATATGGAGGGGGGGCATGTAACGCGCCGTAACGTTTTTTCTGTATTGTACTGGACCCAAGTATAGTAAAACGTTTCGTGACCACCTAGTCACTCTTCATACCTAAAAGTTACCATTATGTACTATGTAAAGTACTGGAAAGTCGAAAATAATATTAAAAATATCGGCTTAATACAATCCCCGCCCCGCATCGTAACGTTGTACAAAAGGAAAAAAAATTGGTTACGTTAAGTGGCAGCTAGGTGAGGGGTACCGGGTTCGATTCCCGGTTCGAGGTTTAAGTTTTAATTTAATTTCAAATTTGTTCTCGGCCTTTGGGAGGGTTGTGCGGTACCGGGCGAGTGCTTAAACCGTACATGGAGGTCACGGTCGAAATTTCTAAAAGGACAAGCACGAATTATAAAAAATCCTATACTTGACGCTGGCTAAGGCACAAATCGTGCCAGAGCCATTAAAAAAAAAAGATAAAGTATCTCTCTCGTTTTATAGATTGAAAAGGAGATCTCCAAGAAGTACAAAGGCCGTCCCGTCAATATAATCGGTGGAGTGAAGTTTTTATAAGTTGACCATAGATGTTATATGTATACAGCTTTATTATTAAAATGTATATTTTGATTGTTTCATATTTGTTTTATTAAATTAACAACATCTAATAAAAAAAGGGTGCGTTTACTTATGTACGCGCGTAAGAAGTTATACTTCTTTGGCATTATTAAAAATAGTTTTTGGTTGCAAGCAAATTATTAATTACAATTAAATAATCAAAGACTGGAAAAGGAGCCATTATCGTCAATAAAGTTCAGTTTACATTTGAAAAATTAAATAAATAAATATTCATTATTATTCTCTTACATTAAGTGTAACATAAATTCTATTATTATTTGAATGTTGTTTTTAAATTATGTCCAATGCCGTAGCATCTTCCATGGGCAACTTCATTTTGTTAATTTTGTGTCACGGTGCGCGTGCTTCGTAAAATTTCACTCTCATCAATTTTTCATAACGCGCCTAAAGAAATATAACTTCAAAAAGGCTCTTTCTTTTAGGTTATCTACTTTGTTTAAGGTGTTTACTAGTATATGAATAAATCAGTGGCACCTTTTTAGGTGTGGGCCTCAGATTTCAGTATCTGTTTCATGATCTGTTTGGTGATTTAAAAGAGTGGCGGAGAGTTTATTGCCAGTTCTTCTCTTCCGATCTACGCCCTTGATTTGAGAACTGTCAGTAAATGTAAAATAGAAGCATTTAATGTATATTTCTTTTTTTGACGTTCATAAGTGTTCATTGTGTTTCCTACATGAATATTTTTGATTATTGATTTTGAATGATTTGACTTTTGGCTTTTTATGATCATTAGTCAAAGTAATAGGCAATTAGGTTATCAGCCTCCTGTGCCTGACACACGTCGTTGACTTTTTGGGTCTAAGGCAAGGCGCTACTTACGATGTTTTCCTTCACCTTTCGAGCGAATGTTATATGCACACATAGAAAGAAAGCCGATTGGTGCACAGCCGGGGATCAAACCTAGGATGAGAGTCGCACGCTGAAGCTACTAGGCCAACACTGTTCTTAAGCTGTGCAGCTAAGTTGTATATCTTATACTAAGATTCTTTGTGGTTTGGTGAAAATAAAACAAACTTCACATATTCTAAAAATTCCATGTCGCAGAAAGTCCTCTAACATGGCGTATTGATTTTAAATGACTATAATTTCCTAAAAGCATAATTGTATACTTCTTGACTATGTTTTTGTAAATTTATTTGTAATAAATAATTTATTTGTAACAAATTAAAACAAAAATAACTGGTCTGATTTAAAAAATTGATTCACGCTGAAAATGCATTATCCCTGAGTAACAGACTACAATAATTGTCAAAAAAAATTGTAGGCGCGCGAAACCTGAAAGCTAGTAAAAAATTTATAACATTTTAATTAACAGTACAACATAACAAATATTGATTTCATTTAAAACCATTTAATTTATAAATCTATCCATAAACGTAATAATAGGGGTAATAATAATAACCATACGGGTAATAATAATATGGATACACATAATAGTAGGGGTAATAAGGATAATAGATTATACATTTGATTTCATTCTTCCCGTCTCCATTTCGTCGACTTTTAGCACATTCAGGTGGAACTGTATTGCCATGAGAAAATACTATTTGGTGTGCTATGATCAAGATGAGTAGTATTTGGTAGAATTTCATCTGGAAAAAGAAAATATAAAGCAAGTATTTGCAGCTGAGTTTCATCGTCGGACGTCGAAGGCAGAACACGAAATTCCACCGGTAACACCTCGACGAACTTCGTTTCACAACTAGGCGTTTTATAAGGCAGTTTTGTTTGCCGTGCACCAGTTGCCCACTGAAGTATTTTCGAACCAATTCGACTTATGGTCCTTCAAGAAATGAGCGTACCAATTCTTAAAAGGCCGGCAACGCACTCGTGAGACCTTTGATATTGAGTTTACATGGGCATTAGGACACTTAACATCAGGTAAGCCTCCTGCTCGTTGTTCTATAAAAAAAAGTACGACCAATGATATTTCTTGGTATTTATTCCATCCTATAAAGATCTGTGGTAACAACTGTTATGATAGTTGGTATTAAATAATGCTGTTGTTGTAATATTTAGAATGATATAAATTCAAAGCTCTCGTTAAACGTAAATTAATCAATAAAGCTTTTTATGAATTTGACGAATATTTAAATGATCCTAATCCAAGGGGTTGAATCGCTCCAGTTCAAACAATTTGTATGACTCAAAACTTAGCGATTAAAAAGAGTGGCGGAAAGTTTCTTGCCCGCTCTACGCCCTTGACTTGAATTAATTAATTTAACTTACATGTATTAACAAGTACACTTTTCTGACGTTCAAAGTGTACTTGTTTACCTATATGAATAAAGTTATTTTGAGTTTGAGTTTGAAACAGAAAATAAAAAATAAAGAAGTGTTAGCTTATTAAGGGAATATTGGGTTCATAACTTCAGTATGACCTTAACATGGCGCTAATTAATATGTATTTATGACTATAATAAATATGTAATCATATGAATAATGCATAACAAATGATTTTTCTGAATAAGTCTAATCGCACTGTTTTCTCTATTAATTCGTCTTCTTTTGTCCAATCCTGTTTACGTTTTGATGAAAAGAAACAGAGTACTTTAGTTAAAACGGAAAATTATGCATTTAGAGTGAATTTTCTGAAGGGGTTAGATTTTTTATTCTTAAGATGACATCTAATATCAATACATATTTAGATCAGTGTACTAACTGATAACCTAGCTGATTTTTAAAAACTAGTTTATTATGCCTAATATGAAGATTTCAGGCACATTATTAGACGGTTACATCAATGTACAACATTAAAGATTTAGAAATTGATGAAAAGCTATTTTTATTTACAATTATGTATATTTATATAAAGTTGAGAGCATGCCAAAGAGAAATGGAGTAACACTGAGGCACACGATATAAAGAGAAAAACTTGGACAAGAAGAGCTAACATCAGAAAAGAATGGAAGCAGCTGGAAGACGTGTCACAGGACACGCTGATTACCTAAAACGGCTCAAGTGACGTATAAGATTAAGTTTTATTTATGATTTAGATTTTTTTTTATATAACTTAAATAAGTATTCATAATATAATTTACTGGTGGTCAGCAATAAAGGCTTAATAAATGAATAATAAAATAAAATATTTATGTATATTATATTTTAAACGAATCAAGTTTTCCGTTTATATTATAGGTAAAAAGAAATTGTACTTACGTTAAAGTTGGTGAAGACGTTCTGACGAAATGCACTTTATGAAAAGGTTATCACTAACGAGATTGCACGAAATTGATTATAAACTGTGTAATACGATATTAATTATTAAATCAAACCAAAGAAACAATCTACAACTGCCATCTGACAAATTATCTGAACTGATTGTTAGTATAATTATTAATATACTGCTCAAAACAATTAGCGGAACAAGATTTTTCTCCTTTCTATTGCTTAAACTAAAATTAGATTTAAATTAACTTGTACGCTATTTTTTACCTTGTTAATTTGTTAATTACTACAATTAATAAAAAAAATCAATTTGTATTGTTTTTATTAAAAAAAAATTAAAATGTGCATTGTAGACGAAAAACTAATTGGTGATAAAAAAGGTCCATCAAAGAAATATTCTTATATCGTTTGAATATTCGTCTTTAGTGACTTTCAGTAACGTGTGTGGCCTCCATGAGCCCTAATCACGGCTTGACAACGACGCGGCATGCTTCGTATGATCCTCCGAACATCTTCTTGTGGAATTCGCTCCCATTCTTCAATCAACGCTTCAGTGAGCTGCTGCAGTGTTTGAGGTGCAACCGGACGCTTCCGGATGCGCCTGTCAAGCAAGTCCCAAATGTGTTCAATTGGATTTAGGTCAGGGCTCATGGAAGGCCACTCCATTACACGGATTTCCTGCTGTCGTAAGTAATCTGACGTGATGGCTGCAGTATGCGGCCTGGCATTATCTTGCATTAAAAGAAAATCTGGGCCCATACCATATGCTGCGGGGCAAACATGATCTTCGAGCACATTTTCAATGTAAGTTTGAGCACACAAGCGCCCGGGAACAACGACGACATCTGTGCGCTCGACCAAACTAACTCCGCCCCAAACCATCACAGAGCCACATCCAAATTTGTCATATTCCTGGACTGCTGCTGCACTGTATCGCTCGCCTGGGCGTCTGTAAACACGGAGACGACCATCGCAACGTGTTAGACGGAATCGTGATTCGTCAGTAAAAAGCACTGGCCTCCAATGTCGAAGTTGCCAATTAGCGTGATTTTGCGCGAACTGTCGGCGAGCTTGTCTATGTTGAATTGTTAGACGCACAGCCCGAACTGGTCGGCGTGATCTCAATTTGGCTTCCAACAACCTATTTCTTACCGTCTGGTCGGAAATTTCTACACCAGTAGCCGTCCTTAGTGTATTTTGTAGATCTCTTGCAGTTGTGGTGCGGTTACGTAAAGCACAGTTGACGATGAAGCGATCTTGCAAACGTGTAGTTTTTTTCTTTCGACCTTGGCCACGCCTTCTTGAGTATTCTCCCGTCTCACGGTATCGCTTCCAAAGTCTGTAGATAACAGAAGGGGCTACTCCTAGATCATTTCCTACATAACGCATAGTTCGACCCTCTTCAAGCAAAGCGATAGCTCGGGAGACATGCAATTCAGTCAGATCTGGCATTATGACCTAAACTCACTCGCTTCAATTAATAACAATAGAAAAAGAAAAAAACTACTTAAAATGTGTTTTCTGTGATTAGAAAGTAATGAAAATTCAAAGACGTCACTTTGTTTTTAGGTGTTTCTAGACACACTGCCACTTTATTATAGGACTACTAACCAAAACGCCGATGCTCTTTTGTTTTTTATTTTCTTCGACAATGCCTTAACATTATCTAGTGGCCAGTAATAATTAAAACCTTAAGTAAAAAGTTTAGTTCTACTTTAAAGTTTTGTTCCCGTAATTGTTTTGAGCAGTATATTTTTTTAGATAAATTTTTATGAAACCCATGCGACTTTTCAAAACAAAGAGTTCTCTCGGGAGTTGTGTGCTGTGATATCGCGGGCTACTTGATTGTGGGGAAGTTGCATGGATCTGGTTAGCGCTGTGCCTTCTTAAGAACTCATGGCATTTTCACACGTGTATATACTTTCTATAACAATATATGTTTTTATAAGTATCTGATTGTGTGTGATGTGTAAGTGTGAGATCAAAGTGCGTGCGTATAAAGTACACATGTCAGAAGTGAAACTTCTTTGGCAAACTAACTCTTTTTCATATTTATATTAATCTAAAACTTTAGATTTCCGAGACTTAGAGGGAGGGAAAAGGAAATATGTTAGGAGTTTAATGAATTTAATTGTCATTAACATATTAAAAGTGTCAAAAATTAAAACAAATTATAAATTTAATTTTTTAAATATATTTCTTTGACAATAAACACATGGCATTTTAATTTACAATTCGTCATTTGAGATTTCATATCAAAAATCTAAAATACTAATATTTCATAAATTCTCTTTACGAAATGTTTTTTTTTTATTTCTCTCAATCGGTCTCAATCGCTCTCTCCCTTTTCTTCGACGAAAACGCTGCCTGCACATCTTCGCGACGTTCCGTAAAAATTTTACCCTCATGCGCCTAAAGAAGTTTCACTTCAGAAAATAAAAACATATTACATTATTTATAATATATTATATACAATAGAATTTTTGTGAAAAAACTGAGACAGTTGAGTACTTTTCGTCCTAATCAGACGAAGTCTTTGTCGAAGAATTAAGCAATAACGATAAAAATAAGACAGTTGTTTGGACAAGTTATGAGATCACGTTTTGCTATAAAATTTTGAGAAGAACTTTCTAAGAGATTATTTTGGTGATTGTGTTGAATATCGCACTTTATAATTGGACAAGGTTTTATGTCTTTACTGACTTCATATTTGGAAAATTTTGTTTCCACTGATTGTATATTTTTTAAAAAAGACGATGGTGGCATTGGTGGGGGAAATGTTACAGTAGAAGAAAAAGAGACACCAGCGGCGCTACCTTGTAGTCTGGACCTCAGATATCTGTATCCATTTCGTGATCATTTATTTTAATAGACAAGTTGGTGATTAGCTTACTGTCTCTGACACACGCCGTCGACTTTTTTGGGTTTAAAGCATGCCGGTTTCCTCACGTTTTCCTTCACCGCATGAGCGAATGTTGAATGCGCACATAGGCCGAAATACCATTGGCTCACACGTTTAAACCACTAGGCCAACAGTGCTCTTGTTTGGTAGAAAAGGTGAGAGGGAAAAAAGAAAAACAAATATTTAATAACCACATGTATTATTTACAAAAATAATTACTTACATTCTAATGATACAGTAATTGTACAATATAATCCTACGAGGGACGACCTTATTTTGTTTTTGAACATGCGGTCTAATTATAAAACGATTAATTACGATGTTATGTTCTTGCAAAAGAATTACCATGACAACAAATAACGTATTAACTTTGACCTACGTTTATAAAGCCTATTTTATTACTTTAATATTATCAATAATATTAGTTTCATATGATTAATTTTCTCCTTAATTAATGGTAACCACTTAACTCTATTTTGTACAGTGCTTTTGACGAGAGCTTATAATTTAAGTAAAAACTATAACTAGACTAGAATCACAAAATATATTCTGTAACTGCGAGTCAATATAATCGACACATGATTTTTAGGTTCAAAATATGCCCCATTAAGCTATTTAGTATAATAATTCCAACATAGTTCCACAAGCTAAAAAGTCTATGCTGCGTTAAACAAACTTCAAATAGCGACCGAGATTCCGCTGTTTTCTTTCCAATTTCATTATAGTTATTTCAACATCTCAAATCGCAACGCTATTGGAAGTTAAAGAATACCGGTGCAGGATAACTCTTTTTTAGTTAGTTCTGTTTATTAATTAATTCTAATCTTTGTCACTTAGTTGGACCATCCTTTTTACCTTTAGAGATATTCGAGTATTAACTGAAGATCTTTGTATAAATAGCTCAAGCATGTGTAGAGCATGACCTCCTGTACAGTCTCAACATTTTATCTCTTTTTAATCGGCAGTTCATGTCTCAGCATTGTGGTCAGCAAGGTAGCATCTGGAGCGGACTATTTGTTTCCGGTTTCTGTCCAGCGCCTTTCTTATGACAGTGTACAGCTTTGAGGACGTCGAGGCCCATCTGGTTGGGGAACGGCCACGTGATCTTTTGCCTTCTGTGTTACCAACCACGATCAGTTTCTCCAAGTTCTCATCGCCTCATCGCACATTTTTTAATGACAGTGTGACGATCCAAATCAGTAATTTTATAACATTATACTAACACAAAAAGTATAATTGGACTGTGTAGTCTTCACGTGTATTCTGGATATGCATTTGACCTTAAGGAACGATAAGAATATTCTGGAGCAACCTAAACGGTGAAGATTTGCAGAGTGGTCGGCCAATTGGACACGTGTACTGTCGGACACACATGGCGAACCGTCGGTCACACTCACAGAGTCGACCTGCGCAGCCATTTATATATGCGTTATGGAAGTTCTCTAAGGCGCATAAGGGTTCATGGTTGAAGCATGTCCAGTAGTATGGTTGGAAGTAGACTGTGTAGAATGGACAATGGATGTTTTCGTAGCATTTGTCGTGAAGCCTGCAGCAGCTAAAGAATAAATATGCTACTATTATAATACTGCACATAGATATATTGATTTAAGCAATATTATTTATTTAATAAAGTTTACCACATCATACATAGAACTAAATAAACGGCATTTTTTACAAAATCTTTTATATAAAATGTATGACAATTTAAGTAAACATAAGTGTTTACAAAATTTTTTAAAATATATACAAGATAAAATAAGCATACAATAAAGTTACCAGAAAGTTTTGGTAAAGCAGAAAAAAACATCAGCAAAACATCGCATTGGGTTCGATGCACCAACAATGCTTTCTCTACAAACGATCAGCCGATAAAGTCCAACTCCGGATAAGCACCGTTCAATCCGTTAAAATATTATAGTAATAAAGCAAAACTAATTTTTGTGTCATATTCAAACCAAGTAATCTATTCGCTTAACAAACTGAAACAATTATGGTTTTGTTATTTTTAGAAAACGGCTCACTTGATTTTAAGTGATACAATGCTAATGCGTTGCCGGCTTTTAAAATCAAAATCATGACTTTCGGGGATTATGTCACTGAGGTTATACCTTTATTTATTTTTATATTATAGAATCATATATGAGGCAGTCAACAATATTTCATATACTCCACAATTACATATTGGCCACATTTTAACAAGAGTCACACAATTTTTAGCTTGTGATATGTTCAACATTACATGTTGAATTCTGTTCAATTAGTACAAATGTAATCTGTAACGCTATATGGGCTAGTAGAAACAATAAATAAAATTGGACCGTACTTGTCAATCCCATCTGCAGGTCTCCCAGATCCTCCTAGTCCGCAGTAGCAGCCGTACCCCTTATAGGCGATAGGGTTGCATCCAGTCGCACAAGTCAACATATTGTATAGATGAGATACACCACGTTTACCCCGATCAGTGCGGTTTGAGGATTGTGGGGTTTCGACGATCCTGAAAATAGTAATAATAATAATCTTTATTTTAAGTAAATTTAATTAGTTCTCTTTGCCTTATAAAATATCTGTCCTCCGACTGGAGTCCGTTGAAATTCGCGAATCAATGTTTTTTTATTTGTATTGCTTTGTATTTGGAACACATTAAGTTTTTACAAGCAATTTAATTTGTACTATAAAAATGACAACTTACTAAAAATAATGATACCTACTCGTAGCTGTTAACAGCTATATAGTATGAGAAAACTTTTGCGTCAGGACAAATCATGGTTTAGAAGTTTAAAAATAAATCTTCGTCGATAATTTGAGAAGATGATAAATTATAATGGCTACTAACAATATTTCACTAAAGTACAAATATTATGTACGCAAAATAAATATTTATACACCGAACACGGACTCATTTGCAAAATGTTTTAAATTAATGTAATAATTTAATATTGAAATTATAATTATATATTACATTATATGTTGTACCAGTATTGCTACAAACTTTTAGGTCTGGGCCTCAGATTTCTGTATATGTTTCGTGATCATTTGTTTTTTTCAATAGTTAGGGCACAATTATTTCCTCACCATGTTTTTCTTAATTGTACTAGCGAGAGGGATACGCACATAAAAAGTCCATTGGAAACCCGGGGTTCGAACCTACGATCTTACGTTAGATGATTAATCCACTACGCCAATATTGCTGTTTTAAAGCCACACGCAAAAAAAGCTAGAATTTGATTTATTAAAATTAATGACATACCTGACCCCCTTGTGATAATCTGCCTCAGGCACGGAATACCTAAAGGGGTCATGGGTGACTCCAACGAGAAGATTCTTAGTCCTTTGCACATGTACTTCGGCATGCACAGGTCTCGAAGCGTGACGAATTTGCGCATAAGTTGTGCTATTGTAAATTTGATCGTACGTCAAGCGACTTGGTCTATCTGGAATACACATTTATCTGTACAAATACCAAAATATTTATAAATCAAATGAACGTCCCTAGCCCGGACAGATTAAAGATAAATCATAGAACCGTGGAAGTTACGTCACTGGATTTAGACCAGCAAGTGTTTGATCTGTTAAATAAAATTCTTTTAAATGTTTTGCTCTCATGTAAACTTGGAAAATATTAAATTGTCAATATATTTATTTTTGTATAACATATGAAAATAAGGTGTGTACAAATAAAGGCTTATTAAATTAAACCAAACTAAATAGATATTAGAATAAATCTAGTATATCTTATAGGTACATTATTTTTTCTTTACATACAGGTAGGCGATGTTTGATGCATAATGTCGAGAAGACCACATGCTCACATTTCTTTTACCACATCAGCGTTTTAGGAAACCAGCTTCACAAAGATTCAGACTAAGTGTTCAGTAGAACTCCATGCAAAATACCTTTTAGGATTGCACAACACATAATTAGCGCCAATTCTACTCTGATGTTACACTTATAACTTAGGGTGAGAATCCGAAACGATGCTTGGCTCGTTTCTGAATCTTTGGGACTTATTAACGACATATAGGATTTACAAGATTTATAAGATATATACAATTAAATCAAAAATGTACTGACATTAAGTATTTTTTACAAGGACAATTACACATTTCAAAACTGGGAAGAGATGCAGTAAGATAAGATTATTATTATATCATTGTATTACATAAATGACGTATCATGTAGATAAATAATGGGGTGATGTAAAGCCATTCAAATATTTTTTTTCACGCACTACATAACATGGACAATCGGTTCATTATAGATAGTAAAATGGTACACAGTGAACACAGTAATATGCTGCATAAATTGGCCTTAACCCATATATTTTACTAGCAGACCGGCCAAGCGTTGCTGTGGCTATTACAAGTAGTAACCTATTCAAGGGAAATGGTAGGAGAACACCAGTCATGGGGACCACCATGCTTTTTTGGTGGTAATGCCATTAAATTGTAACGTATTAGAAACGGTGGAATTAGAATTGTGACTATCAAATAATATATAAAAATTTTGAAATAAAATAATTTTGCGGGTATAAATTGAGATGTAAGCTATCCTTTCTTTTAAGTTAGATCAAACTGCACACGGTGTGCAAATTTTTTTTTTTAGGAGTTCATAGCGGATAAACAACGTGAAACGTAATTTATATGTATTAAGATATACATACATTTCACAGAGTGTTTTGGCAGACCTCAAACCTTAGTTGATTGTGAAGAATATTTTTTGATACACTTGTATAAGGTTGGACGTAGGGAATCAAGTAAACACGTCCATCTCGTATGATATAAATCATGTTATAATTCATCTTAATAGTTAGAGTACATTTCTCTTATAGACTAAAGCGTTATATATTTTATACTGACAGCATTTGCCCTCCCTAATAGAAATATAAAATAAGAATTACAAAATACATTATTTCTTTATTGACGTTCGTAAGTGTACAATGTTACCTAAATTAATAAATGACTTTGAATTTTGAAACATAATTAAATATGTTTTCAATATTAATATGTTTTCCTTCACCGTTCGAGCAAATGTTAAATGCGCACATAGAAAGATAGTCTATGATAGTGCACAACTGGGGATCGAACCTACCACCTCAGATATGAGAGTCGCACGCTGAAGCCACTAGGCCAACACTGCTCAAGTTTCTGTATACTTTTAGTTTTAACTGCCATCCTGTGTAATTGGCTTCTTTGTAATTTCTGTTTTCTAATATAAATTATGTGTGTGTAAAATTTGTGCCTTCATTGATGTGTTCTGCATGTTTTAGAATGTAATAAAAAAAAATGGAGGTTTAAAAATCAATAGCGATTTGTTACCGCCTTGTTTTAGCCAAACACATAATCAACAAGAATGTTCACATGGTTATTCTTGTCATAGATTCAAAATTCGGACAAGGACTATCCATATTTGCCGACTACTGCGAAACTACTGATACTTGAGAAGAAGTTCAAGTATTAACATAAACAAATATTGCAGCGTTGGTCGACCAATAACTAATTAGAACAAATGTCAAGGAACAAAATCGCTTAAGGCATTTTGTTCATAGCTAATACAAACTTTTGCTTGCGACACAATTACTGCAATAATTCGCGTAGAACAATACATATTAATTACGTTATTTTTAGTCTTACGTTAATTAAAATAATAGTTATTTTTAGACAATTAATCCACATTTAGTTAACTAGGCTAGTAAAAGTATGTTAGTATGTCTCAAGATGGTGGGCTGATAACAGAAATAGCAGGAAAAGATTTGGCAGAATATTTGCAAAAATCCATCTACATAGTGTTGGAATTTACCCAAGAGTGGTCCGTAGCAATAGGCGACTAACATTTTAACTACTACTTACATTTTAAATGTAAAAGGCTTTATTATTATTATTATATCTCAAGACTAGATGAAGATGAGGAGAAGATGAACTAGATTCTTGAAAAATTGACTAACACAAAAATATTTTTTTTATACACTTTCTCTAATAGTTTCATACAACACAGGTTTGAGTAAAAGAAGACATCAACGTTAGACGAGGCGAGTATTATTTAGACATAACATGTTTAATTGAATAAGTTTATTTTTGAAATTAAAATATTGTTTTATTTCATATGCTTTACGGCCAACAGTACAGTTCATATATAATTGAGGACGTTCATTCTATTTTATTTCGACTTGCTTCTACGATGGTGAAAAAACATAATTGTGGTTCTAATAAATTGCGTAATTACTTTTCCTATTATACAAGTCATAGTCGTCTTATTGGCGTAATAATCAATAATATGAAATGAAATTTAATAAATTAAAATTATACTGTATATTATTATACACATACATATATTATTATACGAATGAAACATATTACGAAGTGATTGCAGTTATAAACACAAAATTACTATGTACCACTCTTTATTTCCAACACACAAAATTATACAATTCTTAACCTACGAAGTAATAATAATTAAAAATTGCTCGCTGTGGCAGTGTACGTTAAGGGCAGCATTTACTAGCTGTATGTATATTTATTCGTTGAGCGAGGAAAGCACCAGCTCTGGGGTCACCTGTACCAGGCGCCAACTTAAATCTTTTATACAAAATTATTTGAAAAAAACGGCATACCTAACGTTAAGCGAAACTTCTAATGAATTATATTGTGCAAATAGCTACAATTAAAATAAGGTGGAGTGTAGGGTCCACACTTAACTTAATAAAGAAATCTATGTGAAGAATAAATGAGATACATTTAACCTTAAACGTGTTTCGTATTCGATTAATATAAAACTAAAGCGTTGTCAGACAATCTCGTTTTGGCAAGTGAAAGTTTGTACCCGATATATTTTGTTTACCGGTTGACCGCTGAAGAAAGTAGTTTTTTATGTAACAGCCCAATTATTAGTCATTATTCCAAATTTTATAGCGCAATAATTATTTTTCACTTGTTGACATCTGTCGAGCAGTGTTGGCCAAATGGCTTCAGCGTGTGACTCTCAGTCCTGAGGTCGTAGGTTCGATCCCCGGCTGTGCACCAATGGACTTTCTTTCTATGTGCGCATTTAACATTCGCTCCAACCGTGAAGGAAAACGCGAGGAAACCGGCTTGCCTTAGACCCAAAAAGTCGACAGCGTGTGTCAGGCACAGAAGGCTGATCACCTACTTGCCTATTAGTTGATAAATGATCATGAAACAGATACAGAAATCTGAGGCCCAGACCTAAAAAGGTTGTAATGCCACTGATTTATTTATTTTTTAGTTGACATCTGTGTAAAATGAAGTTTTTCTCCACTTTCATTCAAAAATTCTTCAATTATCAAGGGGCATTTCGTCAGTCACCCTTAAATGATATTCTGCATTATCATTTATCTATATATATTTATCATTACATTTAAATAACGTGGCCTATTTACGTACGTATATCTGAATTTGATTACCGGCGAAATGACAATTGTTTAAAAAAGTATTGTCTTAATGTTTATCAAATATTGTAAGTTATATTTACGTAACAATGGGCGAGCCTCGTGCCCCTATATGAGTTAGCCTTGATTCATAAACTAAAGGAAATAATAACCAGGAACCCGATAAAGGTCAAAAAATTTAATACTTGACTTGATTTACACGTTACATAAAATATTAATTACATAATGCCTGTCGTATTATTATCTAATTAAAAAAAACAGATGCTAATAATAACACACGGTGGTAATGACGTGCAACGAGCGATCTTATCACTGATGATGCTATTCAAGTTAGGTCAATTATGAATTCTTATTAAATAATATTCCTTTCCCAAATTCGTTACTAGATAAGATCTAGATTGGAGCGTGGTCTGAATTCCTATGTATTTTGCATTTAGCATATGTTTAAATATGGAATACATCAACCTGTTCAAACTTAGTCAGTCCATAGACTCACCTAAGACATATGCTCGCCTTGAACTTGGTGACAGACAATTAAAAAATCTCAGTGAAATTTATTATAAACTTTTTCTATAGAAAAGCCTTTAAGCTTAGTATTGTCTTTGATTAACATAACCTTTACACATTTAAAGAAAAACGCTTTTTACCGGATTAAACTTATGTCACCGTGACCACGCACGCTGTAAAGCACGCGAAACGTCGGATAAATTTAAAATTATGTCAAATAGTTGTAAATTTATAATAATAAACATAACTTTAATCCGGTAAAAAGAGCCTTTAAGCTGTCGTTACTTAGAATGAGAAGCAGTTACCATTACATATTCTGTATCTGTATTTCTTATGATTTAATATTTTCCTCTCGTAAGGAATTCGCAATTCAAAACTAAGAGGTTTTAATTGATTTTATTTAATCATACCAACTTTATTACCAATACCGTACACTAGTATAAGAGTTTTAGTATAATATACAAATCTTTAGTTTTTTTGTTGTATTAAGGAATGCATCCCTTATAATTTATGTGTTATTTGTTTTCTTTTAATGTAACGAAGTATAACTAAATAAATAAATAATAGTTGTAAATATTTTTTGCAAATTTTTAACTCGGCATAGCATAAGCCTTTCACAGCGTTTCTCGCGCGATGTTCGCGATTATACAACTTTCACGAAATGAAACGTATATTTAAAGAGAAAATAATTAGACAAGTAGATGATAGTGTCGCTTAATTGACTTTTAATGTGTGTTAAAACTATACACAAACATAAAACTTTTTTGAAATGATTGATTTTTGATAGAACAGCCGGCAAACTGGGAGTAGGCTCATCTGATGTTAATGGATCATGGACACTCTCAATGCCAGATGGCTGGCGAGTGCGTTGCCGGCCTTTTCAGAATTGGTACGCTTTTTTCTTGAATTAACAATCCAACTTTACTAATTAAGTATCAAACTTTAATAAATTACTTAGATTTATAGAATACTTAGACATTTTTAGTATTTTTTTAAACAGTAGAAAGCAAATCTATTATCTACGATAGTCTATTTCTGGTTTTCACCAAAATTACTAAACATTATCTATACATTTTTGAAAAACGTGAAGTTTATTACAACTAGCGATTTCAAAACCTCTGAGATTTATAATTCGTCGTTTTTTTATATAGATCTTGCTCCTTATAAATAACTTAGATTTTTGTGCACTTCTGTCACAATTAATACATTAAAAAGCGAAATGAACAAGGTAAAATGTAAAAATAAGAATACGAGGTTAGAATCAATCACAGAAATTGGCTTTGCCATTAAATTATACGCCCACACACCACACAATGAATTAATTTTGTTAAAACGATCAAGTATATACATCATTTATTCGCATGTATTTACTTTTTGGCTCAAGTATTATGTAGTTATAGAGATCGTTCATATTATCTTGTTATGGATTTACGTGTAAATAAAACAAATAAATCGAAAAAAATCATAATGTTCAGAAGTTGGGATCAGGACAACTGTTAGTTTATGCAAATAATATATATAAATTCGTGTTTAAATATGTTACGTAAATTTCACGTATATTTCTTACGGAAAAAAACCTTAATAAGGTTAGCTTGTAAGGTTATTTGACATTGAACATTAACCGAAATCTTTATAGGTTCGCCGAGCGAGTTTACATGGCGACATTATATTATGGGTAATTAATATTATTAATGACTATCAACTATTGAACAGTTCTCAATTTATAGACCTAGCAACATTGACAACGGTTTTGGACTGATTTTAGTTAAACGAAATGGTATGCAGCTGACATTAACGCCATTGCTCCGATATATAAATATTTTTTCTACTTTTGAGGAATTTAGATTGTTCGACACAATTTGTAGTCGATCGGCTTAGTGTATGTATTTTATGAGCTGTTCGGTTAGTTGAAGAACACTGTGTTTACGAAAACTATCGTCACTAATTGTAAAAACAAATGAATTCAATACTTTGTCATTTCACAGCGTGGGCCTCAATTTTTTGCATGTATCATCGATGCTGACCTAAACGACAATATACGTGCATATTATACAAATTACATAGCTTTTTGTTTTCCGAAGAACATGACATAGTAATTTGAGTTAATGGTACTTAGGCCCTTATAAGTACTCGTATCATTTCCTTATAACTTATAAATTGGACGTCACTGACGTCACAAAATTATTCTTTGTTTTAAAATTTGGTAAACCACTTATGTTTTATTACCGAAAATGAAAATGTTCATGTCAGCCCGATCACTTGGCGCCCGATTTCCAACCAAGGTCGTGCCTTGGAGATCTAAGCCATACTGGCTTACGTCTAAATCAAAAAAATCTAAATCTAAATCATTTATTCATATAGGTAACACAATGTACACTTATGGACGTTAAAAAAAATATAATAGATGCGTCTTATTTTAAATTTACTGTAAATTTCTAAGACTCAGAAATGGACCTGTGTTAGACTGATCACCCTATTGAATTTAAAGGAATAAAATATCAAAGACGTGAAGTTACGTGTTAAGAGAAATACAACTTTAATGCTTTTAAAGATTCTTAGATCAATACCAAATCTATGTCAGTAAAAGTGTAACTTGCGTAGTATAATTAATACGGTTACATTAAGCTAATCAGTTATTTTATTCTAAAAATTTAAACATTTACTGTCAGATTTTTTAGCTTAACAACACTTTTTGATTTTTTTACTTAACAACTTAGCATGCAATTTTTTTTAAATCTGTGCTTATATTTTATTACTAAATAACTACTTATTCTTCTGCGTAATATGTTTTATTGTTTCAAAATTAAACAATCGCAATGATGTCGTGGGAAAGTTGGTGTAATTAATAATTTAAAATGACGAAATATTGGGTTTTTTGTTTCGGCTAAAATTAGTAGGTACCATTATTGTAAATCCTACAAATTTATAAAGAAAATCCGGAAAAAACATGTTTCTAATTAAAAAAATCAACGTCTACCAATTTATATATTCATACCAATCAGTTTGAATTAAAATCTACCGAGACCGCAGATACTGAAATCATTTTTCTACCAAATTTTTTAAATCCGTATCCGATAGTGTAAAGAGTTCTTGCAAAAGAATACACTTACAATAAATACAACTTTGCATATATAAATTATCATGACATTAGAATATTTATTGCCTGTGCGATCTATTTTCTGAGTTTTATAAAGTTCAAGGCTTTATGTAATAGTAGGTCATACCATTGTGTTGCTGTGATGGTAATTGCCTGGTAATTACTGAGATTGTCACCTAACCATAGATATCTCATATTATGAACATACTGGTAATAAATTCCTTTATGCGTGTTCCAACTTCCAAGTATTTAACGGATAAAATAAAAAAGAAAGTCTATTAATATACTGAAGAACTATAACTGGGAAAAAGTTTTCTTTATTAAAAAAGACAAGCAGTCGTGTAAAGACAATAACAAAAAATACGTCATAAGGTTTTTTCAACATTTGTAAATAAAATTGTTATAATTATTTTTACCACAATTCGGGGAAAGTTCGATCAAGAATTGACAGCAAGAAACTGTATATTCTATTGTGTATTTAACTATTGTGTTTGGCAACTATTACAAATTGAAAATTAAAACAACATTATTTTAATATTAAAGAAATATTTGAAGTTTTATATGGCTGTGTCATTTATCATTTCATAAATTAACAGATAAGTAAAGATTAAATTGGTTATAATAACTAACTTAATTCAAACTTAATATAAGTACAATTACGCTGATGTAATAGCTTTTATCTTAACAAATAATTGTTGTAATTGTGATAAATACCTGATTGGCTGAATACTGATGGCACGATAAGTAAATAAATAACTAGACCCGCATACAAATTCAGCGCCATAAATCCTCCTATCTTGGTAACATTTACAGCTCTGAAATAAGTTATCACAGAAAATACCACAGATAGCCACATTTTAATTCTTCACTTTAATTTTGATAAAAACAAATGCATATCGACTATAAAGAAGTTCGCTTCATTTCGCGCCATCCAACCATTTTCCGTTTTTAAATTAAAACGATATAAAAACTTTTTGTTAAAATAAAAAGGCGCGAATGCCCACTAGACGCATGCGCGACGCGAAACGTGCGTACTGCACCACGATTCCCACAGATTTCGATATAAAAATCGAGAGTGATTATGAAATTGAAGCATCTCGAACGTTTTGAAACCATTTTTAATAATTTATTACACACAACGTTTTGTTATATAGGTCATGAAAGTAGTAATAAATATAATGCGATCTTATATAATAATAATTATATTATAATGCTTTTTATACTTAAAATCTAAACTTCTCGTTACCCATCTGGCTCATGCTACGCATAAAATTAACAAACTATGATAATAATAATAATACTTATTAATATAAAATAAATTTGGGATTGTCTAGTTATTAGCGGTAATATGGCATTATTTTAACTTTGAAGTGTTTCCGGAGGATTTTTTGTTGAAATGAAACGTTTTTGTCTTATGGTATATTATTATATATTAACTTTTAATAATACTGCGTTTTGTTTTCGTCCCATATTCTGTACTCACTATTTCGTTTTATTTCAATATTTTCACATAAAATACCGTCTCAAAAAATCTCGTAAAACCAGTGATTGAAACACCTGATGTAAGTGAAAATATGTTTTATAGTCCAGTCGTCGGTAAAATTTGAATGAACAAAATGTGTCGGTATAACAGTTTTATTTGCACTGTAAACAATAAAACCTATTTATATGTCATTTAATTAAGAAAATTACTCTATACAAGAAGGTAAGTTTCTTGTTTTGAGGGCCTCATAGCCTAGCGGTCTTATTAAGTGGCAGCTAGGTGAGGGGTACCGGGTTCGATTCTGCCGCCTGCTTAGCTTCTCGGCCACAGATTTGGCTGACGGCGTGGCTAATTATTATTATTTTTAAATGTTTAGGTTTATAAATAAAAAATTTAAATAAAATTCTTTTACCCAACCGAATAAATCCTTATCTCCAATTTAAGTGCAAAAAATCGTAGGAGCCGGCGGAAATCAAATAATCGTTAATTATTTATCGATAACCTCATAACAGCTCTCGTGTCATTAAATTACGCTTTGACCGCCGTGTTCCGTTTTTAAATATTTTCTTTTTTAATTCTTTTTGAATTTTTCTATGAAGGTTCAATTTAAAATGGCTACTGTCATAGGCAAAATGTGCGTTATGTTATTGGTGATGAGTTTAAGTAAAGGAGCGACCGAAAATAGCACTGACGCAGAAAAGAATACCACGCCGTCTTCTGAAAAGAAATGCCCACCTCTGTGCATAGTTATGCCATTTCATCCTATTCCTACCTATTATTATTATCCCTACTATTATCCAACGATTTGGGTGTTTGGCTAGGTTAGATTGAATAAATATTTTACTAACTATTTTGCCCATCATTTTTAATCATATAGTAAATTAGTTAATCAAAACTCAAAAGTTTTAGGATCAAGTTGGGATGCAGATAAAATTCTTTTTTTTTTCAAAAATTAAGTGGTAGAAAAGTTAGACACTTTTAGTATGTCGTACTAAAAAGTAACCTTAAAAAGTCGTGATAAATTACTTTACTATTCTAAATTATATTCACTTTCAGATGCTTCTTCAGATTGTTCTTATTACTCTGTTGGATGAAGGAACCGCTTATTACAGAGATTGGGGGCCTATTCTGCCCCCATTCACACCTGGCGTGGTTCCTATTCAGACTGAATGTGATGAATCAGGAAGGCCATGTCTTGAACTGCCGTCTAAAAAAATTTGCAAAGAAAAAATCACACAACCTCACTTTCCTTGGCTTCCTCTGCCCTGGTGGTTTTTCTACTGCCAATCACTCATTGCCCCAAAAATGGGACCCAGAGTTATCACTACTTCAAGTACGATACATCCATATTTTTCGAAGACGTTGGAGGAATTTTTAAGGTTCCAAAGACAAAGAAAAAGGTTTTATATGTAAAGTATGCTGGCTGGTTATACATTAAAAAGATTTATTCTATTTTTAAATCATACTCAGCATAAAACCTATCAACTTTATAATTATTTTACTTTATGTAAAGATTTTGTGTTTTGGTTTTTGATAATTATTAGGGATAATAAATGATATATTCGAATATAATGAGAATAAGTTTGATTTAAATTCAAGACATTAAGTCCGGGCATATAGCTAAGTGAAATTTTGAAAATCGAATTCAATTGTAAGAAAAGACCGCCATAAATTTCCATTGGTTGTATACAAAGAATCAGAAATTTACATAACTTTATTGATGACAGAAAGGTTTGTGACAGAAATCATAAATCGCTAGTCCCCACACTAGGGAGGCCCTGTGTTGTGGGTAACTAGAAAACAATTGTTTCGTGGTACATGTTAAAATTAGTTTAAAAATGTGATATGAAAAAATGATAATAAAAAATAAAAAATACCAATAATAGTTATAAATTTAGTGTTACGTATGAAGTGAATGAGTGAGTGTGTGAATAGGTGAGTTTGCGCATGTATTTGAGAATGTAGCTGAAAGTTGTTATGATCGTGCACTGTGTCTGTGTTTATGAAACCTCAAAGTCATACCAAGATATGTAGTAATGCCTCTGTGGATTCGAAATCCAATTTGGCTAGTGTAGTTTCTATGTGACTTGCTAATTTATATCTGGATAGTTTTACGATCTCAGAGTCCATAGATTTGGAGATTTTGTTATAAAGGAAGGGGCCCCTAAATGCAAAGGAGCGTTGTCCAAATACAGTCCTTCGTTTTGGCGTTGGGAATGCAAAACGTCTGTTCTTAGATGTGTCCTGAATTGTGAGCCCATGGAATCTATGATATCTTGAACAGGTCGCCAAGATGTAAAGCTTCCTTACCGAGAGGGTTTTTGTTTCTAGGTGGAGTTTGACTGTGGGGTATCTAAACGGCCTGCGATAGGCAACTTTAAGGATTGCTCTCTGTGCACGCTCCAACTTAAGCAATAGAGATTCAGCCGCTCCTCCCCATGCCGATATACAGTATGTGAGAATAGACTGACAAAGTGCAAAATAAATTATTCTAATAACTTCGTCCTCCGCTACTCGTTTCAGTCGATTAAATATTAACATAAGCTTTCTGATCCTAGAAGACTGTGCATCAATGTGCTTTTCCCAAGTGAGGTGTCGATCTATTATTATTCCTAGATATTTTATACTTTCGGTGTATTCGAGAACAGGACACTGGCATGGATATTGGTTATAGCACGTGTGGAGTTTTATGACTGGTAGGGTCGTTGGGCGGGAGCGATCTGTTATGCTGAAACACATAAATTTGGTTTTGCTGAGATTTAGACTAAGCAGATTGTTTTGAAGCCAGTTGGAGACGCAATTTATACCTTTCTCAGCTAAGACAGAAACCTGTTCCCAAGTTTTAGCATGAAATATCATAGCTGTATCGTCGGCAGATGAATAAATATTTCCGTTGTCCAGTGGCAGACTGCACAGGTCGTTGATATATATTAAAAAGAGGGTCGGTGCAAGCGCACTGCCCTGTGGTACTCCAAATCTGACGTATTTCTTGTGGCTTGTGTGTCCCCTAAGACTAACACGCTGTTGCCTATCCTTAAGGTAGGATGCAAACCATTGCAGAGCCACCCCTCTCACTCCTAACAGTTCCATTCTTCGCAGCAAAATGCAGTGTGAGACCGTGTCGAAGGCTTTTGCGAGGTCTAAGAAGACACCTATACATACCTGCCCCATATCCAATTTCTCGCTTATATGGTCAGTAAGATTACTGACAGCGTCTGCAGTAGATCTTTGTTTTCTGAACCCGAATTGGTTGTAGGAAATGAGCGATTGCTTTTCTAAAAATGAGAGCAGCCTCTTGTTCACTATTCGTTCTAGGATCTTGGCTATGACTGGGAGAAGGGATATTGGTCTGTAATTAGAGACGTCCATTTTGTTTCCTGACTTCCAGATTGGGGTTACATTGGCTAGCTTCCAAGCTTCAGGAAAGGTGCTGGTCGACATGCTAAGGTTACAAAGGTAGGTTATAGGAGCCGCAAGGATGTTTTTAAGTCTGATTATCAGTTCGCTTCCTATGTTGTCACAACCTCCAGCTGAGTTACCCTTAAGTTTGTTGATAGTTGCACATATTTCTTCTTCGTCTGTTGGATGTAAGAAAAATGAGTTTGGATTGGATGGCTTATCTATATTTTTTGCTAGCTGTTCCTCAGATGTATGTAAGTATGTGATAGTCCTTTCCGCTAAACTATTGCCTATGTTTGTAAAAAAGTCGTTGGCTTTATTTAGAGCTACCACAGGATCGGGTGTTATTTGAAGTAGGTCAGTGGAATGCGACTCCTTTGAGCCTATGTGGCATATACTTTTACTGACTCCCATAGTTTTTTGGTGTTATGTCTGTTCTGCCTAATCGTGCTTTTTTCAAAGTTTTCTTTAAGTTTCTTTAGAAGATTATTGCAGAAGTTTCGATATTTTACATATTTATCCAATAGTTCAAGATCTTTGGGATGTTTTCTAGCGGTTTTGTGAAGAGTGTCTCTTTTTCTTACACAATTTAGAAGACCAGCGGTCATCCATGGTTTCCTAATGGTTTTGGAGTTTCTCGCTGGTTGTATGACGGTATGTTTTGAGATGGCATTCTTTAGCGTATCGTTAAAGGTTTCAACTGCGTTATTTATCTCTTTGATGTCATAGAGGTGTTTCCAGTCAGTGAGCTTTAGTTCTTCTGTAGCTCCTTCATAGTTGATTCGGGTCTTGTTTCTAAGGGCCTCAGGCTGTGGTGTTGCTATGGGGATGGTGTTAATTCCTAAAATAACGCAAAGGTGATCTGACACTAATGAAGGGCAAACTGCCACTTTAGCTAGGAGGCTTGAATTTACAAGAGCATGATCTAAGCAGTTTCCTTCTCGTGTTGGAAAGGTGTGGCCAGGTGCAAGCCCATGGTAACCTATAAGGTTTAAGTATTGGTCTTTCCTGATATCACTTGACGATTCTTTTATATCAATGTTTATGTCCCCTACTATGTAGGTAGATTTGTTTTGAATTTGATTTAAGATTTGATCTAGCGATGCCAAAAAATTGTCAATGTATACAAAGAATCAGAAATTTACATAACTTTTATATAAGTACACATTTTGCTGCTATTGTTTTTCTATGATATATGATTATCATATAAATGAGTATAAAAATATCGAATTATTATACAAACTTTTGATAAGCTCAAAACCTACAACGACTTTGGCCACGTTTTAATATAACGTCAAATATAACATCAAATTCAGTTAAAATTTCAGTATTTTATTTTATTCTGATAAATAATAAACTATAAGCTCCCACCTTTACAGAATGCCAAATCATAAAATGACTGCTTCACGACTGATTTGAGAGCGACCGCCGATGCGAAAACCGCTGTGTGAGTTCGAAAAGTGAGTTAAAGAATCGCAGGGCAGTATCCATATTGTGCTTTAACCGAATTAAAAAAAGGATGGAATTCTTAATGTCAAGGAAATTTATTTGTTTAAATTTGCACTTTAAAACGCCTGTCAACATCCAATCGAAGAATTCTTGCTTGAAAGAGTATATTACTCAAATGGTCCTTTAGTCACCAGGATCTAATGATGAGGTCCAGGAGAATTTTAATGAACTGATTTATTGGAAGGGAGTGTCATGAAAATCACATTTTTCGCAAGTTTATTAAGTTCTTGGCATCAAATCGGGCGGTCAACATCGTAACATGCGGTGACAATCTCTCCGCATTTTTTATTCCTTTTCGAAGTCTAAAGTACAGTTCCATGTCTGAATTTAGCAAAATAATGTGTGTGAAGTTCAATTAGTGTCGTGTATAACTCAATTTAATAGAATTAATAGTGCAGGACTGTGTTTTTGTGTTGATATTGGTAAACTGTGAAATCACAACATCATTCATTGTGACTCCATGACACTCGATCGTGCGTGACTCGGCCTAACGCGTAAGCGCCGCTAACTGCACGGCGCTTAAGCCCTTTTCGACGAGAGCTCGCCTCACCGTGCTTCGCCGTGTACTGTGTTCCAACTACTTAGCGTTGGATTGTTTTTAGCACATATTAAGAGTTATCTACAAGGAATAATGGCTAAGAACTGTGCCGGTTGTAAGGCCGCTGTCACTGGCAGGGAGTTCATGAAATGCTGTATCTGCTGCTTGGTTTATGACTTGCATTGTGCGAACGTTTCCAGTAAGCGATTTTATCTAATGTCCATTGAAAATAAGCAGTCATGGAAATGCTTAGAATGCCGCAGCTCGGAACCTAAAACGGATAATACAAATACCCCTATTCGCCCGGGCACAGTAGCATCGAATGATGCGACTAACGTCACCTTGAGAGACGGTAATAAAAATAAGAATCGTCGCAAAAGCTCTGACGACTTGCCGAGTCTTGAGCACAGTGTGATGTCCAATGATACTCTGCGTGCCATCGTTAGGGAAGAATTGCAGGAAATGTTTCAGTCTTTCTTAAAAAAATCTTTAAATGAGATCGTATCAGAGGCGTTCAAAAATTTCAACGATAAGATCTCTTCACTCGAATCTGCGTTGAAATTCTGCAACTCTCAATTTGAGGACATGAAGAAAATTTTTGAGGACAATGTGAGCACGATCTCCTTGCTACAAAAGCAAAACGAGACTCTTCAATTATCAGTAAATGACCTCACCAGTAGACTAGCGTTGGTGGAACAGCACATGCGCGAGGCGAACGTTGAAATTGGCGGACTCCCTGAGCATTCTTCTGAGAACTTGGCAAATACTGTGGTGCAATTGTATAAGCTGGTAAAACAACCCTTGGCCGAGGGAGATGTGCTGCAAGTGACTCGAGTAGCGAAATTAAATAGGGACACTCCACATCCTCGCACCGTAGTAGCGAGGTTTCGCAGCCGAGCTGTTCGAGATCGTCTTCTTGCGGCCGTATCGAGTTTTAATAAAGCCAACCCGAAGGAAAAGCTTAACT